TTTGCATTCTAAAGATGTCTGCTAATGTGACATGAAGTGAACTGCTTTTTCTCAACAATCTTCCTGAAAAGATCTGGGACATGAATTGCAGTGTATCAGTGACCTCTCTCCTCACAGCACACACAGCACACAGCACACAGGTCATCTGGCTGAAATGGAGAAGAAAAAACAACAACTCCTGTCACTGTGAAAAATAAAATTACCGAAAGCATAAGAGAGTATGTAAGAGAGAGACAGAGGTTGTAATATGTGGTATTTCTTGTCAATATTCCCCGAAAGGAGGTTTAAAAATACTTTAATAAAGAATATTCAGTTGGCAGGTATATCAACATCATCAAAACATGTAATGGTGTGGGGAAGAAAAAATAATTTGAAACAGACTTTCTTATTTTGGCTTCAACTGATAACCTCTAGTAGTTTCCTTTAAATGTGATCCTTTCTCTTTTCTCAATTCAATATTTTTTTGTGGAAACGAGAGGTGCAGGAAGCTAATGCATGCAACGTTTCTTGGGCCCTAAGGTGAGGGTGTGTAATCAAGTGTGCCCTTGTAAATGCTCTCACCACTGATAGACCACCATTGGTAGCACTAGTAATGGCCATGGTTGGCATTTCATCTTCTGAGTAAAGAGGATCTCTATGTTGCCTGTTTTGGATTTCCTCCCCTCATATGTTGCATGTGTGAAGCCCATCCATGAGGTCAGGTCAAGCCATTTGCCTTGGGCAGGACATCTAACTGCCTAACCTACTGTTGTGCAACAGGGAGACAGAAATATCTTAAGGAATAATGTGTGTGCGTGTGTGTGCCATATATGTGGAAAACACAACCATCTGGTAAGAATGTCTAGTAATTATTTACCTTCTGCATTCTGGAGGATTCCGGTTGTGGCTTCAGTATTTCTCCCCACTGAAACAATCACATGTATTGGGTTAACTCTGAGGCACTCAAAATGAACACAAAATAAATTAGAGCCATAAGTAGCACCTTACTATAAATCATTGTTTAAAAGTCGGTAGGAGGACATGTCATTCTGCCAGGATACTTTGCTACTGATCTTAAGGTGGCCATACTTGAATAATGTTTTTTTCATGCAACAACGGTGCATGAAAATTATTCACACGTGATGCAGGATATTATACCAGTCATAAGAATACAATGTGTGGATAACTGGAAAGCCTTGATGTTATCACCTGAAATTCTTTGGCATTACAAGTAAAAACTGATTTTTTAACAGATTTTTATACGTGAACTGCATACCTTGATTAATGCTTCTAAGGAAATCCCACCATAGCGGATACATCTTCTCCAGCCTTTTGAACTTTTATATCCTCCTTTAGCCTTAAATTCTAATGGTGTGAACCATTTTCCATCGGAACCCTTGATACATTTCCTTGAAACTCCTATGACAAACAGATAAGTCACATCAATGTGACTCACTTATCCCATCTGGCAAATTTCACTGAAGAGAGAAAGAAGTCCTGCCAACAGGAGATTCTTTTCTAATATCTACTTAGGAAAAAAGATATGAACAAAGATTGTGTCATGAACTAGGGCTGTGCACCAGAGTTGACCAAGTCGCGGGCCAAAACTGGCATATTAGGATGGACTCTGGCATCAGACGAATCAGATACCAACAAACACAGATCACTACAGGCCAGGTTGGATGGCGCAGAGCAATCGGTGGTTGTCAAGGGGTGGGGCATTAGGCAGAAGGGAGAGGTGGACATCATGCAGGAAAATCACAATAAAAGACCCTGACTTACCCTGACTTCTGGGATTAGGAAGGAGCCTGCTTCCTGAGCCTACTTCCTGAGAGAAGCCACTTGCAAAGGAGCAGGATTAGCACCTCTGTTGAGCAGTTATTCAGTGGAAGCACCTATCCTGTGTGCTGCAGGGCACTCCTTTGCTAGAGGCTTCCCAGCAGAGAAACTGCTTGCAAAGCAATAGCATAGACCAGGCAGGATTGGAGTCTCTGTAAGCAGCTTAAATGCTAGGTGGGGTGGGGGTCCCAGTGTTGATCCAAGGGGGGGTCAACCTGACACCCTCCTCCCAAAGCAGTGCTATGGGGCAGATCAGAGGGGCACAGCCCTAGAATGAATGCTGGAAAGGAATTTCTGCACAGGGCTTAAGCAGGGCTTCTCCAATATCTCCTTTGCACTTGGACACGGAGAAAAGGCCAAGAGGCTCCTTTTTCTCAAAGCCAGGCATTCTGGAGAACATGGCCAGGCCTTGTGCTATTGCACAACCAAAATATTTTCATCCGCTGTTGGTATCACATTCCTTTAGCAGATGCAATCCCATGTATAATTATATTATTCCAACACAATGGTTACCTGCTATGAATCTATTCTTATATAAAACACCTTTACTTTTTCCACAGCGTACTTTCAGTGTTCGGACCTCGACACTCAAATCTTGTATTTCATTATTCTGCATGCCTTTTCCTAGATGAAATCAAGAAATGTATGTCAGCTGTTACAATACCCATAGTTCGGCCTTCCAGAGAATGACAGTGGTCTTACCAGATTATTGATCCTGCTAAGAGGATGTGGTACGAAGTGTGCATTCATGTCAGAGTGAAAACAAAACACTGTGACTGCCCCAAACCTTTGCAGGCACAAACTCACTGAAAGCAAGATTACATGTGACTGTCCTGATAGCTTTATTAGCACAAATAATAAAGAATGCGGTAGTGAAACAGGATGCTCTGTCCCTCATTTACGGACTTTTGTTGAACTCACTTTGTTGCTTCCCAGGGGATGCAGGTTTCTTCATTTCTCCCTGGAGTACTTTGCTGCTCCCAGGTTCTGCGGCAGGACTATTCTGAGCATTCTGGAGAACTGAAGAGGACACGTGTTAGGAAAACAAGGGCATTGCCACCTTAATGTTAAATTACCGGTAAATGGCGAAAATGAAGTGTAAATTATTTGAAGCTTATAAAAGAGCTGAGAACCTCAAGTAAAGTTCAGGTGTTAGGTTTGCACAACCTTAACAGTGTGCTTGGTTTGATTTCTTCTAAGGTGGCATCACCAGCTATACTAGTAAAAGGATATTGTACGCCCTTAGAGGACGATGCTTGATCTACCAAGGTCTGTTACCGCAAGTACTATTTTCTGAACTACTGAGAGACCCAGGTAGCAGCTCTTCAGAGGTCTACTTTGGCCCAGGGCCTCTTATTACTGACATCTACTTCAATCCACTCTTGTAATAAACTACTTATCCATCTCAAGTATAAACTCTTTCCAGGGACATTACTTATCACACACACTAGTTGCTCTGTGACACATAACCTATAAAATAATATTAACAGCATTAACAAAAAGCAACTGAAAAGTAAACTGATCACTGTTAAGTTCATGCACACACTCTCCACACCCCAATGACTGATAATCTTTCACTCTATTCAGCTCATAAAAATATACATACATTAGTTGGTAAAAACTACAGACATTCCTAGACATTAATTCTTAGTATTGACTTTACTGAGTTTTGAATATTCTGGTTCATGTTTAATTATTTTAGTGTACTCATTTTACTTTGCAAACCACCTTACTATTCTTCACAATAAAAGGCAATCTATTGGAAAAAGTAAACAAAAGACATTATTATTATTATTATTATTATTATTATTATATCTCAGGAGACAGGCAGAGGGCTGAGGCAAAGTGAATGCATGGCTTCTACAGGATTTTGTGGCCCAAAGACTGACTGACTACCGTTTCTCAGTAAATGCTGACTTTTCTATCTTTAAGGCTTACTTTATTGGTTTAGCATAGGCAACAAGATAACTTACCATTTTCTAGGCTTTCGTATAATGGCTGTAAATTTTGATATGCTTCCAGGTTCTCCTTGCAGAAGATCTCCTTTATTGCTAACACATTGGTCTGAATGCTCTCAAGGACATCATATACCACTTTAGAAATATCATTTGGTTGTGCAATTACCTTATCACACCATTTCTAGAAAGAAACAATACAGGCTTTTAAAACATTTTTAGAACGAAAATGCAAAGTAGCTTTCCTATTTCCCACCAGATCTAACAGCAGATTACTTGGGTGGTTATCCCAGTACAATCAAAGGAAGCAAAAATTGTCAAGGCAGTTTTATCTTCCTTTCCCAGATTCAAATACCCTGCACATTTAGCATCACTCAGACCAGCTAATGTCCTTTCCTATGCTTTTTATCAATGCCAGAGAAAGCCTCAAGGCATTTGGCCACTTGTTCTTCAGAAACAAGCCTGTTATGGAGTTTGTCTTCTTTGTTTTTTCCTGTGGCTCACATCCCTCACTAACTAGTACGGAAGTAGCTGTCTTATTACAAAAGAATTTCAGAAATAGACTGGAAAGATAAGTTGCTGAATTGCAACTTATTACCAAATTTAAAACCATGGAGAGACTGAATAGAGACATTGGATCCTTATCTCATTATACATGATAAAGCTATTTTCAGCCATCTCACCCATTGCTTTTTCCTGTAAGACCAATTGCAGTCGTCGTCAACAGGTTTAGCACACCTATCAGCCAATCACCCACTCCCACCACCCTTCTGAGTAATACCCCTGCCCACCCTCTCACTATATATAAAGGTCTGGAGACTTCTGTTTCAGTGTATCTGAAGAAGTGTGCATGCACACGAAAGCTCATACCAATACAAACTTAGTTGGTCTCTAAGGTGCTACTGGAAGGGGGGAAAATTATTTTGTTTCGACTATGGCAGACCAACACGGCTACCTACCTGTAACTAACTTGTAAGGTTTCTCCTTCCGTGCAATGTTTTTTGTTGTTATTAGAATATTTTTATACCAACTGCTCCTAAAGAAACTCAAGAGTGATGAGTGGAGGCTACTCCCTGAATCCTGTGGGGAAGGTTAAGCTGGGAGAGTGCAAATGGCCTATGTTCACCCAGTGAACTTCTTCATAGAATCATAAAGTTGGAAGGGACCCTGAGGATCATCTAGTCCAACCTTGACTGAGTGGAGTTGGAGTCCAGATCTTTGCATCCAAGTCTGGCTCCCTGTTCACCATACTGCACTGCCTCTCATGCTGTGCTCCACCTATAACCCAGAAAACCTTTCTGGTTGTAGGGACAAAGATTTCACACTCTTACTTTAGCTGGACTTCACATGTCCAGGTGGGATTTTAAAAAAAAATAATTCAATGCCTATAATAATCACCTTAAAATCTTTTTCGGAGATTCTTTTCTTGTCTCGCAGGAGATAGAGGAAAGGGAAAGTATCTTTGATTGCCAAAGAAATCTGTACTTTATGGGCTCTGAACCACCAAAAAATTTCATCTGAAGTACCTGGAGCAGACATGCTATAAACAAAGCAAGAAGTATCACAACACAAAAAAGTCAATGAAAGCAATAAATGACATGGCTATTTAAAGAAGTATTTCGAGCACAAAGATCACCTTAATACAGAAAATGAAGTGGAGAAACTACCTTTTCTCAGCAGATATTTTCGGAATATGACAATCTTCATCAAAGCATCTGGGAAATGAACTGCAGCATATCCGTGAATCTTCTTTCTTACTTACAATACATACATCATCATGTTCAGACTGAAGAGGAAAAAACAATCACTGTAAAAAATAAATTTATCAAAATGCATGGGGGGGGGTGAGTTTTAATATGTGGTGTTTCTTGTACACCACCTTGTGAGGGCAAAAGCCCTGAATTGTGGTTTAAAAGGATATTCAGCCGGCAGACACATCATCATTATCAAAATAAACAATGGTGTGGAAAAGAATATTCTTTTTGAAAACAGATTTTGTTATTTTTAATGCAACAAATATCCTCTGGTAGTATTCTTTAAATATATTCAGTTTATTGCATGATATATACTCAGCATCTTCCTATTTTCTCAGTTTCGTACATATGAGACAACCTGAAGAGCAGGAAGCTAACACAGGTAACATTTATTGGACCCTAAAATAAGCAGAGAGAGTGTTTAGATAAGGTTCCCTTGTAAAATGACTCACTATTGATTAGACTACCACTGGTAACACTAATAAATGGCCATGACTGACTTTTCAGGTTCTGCCCCAGTTTTATTTATTTTTTATTCCGCAGCTGTGTGCAAAGGATCGCCCTGCTGCTACCGCAGCCGCGAGTGGAGGGTCAAGGGGTTTTGGCAGTGGGATGAGACAACCCACCTGCCAATAATGTTTTGACATAATGACATCATGTGGATTGTCCCATCTGCCTGCCAAAGTTGGCCCGCATGGAGAGGCCAGATAAAAATGGCCAGAAAGGTACCCCATTACAGTCGTACCTTGGTTCTCGAAAGCCTCGTGACTTGAACATTTTGGCTCCTGAACGCTGCAAACCTGGAAGTGAGTGTTCCGGTTTGAGAACATTTTTTGGAAGCCAAACGTCTGACATGGTTTCCGCTGCTTCCGATTGAGTGCAGAGAGCTCCTATAGCCAATTGGTTTTCAAATGTTTTTGGAAGTCGAACAGACTTCCAGAACAGATTCCATTTGAGAACCAAGGGTACGACTGTACTTAACTTAAAGCATAGCTTACTTCTTTGGCAGTGTGAGCAGTTGTAGTGGAAATTTCAAAGAAACTGTGAGCAGGATCCCTGCCTTAGACTAAGATTGCACTCTTGTGTCATGTCTCAATAAGAGTGTTGTAATAAATCATTGGCTAAGGGATTGAGCCCTCGTTGTCATCATTGGCACTAGATTTTGTCCTTCATGTGTGCCACCATCATTTTGTGGGGCAAGCAAGCTGGACAAAGAGCCTCCCACCACAATGCCTATTGAACTGCAACTCTCACTCACACATGAAGCTTGGGGGGGGGAGCAAGACAAGGCTATATGCAATCAAAAGAGGAAACAAAGTTACTTAGGTTAAGTATTGATGCAAGTTGTTTTGTTTTTCTTTGTTATATATTATGTTTTGTATTGCCTTATTTAAATGTAAATTGTGGTACAACCATTTTGGGTGAGGGGAAGTTAGGTAATATCTAAGTACATAAGTGAATAAATAAACTGCGCACATGCCAGTTTAAATCTAGTAAAACTGTTAAGGAAATGTTTACCATCATTGTCCTGTTGGGATTTTGTGGTGGCTCAGGTAGCTGTCCCCTCTGAAATAAGCATCACATTTATTAGGTTTACTCTGAGGCATAATCAGAATCACAAAACATCACCTGAATTTAGGAAGTGAACTCATAAGAAATTACACACCTTACTGTGGATATATGTTTATAATCTAGTAGGAGAATATTTCACTCCGCTGGGAAATTCTGCTGCTAACCTTAAAGTTGCCATCCTTGAACAATGGTATGTAAAAGTTGGTTCCCATGTGAAACTGCTGAATTGCATTCATTTGAGCCTGAAGAGAGATAGTGGTTTCTTAGGCCACTGCAGATGTTAATTGACTCAGTATTACTAAGGGCTCATCCACACTTATTTGTCCCACCGCTTTCCCCAGGGAAAACCTGCTGCTTGGGGTTGAATTGGAACAAATGGCAATTCATTTTCCTCTGACCTCACTGTCAGGTACAAGGAAGCTACCTTGCACGCCTCCCGTCAGCAAGGGTGGGGTTGGGATAACAGATAGTCAGGGAAAGTACACTTTGGGGTTTCTGATGAAGCACCCGAGCTCCGTCTGTTCCTCTTGCTCTCTCTTTATTCTCCTCCCTCTTTATTGCGTAAGGATGTTATAAAGGCAACTCCAGTTATATAGTGTAGAATCTGAAGCTTTCATTGTGAATATCATCATTGTTGTCATCATCATACAGTATATAAATCTATTTATTTATCCCCCACCTTTTCCCCTAGAGGACTCAGGTCAGCTTAAAAATAACATATTCATTTTGAGAACAAAATGTGTGGATAATTATCTGTAAAACCTTAATGGTATCATCTGAAATTCCTTTAGAGTTGCAGGAAAGAAAATGAGGCATTAAAATTGCAGCTGTTACAAGTGAACGACATACCTTTATTAATGTGTCTAATGAAGTCGTCCCACATTGGATACTTCTCCTCCACCATTTCCACGGTTTACGTCCACCTTCAATCTCAAATTGTGATGGTGTGAACCACTTTCCATTGGAACCCTCAATACTTTTTCTTGAAACTCCTTTGACAAAGAGAACAGGCTCATTAATGTTATGCACCTATATCAGGCATAGGCAACCTCAGCCTGCCAGATATTTTTAGGACTACAACTCCCATGATCCCTAGTGAACAGGACTAGTGGTCAGGGATGATGGGAAATGTAATCTCAAAAACATCTGGCACACCGAGGTTGCCTATGCCTGACCTATCCCATTCAGCAGACTTCACTGAAGAGAGAAAGAAGCAGAGATGGTGGTGTGGAAGGTCGGAAAATAAACTTCAGGCTGTTCGCGGCTAATGCCAAACTTCAGGGCCCCTCAGAATGAACCAGCCCATCACCACAGCTAGACTCCCTGCCACCTGCTTTCCTCCCTGTCCCTCTTGTACACGGTCACGGTAAATTGTTCTATATTTTCTATATTGTTTCTATAGTTTCTATTTTTTGAAAAAATGGGAGCAATCGCCAATTACTTTTCATTCAGATTTATGGGTTGTGATAACTGCCACGTATAAATGTAGATTAATGCATTAATGATAAAGAGAATCAACATGGCACTGTTCTGTTACAAAAACAAAACATTTAAAGCTAAATAAAATCATTTAATCATGCATTAATAAATAGGGAAAGATTTCAAAAGCACTGAACATCCCATTGTGGTACTGATAGAATTATTTTAGGCTTGCCCAGGTCCACAGGATACAGTGGAATATAATTAAAGAGCTTCATAGGATATTAGTATTCAAAAGTATTCCCAGGAAATAAAGATACTCACAGACCACCCACATTGATGCCTCCTCCTCCCAACACCACACATTTATGCAAACACCATTTTTAAATTTGCTATTGGTATCACATTCCTTAAACAGATGTAATTATACATTTACTCTTCCAAATGATTACCTGTTGCAAATATATCCACATGTAAAATGCCTTGTGCTGTTCCACAGGTTACGGGCAGTGTTGTGCCCTGGAAATCCAGACTTTGCTCTTGTGTCCCTTTTCCAAGATGAAATGAAGAAACGGATGTCAAAGGTTACAGTTCCCATATTTTGGGCTGCCAACAAATGACAGCAGTCCTAAGGCAACCTGCTCGCTGTCATCTCTGGAAGCTTTCTAATCATGATGTGTCTTACAGCAACTCAAGAGAGGACCTACTAGTCGTGCTGCATCCAGAAAATGTGCATCTTATGGGGGCCTTACTGAACTTTGAATATTCTGGTTTATGTTTTATTGTTATTTTAGCAAACTGGTTTTACAGTATTTTGTAAACCGCATTGTTATATTTCACAATAAACATCAGTCTATCAATAATTTTCAATACATAAATTAATGCACAAGTATGTAATTTGTTGGGATGCGGGTGGCGCTGTGGGTTAAACCACAGAGCCTAGGACTTGCCGATCAGAAGGTCGGCGGTTCGAATCCCCACAACGGGGTGAGCTCCCGTTGCTCAGTCCCTGCTCCTGCCAACCTAGCAGTTCGAAACCACGTCAAAGTGCAAGTAGATAAATAGGTACCGCTCCGGCGGGAAGGTAAACGGTGTGTTTGTGTGCTGCTCTGGTTTGCCAGAAGCGACTTAGTCATACTGGCCACATGACCCGGAAGCTGTACGCCAGGTCCCTCGGCCAATAAAGCGAGATGAGCGCCGCAACCCCAGAGTCGGTCATGACTGGACCTAATGGTCAGGGGTCCCTTTACCTTTTTATGTCATTTGTGGTGGCAGGCAGAGGACTGAAACAGTGAATGCATGGCTGGGAAAAGACATGAACAGGGCTTTGTGGCTCAAACACGGACTATACCATTCCTCAAATGCTAATGATTTTGTTTCTTTTTGGCTATATATCTTTAAGGCTCAACTGGTAGGTTTAGTCCCCAATACAGGACGATTTACCATTTCCTAGGCTTTCATATAGTGGCCGTAAGTCTTGATATGCTGCCAGGTTACTGCTGCAGAAGATTTCCTCTATTGCTGACAGATTGCCCTGAATCCTCTCAAGGACAGCGGATACCACTCTTTGAATATCATTTGGATTTGCAGTTACCCAATCTTGCAAATACTAGAAAGAAACATTACAGGGTTTTAAAATCTCTGTCTTCAAAATATCTTTTAGACTGAAAATACAGAGTAACTTTCACATTTCCCACCAGATCTAACAGCAGATTATTTGGATAATCATCCCAGCACAATCAAAGGAAGCAGAAATTGTCAATGTAATTTTATCCTCCTTTGCCAAGTTCAAATACTTTGCGCAGCTTACATGTCTCTGAACACTAACATCCTATCCTATGTCTATTACCAATGCCTATTATCAATGGTAGAGGAAGACTCAAGGCCACTTTTTCAGAAACAAGCCACAACATGGATGGAATCGTAGAATCAGCACCAAGGGCTTTCTGGCAGTTTCCTCACTGCAAGAAGTGAGATTACAGGGAACCAGGCAGAGGGCCTTCTCGGTAGCAGTGCCTGCCCTGTGCCTGCCCTCCCATCAGATGTCAAGGAAATAAACAACTATCCAACTTTAGAAGACATCTGAAAGGCAGCCCTGTTTAGGGAAGTTAAATTCTGTACTGTGTTTTTGGGAGTGGCTGGGGAAACCCATCTAGATAGGCGGGGTATAAATAATAAATTATTATTATTATTATAGAATGGCACAATTGGAAAGGACCCTGAGAATGATTGAGTCCAACCCTCTGCAATGGATGAATATGCAGCTGTCCTGTGCGGGGATCAAACCTGCAGTCTTGGTGTTATTAGCACCATGTTCTAACCAATTTAGCTATCCAGGCTGCTGCTATTTCATTTCATTTCACTTTTAATTTGTATACCATTTTTCTATATTGCTTTACACAAGACAGTTTACAATATGAAGAAACAACAAAATATACAATCCAGTGCAAACACATAACATAACAATCCAGGCAAAACAAAGAAGTCATAATAAAATGTGTCTTAAAATAAATATCTTATATCAAATAAAGGAATATGTGATAATCTGTTAGAATAAAGCACGAAACTCCCAAAGTATCAACAAATAATAATTAAACAGAAATTCACTCTCAACGATAGCAATAAATCATTACTAAATTATAATCAATTAAAAACAGCAAATTTACAATGCATTAAAAATTATGTTAAAAAATTGAATTGAGCAACAAAGTAGGAATTTAAGCAGAAAATAATTGCCTCAGTTAGATACAATAGTCACCTGAAAATCTTCTTCAGAGATTATATTCTTGTCTCGTAGGCCACAGAGAAAAGGAAACGGGTCTCTAATTGCAAGAGAAATCTCCATTTTATGGGCTCTGAACCACTCCAAAATTTCAGCTGAAGTACCTGGAGCAGACATACTGCAAACAACACAAAACTATGTTTTAAAGACCTTGGATATCATGTGGTTTTTAAACAAGCAAAATTAAGCATTACCTAGCGTTTATCTAGAATGATTCCGTTTCCAAAAATGAGAAACCCTATCATGGAATCCTTAGCTTTAGATCAGGCTGTGGAAATAATTGTGTTGCGATTTCCTCTTTCCACTTCGACGCAGCTTTAGGTGTTCCTTGCGACTAACACCAGCCCGGGTTAATTTACCCTGGTCTTCTTCTGCGTTTAATCTGAGTCCCCACCAGTTGCAAAAGGGGGGTCCCTCCGGAGTCTGTCGCTCTTTTGCGAGAGGGAGTCTAGCGAGAACGGGAAGCGCGGTTCCCCTGGAGCGCCTTTTCCTTGCGGAGGAGACCGACCTGTCCCTTGACTTACCTTTCTGCTTTGACTGTGGAGGAAGGGGCTGAAGAAAGCAGCAGGAGGACTCCCCCGTCCAGAAGAGCGAGAGAAAGGAAAGGAAACTCAACGTCTTCCAGTCGAGGGCTGGCGGTGCCTGCTCTGAGCTGCGCTCGGGGAGAAGTGAGGAACTCTGCCCGTTTCATGGAAAGGAAATCATGACGGACACAGACACAGAAATAAGAAAAGAAAACCGAAACTGGAGGAACGCTTGATGATAAACCATGAGTTTTCCCCCTGCCCCGTGCGTCAAAACTGTGCATAAGATATTTCTCACGTTAAAAAAAATATTACTCTTGTCAGTCTCTGACTTGAGAGGCCCCTCCCGTTCTCCATCACAGATCATGACCACAGCCTGCAGGTAAGGACTTGTGTGGGATCCAGTCCAGGGATTTCTGACTAGTTCCTTCAGTGCCTCTGAATGACTGTGGGTGATCTCTATGGTGTGAACTTAAAGCGATGGTTGAGCAGAACCTTGATTGATTGATTGATGGATGGATGGATGGATGGATGGATGGACAGATGGATGGAATTTATATACCCTACCCAGAGGTCTCAGGGCAGTTCACAGAAAAGATCAACATAAAAACCACAGTATCTATAATCAAAATAACAACAACAACCCAATAACACTCTCCAAGAAAGAGCCACATTTTAAAAGAGTAAGGTAAAGGGACTCCTGACAGTTAAGTCCAGTCGCGAACGACTGGGGTTGTGGCGTTCATCTCGCTTTACAGGACGAGGGAGCTGGCGTTTGTCCGCTTCCGCAGACAGTTTTTCCTGGTCATGTAGGCAAGAAGACCAATCCGCTTCTGGCGAAGCCAGCGCAGCACATAGAAACGCCATTTACCTTCCCACCGGAGCAGTACCTATTTATCTACTTGCACTGCATGCTTTTGAACTGCTAGGTTGGCAGTATAGGCTGTCAATCAGACAAAGGCCGGGTTAAAAAGGAACGCCTAAAGGTGTGTAAGGAAGGCACCAGGTGAACTTCCCTGGGGAGAGCATTCCACAGACAGGGAGCCAATGCCTTTCTTCTTCTCTTATAATGGCAATGGTGCCCACCTGAGAATTCCAGTGAGTTCTGTCTGAAAAAAGCCCTGGTTATATGTTTAATGCACATATAATGCTGTGTTTAAGTCTGTTGTGGGTTGTTGCTTTTTGTATGGGGACAGAACTGGTGTTTTTCCACTGGGTGTGGTGGTCATTGCATCTGGAGCTATAAGCCTCCTGATTTAACAGGAGATCTGAAATCTGAGCACCTTCCTATGTAGATATGTAAATAGGGCTGCTTACATCACAGAGAGAGACACAGGTGCTGTGAGATGCCAGCATGTAGAGAACGGAGAGAGGTGCATTTTGAATTTAGCAATAAAAACTATGTTTAAATTCTCTCTGGGATGAGGATTAGAGGGAGAATGTTTTAAAGAACTGAACCACTGCTAGTTCTTTTTGTTACTTTGTAACAAAAGACTAAAGAGCAGTAATGTTTTTAAATGTTTTTTTTCCTACACAAGAGTCCAGACTTCCATTGTACAACACTAAAAGGGTGTGGAGGCAGTGTCGTCTAGGGAGAAGGGGTGTGGCTGGGGAAAGTCCAGAGAGCCAGACTGAAAGGCATAGAGGGCCAAAACCAGTCCCCTGGCCTCAGGTTCCCCATCCATTGTCTAAATTGAGGGGAAATACCTCCTTGGAGCAAAGTGTGAATGAGATCCAGGCAAAACTGAGATTAGCTGAAGAATGGAAGCACCTTTCAGTGATGCAGAATTCTTGACTTAGCATAAATTGTATCATAATACTTTCTCACATCCCAGAGAGTGAGCCAATGTAGCCTGTTTATTCTGCTTGAGTTCATTAGTCTTCAAATGTCAACTTTACCTCTCCACATGCAACACTGACAAAAGCTTTTAAGACAACACATTCTTGTCCCTGGACTGTGTATAGGCATGCACTCACAAGTCTTATGGATACACAAGACAAACTACTAATAATGTTCTTCTTTGTTCCTCCAGGAACATAATTTGTTGTTTATAAAGTGCCTAATAATGCTAGCATCTCATCACATATGTGGTTGGTACATAGTTTTTTTCAGTAGATGGGAGCCACTATTTCATGTCTTGTTGGTCAAACCTTTTACCTAGTTGTATCCTCTCTTTGATTCCAGCTGCTTTTTCCTATGGAGAAGAAAAGTGACCTGTGGCTTCTCAGCATGCTCTCCATGACACTGTTTCAGTGAGGAAACTCAGGAACGGTGAGTGCAGGCTACTCCCAGAAAGCTGTGAGGAAGGTTAGGCTGGGAGAGTGCAAATGCCTGTGCTCACCCAGTGAACTTCATTACAGATACCATAGAATCATAAAGTTGGAAGGGACCCTGAGGATCATCTAGTCCAACCCTGACTGAGTGAAGTTGGAGTCCAGATCTTTGCATCCAAGCCTGGCACCCTGTTGACCATACTGCACTGCCTCTCATGCTGTGCTCCACCTATAACTCGGGAAACCTTTCTGGTTGTAGGGACAAAGATTTCACACTCTTACTTTAGATGGACTTCACATGTCCAGGTGGAGTTTTAAAAAATAAATTCAATGCCTATAATAATCAGCTTAAAGTCTTCTTCGGAGATTCTTTTCTTGTCTCGCAGGAGATAGAGAAAAGGGAAAGTATCTTTGATTGTCAAAGAAATCTGTATTTTTGGCCTCTGAACCACTGAAAAATTTCATCTGAAGTACCTGGAGCAGACATGCTATAAACAAAGCAAGAAGTACCAGAACACAAAAAAGTCAATGAAAGCAATAAATGACATGGCTATTTAAAGAAATATTTCAAGCTCAAAGTAAAGAACTGTAGAGCATATAAACAGAAAGGTCCCATTAGAAGAAGAAAAACATGTCTGAGGCTTGATAAATCTCTAACCTCAGATCAGGCTGCAGAATTGTGCTGCTATCTTACCCTTCCCACTTCCACTCAGCTTCAGGTGTTCTGTGTGACTATTAGTAACTTATATGGGTATCCTTCTATATTTACTTTGAGTACACAGCTGGAGCCAAAGTGAGATTCCAATGTGAATTTAGGAGCATGGATGGCTTCAGTTTAACTTTGATTAGCAAGAGTCACAAATAAACTAGGGGTGGGGGTGAACAGTGCTCAGAAAGAATGAAAGCTCATGAGTTTCATTTCAATTGCACCCTTCCTCCAAGGAGCAAAGGGTAGCATACCAGGCTCTCCACCACCATTTATTTTATCCATACAACAACCCTGTGAGGTAGGTTAGGTCAAGATAAAAGAGACTGGCCCAAGATTGCCTTCATGTCTGAGTCGGGGTTTCAACCTGACTCCACCCCAGTAGCCTCCAACATTCTGATCACACCACCAGATCCCTCAGGTCTTGGAGATGCTAAAAACTGTCTGTGCCCATTGATGGCACGCTGGCAGTCTGAATTGCCAGCAGAAAACATTTGTATTGGAAAGCTCTGACTCAGCCACATTTTTTTTCAGACAAGGGAAATAATTCCAGCATACAATGTTCGTTGCAGATAAACATTCATTTATGAGACTTTGTGTCTGGATTTGAAGCAAGATGGGATTTGTGGCTTTCACATTCCAAGCAGAGAGATTTTGCATCAGGAAACCGTTTTCTGACAAATGAACCAGGCACACAGAGTGGCTCTCCTCGGCCTTTCAGCAACATGTACATTCCTGTTCAAATCCTTGACTCCGTGCAACCATCCCTTTACATTCACACTGCAGACACACAGTCATTGAAGACCCACAAAAACATAATCTCAAAATCTGTTTAAACAAGCACTGAAAGGAACAAGAGGGTCATACCAGGACTCAGGCAGTAGTCACAATCTGTGTGTGAGAGAAAGGGTGGGGTTTCCAAAGGAAGAGATTGTGACAAGGGTAATTATTTTAAAAAGCAATACATTATGCACAGTTTCTAACATGATTCACAGGGAGAGGGAAGTTTTGATTTCCTAGTTTTTTAAAACTTTCGATTCTGCTTTTCTTCCCAGAAATTGGCCAATTTAGAGGTTCCACCCAAATCCGTCTCCCAACAGCCAGTCATGGACCCAGTGGGAGGTCCGACGTACTGAAGAAAGAATATTTTCAGTTTCATTTCCCTCTCGCCCTCCCTTTTTTTTTCACCTGGCGAAATTTTGAGGTCGATCCTTCTATTTAACCTAGTGCCTGTTCGTGCAGCCTTCACTTTGCGAAGGAAAAGCAGAAAGGTAAGTGTTGCGAGCGGTTGATCTCTGCAAGGAAGAAGGAGCCTCCGACGGGCTGGGCGTCGCAGCAAAGAAATCCTGCGCTCATTCAAGAGATCGAGGAGACTCGAAGCGCTGCCTGAATTTCGGCAAGCGAAGGGGGATGAGGGAGGGACGCCCAAGAAACAGGTCGCCTGCAGCAGGATCGGACTGATGCGTTTCCTCAGGGGGTCTTGCTAAGGCTGCAATCCTATACACGCTTACCTGGGAGTAAGCCCCATAGAACTCAGTTGGGCTTACTTCTGAGTAGAGGCGTGTAGGATTGAGTAGACCGTTGGAGCTAGATTAGCATTGGTTTCTCATTGTAATCCTGCTTTTCTGTTGCTTCCCATAGTATGTTTTCCCTCCTCATCAGGGGTTGGAGAAGAAAATATTCTCTTCAGCTCTATTCCAAGGGCCTTCTCCTTCCTTGGGGGTTTTTGAGCAGAGGCTGGATGGCCACCTGCCATGGACACTTTAAATATAGCTTTCCCCTTTCAGAAATGGGATCTGCCTATTTTAATTCCATGTAATTCTAGATTTTGGTTGCGACTGGTAATGCTAGAACTTTTTCTTCACTTCTCTTGCTTTCATCGAGTTTTTGAAGGTATCTGATACATCTTGCTTTGTTTATAGCATGTCTGCTCTAGGTACTTCGGGTGAAATTTTGGAATGGTTCAGAGCCAATAAAATGCAGATTTCTGCTGCTATCAAGGACTCATTTCCCTTTTTCTTTATCCTGCGAGACAAGAAAATAATATCTGAGGAGCAGTTTAAGGTGACTATTCTAGACATTGAATTTGTTTTTTAAGATGTGCCTAGGTTTTCGGAGTTCATCTAAGCCAGGAATGGGGAATCTTTGGCTTCCCAGAAGTTGATGAACTGCAACTCCCATCAGCCCTAGCAAGCATGGTCAATGGCCAGGGGTGATGGGAATTCTAGTTTAGCAACATCTGAAGGGCCAAAGATTCCCCACATCTGTCTGAGCTTTTCCTGTAGCAAAACCTGACATTATAGGACCATTGTTCACATGTCTGCCCAGCTAGTATATAAAGCAAGGGGTGGGAGACATCTTAATTTAACCATCAGCAATGTATAAGAAAGGGGGTGTTCAACTCTCACTGCCTGTTTTTTGGCTCCTTGAAATCGGTTACTTTTTCTTTTCCTAATACTTGAAGCCAGCCAATAGGGGAGGAAAATAGCTGAAGGGAAGGTAGGAAACAAGAGGTGGAAAGTTGCAGCAGCCTTCTCCCATGTGCTGTTTTTAATGCTGAAGTACCCATATGACAGGGACACGGGTGGCGCTGTGGGTTAAACCACAGAGCCTAGGACTTGCCAATCAGAAGGTCGGTGGTTCGAATCCCCGCGACGGGGTGAGCTCCCATTGCTCAGTCCCTGCTCCTGCCAACCTAGCAGTTCGAAAACACGCCAAAGTGCAAGTAGATAAATAGGTACCACTCCGGCTGGAAGGTAAACGGCGTTTCTGTGCGCTGCTCTGGTTCACCAGAAGCGGCTTAGTCATGACCCGGAAGCTGTATGCCGGCTCCCTCAGCTAATAAAGCGAGATGAGCACCGCAACCCCAGAGTTGGCCACGACTGGACCTAATGGTCTGGAGTCCCTTTACCTTTACCCATATGGCACAGGACAAATGGTTGCAGCTGTGGCATAAGGAGATGTTATACGTGACTCATAACCGAAAAAGTTTTCAGGGTAGCAGGAGGAACATAGCATGAGAGACAACCAAGTATAGTGAACAGTGTGTTAGACTTGGATGCCAAGATCTGGGCTAAAACTCCATTCAGTCATAGTGTCCACAGAGTGAACCTACGCCAGTGGTCCTCTCCCAGCATAACTTCCCCTCTCCATCCTGAGAGCCTTTAGGAGAGGTTGGGATACAGCAGCAACCATTGCACAGGAGTAGGAACCTTGAAAGTTAGTGTGGGATGTGACCCAGCGAAAAAGTGAAGAAGATGCACTCCTTAACAGCAGCAGGTTGTGGCTTGTTTCTGAAAAACAAGAGGTCACATGCATTGAAGCTTTCTTTGCCATTAATACAAAATATCGGAGACAGGTTTTAGCTGTGCTGGGCCTTGGAATTTGAATTAGATTTGATTTCTTTGCTTATGCTAGGTTTACCAGCTTGGATATGATGGGAAATGGGATACTTACTATATATGAGTTTTAAAAATGCTTGTGTTGTTGTTGTTGTTTCTAGATTTGTTCTGAGCAGGTATCGTCAAATGCAAATGCTCTTCAAAGAGTGGTATACAGTGTACTTGAAAGCATTGCAAACAATGTGTCAGCAGTAAAGGAGATTTTCTGCCCAGAGAACCTGGAAGCATATCAAAATTTAAAGCCAATATATGAAAGCCTAGAAAATGGTAAGTTATCTTGTTGGTTGTGCTAAATCTACTTGGCAAACATAAAAGATAAATAGTCAAAAGGAAAGTAAAATCATCGGATTTTATTGAGAAATTGTGTAGTAGTGAGTGTTTGAGCCACGGAATATTCCCAACCATGCATTCCCTTTGTCTCAGCTCTCTGCCTGCCATCTGCTGGCGAATTTATTATTATTCTGTTTATTTGAAAGTACTTATTGTCTGCTTTTTATTGTGAAAAATAATATGGTGGTTTACAAAATAAAACCAGTACACTAAAACAACAAGAAAACATCAACCAGAATTAAGTTAAGTAATACCATTACTAAGGATCAGTGCCCAGGAATGCCTATTTAAATTGTAGGTTTTTACCAGCTTTCCCCATAAGTGCTCATTTTGTCTCTAAGGGAAGGTTAATTCCACTGTGTCAGAAGACGGTGCTGTATCCTAGTCATCATAAGACGTATGTCTGCTTGATATGGCATGTTTAGAATATCCTCCTTAGTAGAGGGGCATCCAATTTTGACAGTGAATGGGCTGGAATATGTGAAAGGAGGCATTGTCCTAAACAGTGGCAGAGCTTCATGCTCCAGCACTGGGGGGGGGGGGCGGAGAGCAGGCAGGGGCGGGGCTGGCATGCGTCCTGGGGGCGTGGTGTGCTGCCTGTGGGGGCGGGGCGCCCAGTGCAGGTGGGTGGGCAGCCACAATGGCACCCCACCGTAATCTCTCTGCCAGGGGCGGTGCACTCCCCCCGCAGCCCTCTTCCTTCACCAGTGGTCCTAAACTGTTCAGAGCCTTACAAGTCAACATCATCACCTCAAACACAGTTCAGTAGCAAATAGGCAATCAGTGTCATTCCTCCAGCACTGTTGATATAGAATCGTAGAGGTGGAAGGGATCCCAAAGGTTGCTTCGTCCAATGCCCTGCAATTCAGGAATCTCAACTAAAACATTCAAGACAGATGGCCATCCAGCCTCTGTGATGTGTATGCATGGAAGGATGCTGTACTAAGCGTTTTGCACCAGCTGCAGTTTCTTATAAACCATAAATGATTAGATCAGCGATCTCGAATCTTTGTCAACTACTGGATACATTTTCAATTATGAGAGTGCTAGGGGCACTGGTCACAAAATGGCTGCCATGTGGGGTGTGTCTGGCATAGCACAAAATGGCTGCCAAGGGGAACATGGCATAACACACAGTTAGAGAGAGAACCACCCCCAATAATCTCATGCTTAAAATCAGGACTGGCTCGGAGCAGTTTGCAGTTTTGGGCAAAACAGGAAATGTCACTAGAGCCTACTCTTTGTCAGCACTCTTGTCACCTGTTCCTTCCCTGTATGCCACACACCCACCCCAAGCAGAAGGCAGCAGGGGAGCAGAAGGCCATAGAAGAGAGGAGTGGGCAGTGGAGAGCAGGAACGGAGGTGGTGGGTGAGAGTGTCACAATGGGCAGGTAAAGAGGAGGAGGCAGAGGGCAGGAGTGGAGGCTGATGTACCACCTGATGCATTTGCCTCACCTTACCTCATTGGCAGGCTGGACCTGCTTACAATGGGAAGTCAGCTGTGTCCTGCTGGTACTGATTATGATTATTGCTTTTACATATACTGATGCTGTTGCTGTCCATAGTATCATGAAAAATATACAAGGTAGCCCCACCAGTCTTGTTTGCTTAGAAAGCACCTGCACATTTTGTTGCATAACTTTTTTTTTAGGAGGGCTGGAAGCTTACTTAAAACAACAAGAGCAATGAAAGCTCAAAGTCTGAGGACCTTTCCCCTGGGCGCCACTGGAAGCCTTCCCAGGTGCCATGCCATGTTGCTGACCCCTGGATTAGATGTTCACAACACATTTTATCCATTTAATTTAATAGTAAGGTGCTAATGCCCTTGTTTTCTTCACACGCTTTCTTTTCAGTTCTCCAGCGTGCTACAAATAGCTTTGCCACAGGACTTGGGAGCAAGAGCATAGTCCAGACAAAGAAGAACAATTCTGAATTCTCTGCACCGAAAGGTGAATTTTACATGGGTCTCTAAATGTTTCTGAGGCATAGACTGTGGGAAGAGAAAAATAGAATATTATAAGGCAGAACTCCCCAAACCTTCCACCTACAGGACCTACCTGAGATGGATGAAAATTAGAGACCCTCCAGGTAGCCTTTTTATTGATGATTCCTGATGATTTGTGCTAACAGGGCTATTGGGACAGTCATGTGTGTTCCTGCTGTCAATATTGTTTGCGCTTGCTGGAGCTTGAACAGTTGCACTGTTTTATTTTAAGTCGGTGCATAGCCTGTAACTTCCTTCTGAAGTTCTATAACTTTTTATGTCACAAATGTTCTGCTATATTTTTGTGATGCCTTTGTTGCGCTATAGCACCTTTGGACAGCAATAACGTGGTAGCATTAAGGAAACATCACACAGCAAGCTAAAGCAGAATAAATCCACCACTAATGGACTATTATTGTGTCAAGAACGTGTTGCAGAATACACCCACAATAAAACATCTGCCTGGAGGGGCCCTTACTGAGGCCCACTAGTCTCAAAATGCTGGCAAATGGAAACAGAGTTGGCATAATCAGCTGCCAATTGCTGACTGAATTTTCAACTGATACCTAATCCGTCTCTGGAAATTGAAAACACCAATTTTCCTTATGGGAAGGAGTTCCATATTCCACCTTTCCCCAAGCCAAGTACATTACAGCCATTTTCTCAGGTGGTATTGTGACTAGTCTTCTCATTTTAGGCAGAATTTGCTGACCCATAAGAACTATGTGAGAAGGTTGTTCAAAATTTCCCTTTTTTGTTTCAGGTTTTCCCTTTCTCCTTACACCCAAGTTTGATCAAGAAATGGCAGAACCTTCTAAAACAAATTTTTTTTCAGAGGGAGAAGCCTCAACTAGCTATCAAGGTATTGCATAAAAATAGATGGAGCAGGGTGGGCACTTCTGAACATAATTTTATATGAGGAGGCTTTTCAGTTTTGACATTCATGTTTTATGGCAATGACGGTATATAAGCATTGGATAAAATTAGATGAGAATATGTTAAATTTGTAGAAGTTATTATTGTCTTAGGAGGAAAAAGGATACTTTAGATTATGCAATTTTTAAAATAAAAATGGTAATCCAGTTTCCCAGGATCAACTAAGACTGGACACAGGAGATTTGGGTATGTATGGGATGGCTTCACTTACATCAGTTGAGTTAGATCCTGCTAAATCAGGGTATCTAGGCACCAGATCCCTTACCAGATTTGAAACTGTTCTGTTAAACCAAGGTTCTGAAGGTAAAGTATTGATATAAGAGATTTGTGGAGAATTGTCGGAAATTTCATCCAGCCCATTAAGAAGCCCGAAAACTATCTGGGAGGCAGACATAGGATGTGAAATAAATGATATAAAACAGAAAAGCGTGTGAACCATTAACACCAGCAGGGTCTATTGCTGCCTGCATAGTGCAGAATACCACACCAGAGTCTCCCATAGGTGGTACAAGGCTCCAGTTTGCTAGCTATCATATATTACCCTTTGTCTAGCTGTAGTGTTTTGGCTGAGCTGTGGTCACTCGGTAACATATTTCAATCTTTGATGGGAATGCCTGACTGTCAAAAACTTTTAGTCTGACATATATTAGGAAATCAGTAGTATTAATCAGGATCCAATACAAATTACACCCCAATTGTAACTATTTTTAGGACATTTAAGATGAACATAAAACCAAACATTTTGCTAATCTTTCTGCTAGTTGCAGCTAGGCTGTCTATCACACAGTTGTGGGAAGCCTTGAAAGACCTAAATATTTCTCTTTGGCATAATAACATTTGGAAAATAGTCATATCTGAGAAGTGAACATATCAGTTAAGAGTATTGAAAGGTATTGAAAACCCAGTGACTTTGTGCTACTTGGTGAAACTTGACACTGACTGATGCTTTTAGTATGGGATGCTTATATGTAGTATGTATGAACTTTATTAAGCAATGTATGGGTTTTTCCAGATTTCTCTTTTCCTGTTGTTCCCTGTATTGTGTTTCCTTTCATTGTTTTTGTAATTAAAAAACACCATTTTTAAATGCTTAATACACAACTGCACTGCTGGCCTGGCACTATGAAGGCATTCCATGGCATTTGGGTGGAATCTAGCCACATATTAAAAATGTTGTGAAAATGCTTTAAAAATTTTTTTTTGAAAAATATGTTGAATTTGCAATAGCTCACCATCGCCATCTAATGTCACATTTGTACAATGCGCTTTACAACACACTTAAAACGTTTTATTTGCAGCTGTATAGCTGAGTCCTTGGTTCCTCTTTTTAAAATGAGTGAAAAAGGGATAACAGTTCCCTACTAAATGGCTTCTTCTTCTTCTTCAGGACTGAAAGTTGCTGGTGCGACAGAAAGCATGGCAAAAATGTCTCCAGGACCAACTAACACCTGTTTGAAAATGGGTGGTACTCCGAAAGGTAAAGAAGGTGCAATGGTATAGATTCCTCATAGGTTCTCCAAACTAACCCCTTCCACAGTTCTCCAAAAGCAGCTTTGGCATACACCCTACAAACTGGGCGTGGGCGTTGTCCATATGACATTTACCTGCACCCTGGTTCCTAGCTGCCATTTTGCCCACTTCTTTTTAAATGCCTGCCTCCATTACCCAGTTCCCTGTTTTTGTTGTTGTTTTAACTGCATGCATGCAATGTTAGCCATTACTAATAGTTACAGAATCCTGTTATGATGACTATGGAGCTCCATTCTTGCTATGTCTTGAAACCTGACCCCTTGACCCTATGTGAGTTCAAGGAACTTGCTTCACATTGTGGTTATATGCTGCAACCTGACTTCTCAGTTCCCAGTTCTCTTAAGAGCTGGCACACATAGAGTTGCACCAGGACATTTGCGCAAATGTGCCAGTATATCTCCATGGCGGAGTCATAATTCAAGTTATGCTGGCAATGTGGGGCTTCTACCATCTACTGTAGCTCTCCAGCCATTGTATCTGTCGGGGGCTGGTCTGAATATGATGCCAGAGACTGGTCTGACTCCAAAGATGGGGGAATGCAGTCACAGACAGAGCAGCCTCTAACATAGGAGGAGGGGGAGGATTCGCCCCCCCCGCCTTACATGTTCCCAGAAGCAGAGAGAGCAGCAGATTCAGAGGCTGCACAGTTGGGGGAAGAGCTGGACTGCTTTGAGATAGTAGCTAGGCAACCAGGAGAGAGGGAGCATTTAGGAGATTCTTCATTCGAGTGGCAGGGAAGTCCGTCCCCGTCCCCCCCGAACTCGGAGGACTGAAAGGGTCAAGGAACAACGGAAGCGCAGGGGCCGGTAGCACACTTCTTGCTGCAGAAGAGGAGGGGATTCAGAGTGAGCAACTGCCATCCATGGGGAGGGTGGTTTGATGCTGCTCTCAATATGTCGTTATAAATAAAACGGACTATAAACCTGCCAGAGGCTCATTACTTTTTATCAGAAGCTACTGGAGGGAGGGGAAACTCCCTTGCCTGCCAACATACCTGACAGTATCTTTGGTTTAGAATTGTGTCCCAATATATTTTCAGGTGATATGAAATGCTACTTCATGCCACATCTTATCAGCAGGATCTGTAACTTGGTAAGGCTGCTGTCATTTTCTGGAAACCCAAAATATGGAAATTGCAGCATTTGACATCAATTTTTTGATTTCCTCTAGGAAAAGGGATACAAAATATTAAAAAAGACAAGCCGGTTGTCCAGGGCTCAACAGTGATTGTTACTTGTGGAAAAACTAGAGGTGTTTTATATAAGGAAAAATTGGCAGCAGGTAAACATTGTTTCGAAACAGTTTAATTGTATGTGTAATTACATATTTTAAGAGAATTTTATAGCAATAAGAAGTTAAAATCTTTGTGTTTGTGCCCATGAGTGTGTTGGGAGAAAGATGCATCCATGTGGCAGTATGTGGGTGTAATTGTATGTTTGGGAACACTTAAATAGTCTTGTAGGAAATTGGTTTTTTATTTCCCACTGAATCCTGGGTAACTTGGAGTAATTCTATCTATATCACAATGGGATTTTCAGTACTTTTAAATCCCTCAAATTACAGTTAAGAAATGCATGCTTAAATGATTTTTTCAACTTAAAAAAATTATCACAAAACAGTATTGTATTGTATTCTTCCACTTTAATTGGTGCAGCATATCATTTGTGTATTAGACTATGTGTGGGAAAACTTTGGCCCTCTGGGTGCTGTTAGCCCTGATCATGCTTGCTGGGGCTGATGGAAGTTGTACTTCAATAACATCTGGAGGGCCAAAGTTTCCCCACATTAGACTGCATTAATGTACTTCAGTTACATCAACCCATAAATTGTGAATTGAAAATAATTGGCAATTCCTCCATATTTTAAAAAAGAAAAAAGACAACGCAATGTATATAACCATTTGGTGCTACAGTTTTCAGGATCATTCTTATTGGGCGGAGAAAATTTGCCCCCCACTTAAATTATAATTATACCAAATGAACATTGGAAGAGAAACACATTTTACACTTCATGTAATTAATGCTATTTTTTACTGGTGGTATTATCAGGCCCATTGCTTGTGGTCAGCCATGTTGGGCACTGGCCAAAGACTCCAGGGCCTCTGACCAGACCAGCCTTTTGCCCAAATACTCACCTCCATGCTCAGGTAGTGGTATGTGCGCACTGCTTACAGCCAAGGTTGTCCCCATCTACAGTGACTTGCTAGACACTCACCTCACTGCTCAGAGGAGTGCTCTGTGCGAGGTGTCCGAGAAAATGGCTGCACTGTTACAGTAGATTTTCTACAGCTAGAAAATCTTTTAAAGTATTTGTAGCCACCATTGGCCCTTTCTCAGATCTCAGATGTGGAGGAGATGGTAGATAATCCACCACCACTTATGCTACTTCAGGGGACAGGAGGGATGGGGGTAGCAAGAGGGAAAGAAGAAGAAGAGGAGTTTGGATTTGATATCCCGCTTTATCACTACCCGAAGGAGTCTCAAAGCGGCTAACATTCTCCTTTCCCTTCCTCCCCCATAACAAACACTCTGTGAGATGAGTGAGGCTGAGAGACTTCAGAGAAGTGTGACTAGCCCAAGGTCAGGCAGCAGCTGCTGCTGGTGGAGGAGTGGGGAAGCAAACCCGGTTCCCCAGATTATGAGTCCACCGCTCTTAACCACTACACCAGACTGGGACTGGTAGAGGATAGTATTGCTGTTGCCACAAAGAGAAGGACTGGGACAGGAGTAGAGACCCCGCTTCCCTGTAGTCTGGTGTTGGCCCTGAGCAGGTCCCGTGCTGAAATACATTTCTAGTACAGTGGTGCCTCGCAAGACGAAAATAATCCGTTCTGTGAGTCTTTTCGTCTAGCGGTTTTTTCGTCTTGCGAAGCAACCCTATTAGCGGCTTAGCGGATTAGCGCTATTACCGGTTTAGCGGCTTAGCGGCTATTAAAGGCTTAGATAAAGGGGGGGGGGAGCGAAAAAAATCGCAAGACTCGCAAGACGTTTTCATCTTGCGAAGCAAGCCCATAGAGAAATTTGTCTTGCGAAGCAACTCAAAAACGGAAAACCCTTTCGTCTAGCGGGTTTTTCGTCTTGCGAGGCATTCGTCTTGCGGGGCACCACTGTATTGATTTTTCCCAATGTAAATATTGGAAAAGGAGCTGCTGGTGGCAATTTCTTTCTCCCTCTATTGAACTTTGCTGAATGGGACAAGCTTGCAGCACTGGTGTGACTTCTCTGTTACAGGAGCTACACAGAAATGTATCAAGAATTTTAAGGGAACATGGTTCACACCACAAGAATTTCTGATTGAAGGAGAAATTGGAGGTACAAACTGGAGAAGAAGTATCCGCTATCAGGGGGCTCCTTTAGAAACATTAATAAAGGTATGCAGTTCACTTCTATTGGCTATAATTTTAATGCCTCGTTCTTTACTTGTAATTACAAAGGAGTTTCAAATGATGCCACCACGGCTTTCCATATATTTATCCACACATATTGTTCTGTTACAAGGACAATATCCTGTATTGTAAATGAACAGCAGCACAAATTGTTTTATGAAAAAGCCATTGTCTAGATTCTAGAATGCCCTAAGACAAGAGCTGCCCACAGACAGGTGATAGGTTGCCTGCAAAGGCCACCACTGGTTTCCCTGAACAGACACTGCTGAGTGTTGACTTTTCATTTTTTGAACAGTAAGGCTCCAGCTCTTCTTGAAAATCAGTTATGGGACAAAACGTGCAGATACCTTCAAAGCAATTTCAGTGAAATAATTTGAGTGTGGTGTGACTACCTTGTATACATTTCCTGTTGCTGAGGAATGCTCTCTGTTGCTATTAGACAGCAACAGCATTCATATGTGTGTAAATAAAAATTCTGTGATCTTCACAGTCAGAACCAGTGGGACATAGCTGACTTCCTATGGTATTCCATCAGGTTGCTGGGGATAGCTATCTTTCTTATTTTGTTTTATCCCATTCCACCCCACCCACAATGGCAACTATTTTGTGCCCCCAGCATTGTCGCAAAATTTGAAATGTACCCACTGATTCAGAAAGGTTGGCGACTCCTGGCCTAACACAATGTAGAACTGAGCAGACATAAGGATTGTGCCAGCTAAAGGCAAGATCTGTATTCCACGAATCTATGGAATGATCTATGGAAGTTTTATGATTACAATAAAGACTATGTGATATTTATTATAAAAATAACAAACAAATCTGATGGCACAAATTGATTATAGTATCAGCTTTTCTAGATTGGAGGTCCCATCATTAGATACATGAAGTTCAATCCTCGGTTGCAGGGTAGAGTAGGAACAGAATTCTCAGTGGTAGGGATTGTAGGCAGTGAGGTCAGTGGGAAATTAAATGCAAAAAGTACAGACCACGATAATTCAATTAGAGCTGGGATTGTTATATATTTCATTACTTATAGGCCACCTTTCAAAGTTATCTTTCTCAAGGTGACTTTCAGCATACTAAAACACAAAATACTGCAAGCATAAAAATCATAATATACAAGACAACAGGTGTGCCAAATGAGCACTGTGATGCTTTGCAACAGCTGTGCCCATTCATGAAACTCAGTAACAATCCATTTCATGCAGAATACATTAGTAACACTGAATTTATTATCTGTGGTGGGGTAAGAAACCCCTGTATCTCTTCAGACCAAAATGGAAGTAATTCAACTTTTCACATGGGAACCTATCTTTGATGTTCGTTTGCTCAAACATGGCAAATTTAAGGTTAGTAGCAGAGTGTTCCAGCAGAATGAAATATTTTCCTACTGGATTTTAAACAAATATAAATAGTGAGGTGTCAGTAATATGTCTCATTTCCACCATCTAATTCAGATTATGTTTGGGGATTCTGTTTGTGCTTCAGAGCAAAACTAATAAATGTGATGTTTATTTCAGGATGGCATGCTACCTGAGCCAGCACGAACTACCCCAGGGAAAAATAAGGTAAACAAAATGTGAACACTTTTACTAGATTGATTGTAGACAATGCACCTATCTAAATGGGCATCTACACATTTTATTTGTCCATTTATGCATTAAGACATTTCTGTCTTGATCATCTCCAAAAAATTTAATATTTACTTCAGAATAAGGAGGTACAAAACATAATCAACAAAAACATTAAAGCAGTACTAAGATTCATAAATAGCCTGACAAAAATGCTGAGTTTGTACCTGGTTCCATATGAATATAATAAGGTGGTAAGACTCACCTTAGTAGAAAGTTACAGATAGGTAGCCATGTTGGTCTGCCATAGTCAAAACAAAAAAAAAAAATCCTTCCAGGTGCTACTGGAAGGAATTTTTTTTGTTTTGACTTAGTAGAAAGGTCATTCTACAGATGCAGAGCCATCACCAAAATCAATTTATTAATTGATTTCTTCAGATTTCATAGGATGCATGTCGGTTAATGTACTATCTATAGAAATGTATACTATACTTTAAACAATATTGTTCTCTGTCTCTTACTTGGAATCTGATCATATATTTGTGTGAGGAAATGCTGAAGGAAAGTATCTGCTATCCCATGAAACCTTTTCCTCCTTTATATCTGGTTCAATATAATTTTCATACCCTAATTCAACCCTAATTCAAAAAAGGATGCGGGTGGCACTGTGGGTTAAACCACAGAGCCTAGGACTTGCCGATCAGAAGGTCGGAGGTTCGAATCCCCGCGACGGGGTGAGCTCCCGTTGCTTGGTCCCTGCTCCTGCCAACCTAACAGTTCGAAAACATGCAAGTGCAAGTAGATAAATAGGTACTGCTCTGGCGGGAAGGTAAACGGCATTTCCGTGCACTTCTCTGGTTCGCCAGAAGCGGCTTAGTCATGCTGGCCACATGTACGCCCTTGGTCAACCCATCCCTTTCTCAACACCCAGTACAGAAACACAGTGAACTGTCAATGAAAGAAAAGACAGATGTCTTTTTCCATTGGCAATTTGCTGACAGGCCGGATTGGGAGCCTTAATGGGCTATGCCCAGGGACGCGGACTTATAAAAAATATTGGGGGGGCCCGGGAAAGCTCATGAATAATAAATAAGCTCATGAATATGCAAATAAAGTGGTGCCGCCTCCTCGTGAGCGAATAGGGGAGAGCGTGCTGCGCCTATTAATCAGCTCCAAAGGAAATTGGGTGGAGCTTTTGCTCGGGAGGGAGGGCAGGAGGCATGCAGCCCGCCCCTCCCTGTGCATTTTGGGCTGGGGGAGGGGCGGCGATGGCGCTCTGCTGGAGGGGCGCCGGAGATTATTGGGGGGGCGGAGCCCCCCCAAACGAATTTTTGAGGGGGCTCGGGCCCCCTCAAGCCCCATGGAGTCGGCGCCTATGGCTATGCCCGTGTCACAAGCACAGGTTCATTAACTTTAAACTGAAACTACTGCTTTAAACTGAGCAGTGACTTGCCTCTTGAACAGTTCCAGTAGCATCTTCAAGTGCCAAATCAGACAGGTAGGTGGGGCTGCCCACTTGTCAATCACAGGGTGTCATTATTATCCCACCCACCTGTCAAAATCTGTTGCAAGGTTCCTAAGCTTCTCCTGCTGCTGCTGTGGGAAGCACGAGAAAGAAGCCTGCGTTTTAAGAAATAAGCAGCTTCTTTCATGCATTTGCCACGCTGGCAGCAGCAGGGAAAGCAAAGAGGAAAGAATAACTTCATGCTTCCCTTTATCCCTCCCCACCCCCACTACGGCTGCTGGTGGCAGTGTGTGGGGGCAAACAAAGAGAAGAATGGTGGGCAGCTGGGAGCATGTCTTGTTCCAGCAAAGGATAAATTGGAAGCCCACTTTAATCTCCCAATTGTTTCTTTGAAGCCCCACCTGTGTGACATCAGGTGTAGGGCAAGTGAGTGTGGCTTCCCCAAAATGGACTGGAAGGCCAAATGAAGAGGCCTGGCTTGCGAGCCAGAGGTCCTCCAGCCCTTCTGTGGCCTCCAAATGTTGGACTCATAACTCCCATCAGCCCCAACCAACATAGCCAATGGGTTTGAGTCATGGAAGTTATAGTCCCAACGATTGGAGGGCACTACGTTGCCTACTGCTGCTATAAGGCTCTCAGACAAGGCATTCCACTATCCCTCCCTCTTTTCAATTTTTCTTTTCCAACTGATGCTCAACATGGTGTGTTTGTTCCTTAAATATCTTTTCTTCTTCTTCTACAAATCCCAGTTTCTCCTAAACATGGTGACTGCTTCCCCTTGTTTCCCAGTGGACCTGTTTAGGCCCTCACCAGCTCAGTTTTCTATCCCCCCCTCTCCTTCAGCGCACATAAGAGACTTCCAGACAAGCCTTTAGTAGTAGTATAAAAATATGGGTGTGGGAAGGGGAAGGTTGATCAAGAAAACAGGCAAAGCAGCCTGAAGAAACAAGCTCTTCTTCATGTGTGCAATGCATAAAGGGAGAAAATATAAAATGAAGACATTCAAAAATGTTCTTTACTTAAAAGCTGAAATGTTAGCCATGACTTTATAGTGCTACTACTGGTAGTCCGTCCGTGGTGAGTAATTTTACAAGGACACCTTTGTCTACATACCTTCTTCTTAGCCCAGCAAGATGTGATGCTTTCAGGGTCCAAGAAATATTACCTGTTTGTCAGCTTCCTAAACTTCTGTTTTGCCAGACCTGAGAAAACAGGAAGATACCAAGTTGGATATTGACATATTAATTGGATACCTCCAATGACCTCTACATAAACCAAAGATAACTTCTACAAGTTATCTGTTGCAGCAAAAACAAACCAAGTTAGTTTTAAGTTTTTACTGCACACAGGTGTATATGTGGTTGTTGAAGATATTTTATGATATGCCTGCCAACTGAAAATCCTTTGTTAAAGTCTTTTAAAACCACCATTCAGGGCCCATTATGCTCACAAGGTGGTGTACAAGCAAGACCACAGATAAAAAAAACCCTCTCATTCTACCGTTTCAACAAATTTCTTTTTTTTTTACTTTAGCCAACAGATGGCATATGTGAAGTGTGTATGGAAGAAGGGTCTGATATATGCTGCAGTTCATGCTCTAAATCATTTCATCTTTCTTGCCATGTTCCAGAAGAATTGGCTGTGAAAAGGTATTTGCTTTCCTACTCTGGGTTCTAGAGTAAGGTGAAATAGTCAAGAAAGTCAGGTGTTGACAACATCACTCTGTAAAGTCCAGCAATAACTTGCTAAACTGTAGGCTTGCAAGATGTAGGCTAGCTCAGCTGTGAACTTTTGTATTAATATAGACAATAGTGCACTTTGTATTGCAAATCAATTTCACTATTTTTCTCACATTAAATAAGGTACAAGTCTATAAAAGCAAAACTACACTGTTTATAAAATCTTGTAATGATATTCCATCTCTCCTGTTTAATGCATATTAGTCCTGTTGAAGCTAAACTATAATAGAACAGTAGCTTTCAGTAATATGTTATAGCCAAGTGATATGTTATACCACTACTTCTTTTTGTTCCAGTTCAAGATAGTGTTTAATAAAAATGACTATTATGATTAGCCTTGTCATCGTGTTAGTTCTGGTGCTAAGTAATTTTCTAAGGAATGTTAGTTTAAGAAAGTCATGGTTATGGCAAACCTTCAGAAATGAATAAATAAATTTCTACCATGGCAGTATTGTCTGCAAATTGCATCTAACACTACCATCATGCTTTGTACTGCATTTTTATAGGTTTTGGAAATGCACCTTTTGCAAATGGAAAGGTAACATTTACTTCAAAGAAGACCAGGTTTTAAGGTGGAAAATGGGTGCCAAGCCAAAAAATGTGGGTAACGTAAAACCTTTTCCTATTTCAATTTAATGATAAGCAAAGTAGTAAAATTAGGGATGTAACATCAATTGCTTTAAAATTCTAAATAAAAAGTCTCCTTTTAGCAAGGCCAGCCACCTCTGTCATAAATTTCCCAATATTTTTACCACCAAGACAGCTCTACCTCTCCTTGTGACACAAGGCTTCATTTTCCAGTTTCTCCCTCCAGTTCTTCATTGGTCTTGGTTATCAAACAGCTTGAGTACTTGGTCTGCTACACTGTGTGGCTGCTACTATTTGCTGGATGGGCAGTTTGTTTCATCTGTATTGGGAGTCAGGGCATTGCATCTGGCTGGCCATTCTACAGAACAAGAATGCCATATTAAATATTTAAGCTATAATTAACAGGGAAGGGTGTTGTATAGGATTAGCCACTGGTTGAATAATTTATTGAATGGACAGTGTCCTTTTATTTGGGGGAAAGCGGAAATATAGCTGACTACTGTCTTGAGGATCTTAGAAGTCAGGAAGGACCAGTTATCTTTGTGGGGAGGAAGGAGGTGGGGGAATTGCTAATGACTGGCCACTGCTAGGTGTACACTATGTACACTAGGAGTACATAGTGATTGCAACTCACACCTTATTTCCTCCCATCTCACATTCGGCAGCTGTATTTTTAATTTTTTGTTTCTGAGATCTGCAATGAAAGGTTGTAAATAGATAGCTAGATACGTTAGAAAAGAGGGTGCTGGAAATCCTAGTTGCATGGCAGCTAACTGGTTAATACTGTGTTGCTTCATATATATTTTTCTTTGAATTCTTCTTTTTCCTTACTAGAACTCATTCAGATGAATAAAATAAAATTGATTTTTTCAGTTTATTTTGTTTGTTTTATACACATGCAAATTTAATCAATTAAGTAACCAACAATGGTTACCAATTACAATTTCTTAATTCCTAAGTAAAATCTCTAAAGGAACCCATAATAATCTATTTTGGTGAATTCTGTGAAAGTTTCATTCAAACAGCGGGGACCTGTTTCTAAATAAATATAATCAATTTATGTCTATCGGCGTGGGCTCCTTATTTCATTTGAGGCCCTTGAACATTGGGGTTTTTTTTTGTTTTATAGACATGTGAGTTCTTGCTTCTAAAGATCTGGTGTGAGCCTGAAGGTGCTGTTTTTGCTGATGAACCAGTCACAGTAAGTCATGAGGGCAAGAGTAAAATAACACAATCTTGGAGCACTATTGCTGAGATTGTAGAAATATTTTTAGTACTTATACTAATATTACTTTCTGGTGGTGCTGATTTAACAGATCCAAACATGTGATGATATCTATCCAAATAACCCGATGTGGCTCAAGAGGATTAAAGAGAAGCTGAATCTAAACCAGTACGAAACAGTGGGGGATTTCATTGGTGACCTGCGTCTGATGTTCAGCAATTTTCTGAAGTTTCATCAAGTAAGCATCAGTCTTTCCCTTCCCTTCAGTTTGTTGCCTGTGTGAGTGAGGAGGTCAAGTTAGGTTTCTGTTATACATTGAAATTAAAAACCCCAAAAGAATAAGGGTGAGGAAAAAGTAAAATATGATTCGGTGTGACTCAATTTCTCTCTGTCTCTGTCCCTCTCCTTTCATGTACTCAAACACATAACTCTCATAATGACCACAGTCACTCAGTGCTAAACCATCTAAGTGATCCTCATGTGTCCCTAAGAAAACCCACCTGGCCCCCTTCTTGTCTTTGAATGCTTGGATAGCTGCAAACCTATGTGTGGGAAGATCTCAATATATTACTTGCGGAGAAGGAGTTCTCTTCCGGAGGTCTTGAATCAGAAGCTAGACAGCTGTCATTGAAATCCCACTATCTCATTGTGATAATCTCATTGTACTTGTACATAAACTGCCACGATAACCTGAAATGGCTAGGACAACAGAAATATTTAAACGTTTCCACCAGCTGTAGACATTTTGAAGAGAAATGGTAAAATCTAAATAAATTAAGCAACAAGTCACACACATATCAAAGCTAATGTTCTATTATATTTCCCTTACAGGGCCAGGATGTCGCAGAAGATGGAAGAAAACTGCAAAATGAATTTGAAAAGAGCTTCCGAGAAGCGTTTTCTATTTGTAATTAGCTGCTTGAGGGCAGCCCAAATTTACTAAACAAAATAGTAAGAGAAACTCAACACAAAGTATCCGTCCAGGAACAAAACATAGCCTAGATCAAAATATAAAACAAGTCTAATTTAAATTCATGTCAACACAGTCTCAAATGCAATCTATGTAACACAAGAACTCAGTGAAATGTTCTCCCTTTTGGCCTAAATGTTCCCATTAGGAGTGGCGGGATTTGTCATTTTCAGTTCTCTTTTTGTCATTTTTCCATTCATAACTTCAGTTCTCCACATTTCTGTAGCAATTTGAGAATTTTGGTTTTTTTAAATCCTCATGAGAATTCTACAGCATTTTAGTGCAAAGTAAACACATCTTTGTATGCAGTTTTGACCGAAGTGCATATTTTTGCAAGCCATAATGTATTTTTTGTATGTTATTTGCAATACTATATCCATTTTAATGCAGTTGCCCCTAGTATATATACATTTTTGTAAATTTTCTTTGGTTGGAGAACAGCATCACAAAATTCCCTACAGAAGCCACCTTGAAGCCAGATGTTCGTGTCCATGGGAGGAAGCTGCTTAGTCTAGAGCTGTTCCATCTGTCAATCCTGCTCTCTGCTCATCTCCACCACAGCAGGAACAAGGAACCAGGAGCAGGTGTTACAAAAGCCTATTTGCTACTCATAAGCTCCTGTGGCCATCATGGCTCAAGGTACTCACTAGATGATTTATCCAGGGGTAGCAGGTCAAGCATCTTAACTCCAAGCCAGCTGCTCACCTCTCTGGCCAGGCAGCTTCTGAAATAAGTACCTGGAGTTGGTTGAGACTAGCAAAACGGTCTTCAGGTGGTATCACTTCAAGCCAGTTGCTCAACACTAAGGGCTCGTCCATTCTTCACTTGCCCCACATCTAGAAATCATGGGCCTGAGAGTTTTCTGCTTTCTAGGCACGGGACTGAGCCCTTCCACTTTCCCTGGGGAAACCCACTCTCTACCACTGAATCAGAGCAAACATCTACCCACGGGACTGATGCTCCGATTCAGTGGTAAGCAGCAGGGTAAATGGTACGTGGAAGTGTGGATGAGCCCTAAGTCAAAACAGTCAGGCTTCTGACCAACCCACCAGTGATTAAGGACAAGGCTTTCATATCAGAGGATGTGATGTCTGGTCTTGGCTTCATTGTAAACCAAACTGACCCAAACCTTTCAGTGCTACATAAAGATTTGGCCTTCACGCCCCTGTGGGAGCTCATATGAAAAAGATTCAGGGGCACTCATGATAAGTGGTTTGCTTGACAAGCAATAGCACTTTCAGAAACACATAACACAGCATAAAAGAATCATCAGGTATGTCACAAAACATGACCAATTTGACAGAGTAAGGTTTCCATTTATATGTGGGGTGGTTTATTGTCTACTCCACTTGTGAAATGCACTCGGCTTAAATGCCTGACTCACTGTTTTCAACCATGTATTGTTTGTAGGTGTTTGGGAAATTACAGTCCACACATGTTATAGATAATTTATTATGGTCAAAGACCAGCTCGCATAACACAATAAAAACATCGTTCATAAAGATAAAATATACAATCAGAGCAGATTGCAGCAATAGCTCATGAGTTAAAATTGAGATATATAAATACACCTGTACAACTGAGATTTGGGCTACCATAAAAATTGACCCTGGGGCACCCCAAAGGGCGACTTCAGCATTTCCCTGGTAAGCTATTTTATTCTAGAGGAAGATTTGTGCCTACGAATCTGGGTGCGGAATCTGGCTACCAGCCAGGTCGCCTTGTGATCTTTGCCTAAGAGGAGAGAATTAAGTTTAGACTTGTCTGAAAGATCGGCGAGCCTCTTCAGCAAAGGATCAGTGGTGTCTCTACAAATCTCAACATAAAAAGGACATCTAAAAAATATATGTTCAGGACTTCCTATTTCCCCTAATGGACAGGTGCAAAGTCTCTGTGCATACAGGACTCTTCTATAGGAGCCTTCCAGAACCGGTGAGGGCAAGGTCGAGCTTCTAGCAAGAGTGAAAGCCCTTCTTGCGTTTCTGGATGTGAGCAAATAGAGATATGTTGCTGGAGTGGCTACGTATCTCCCATTTTCTATGATTTTATAATCAGGGACCCTTGTACAGTCCTGTTGTCTCTCTATGTCCATGATTCTTTGCCTAACCATGGATCTAGCTTGCCCCAGGCCCATAGTTATGAGGGTTTGGGGAGCAAGTCCCAGTTTCTGAAGAGTGTTTAAGACTGCTGTCTGCCAGCCAGACAGACTGAAACTGTTCACTCAGAATCAATGGGGCTATTCCTTGGGGGAGCAGTTTCAGAGTTAGCCACTTATATATTGAGGTTAGACTAATAACAGCTTCGACTTTCATCATCCCTGCTTCTAGTCTGACCCATGCATTTGAAACGCATCTAGGAACTTGTAGAAGGGCTCTGAGGAGTTTGGATTGCACTCTTTCAAGGAAATTACAGTCCACATGTTAAGTATTTGTCCTTGTCCTCATTATTTTTTTACCACAGTTCTGAAAACAGATAAAATATTTGTTGAAAAGGAAAATGGAAAAGGATGTGGTACCAAAGCAGCCCAGGTCACTTTTAAAAAAATGAATTGTTGGGCCAGCTTCCATTTTATTCCTAATACACATCTGCATTAATCGTCTCAAATCAATGGCTCCACTTTTCTTTAGTGCAGCTGTACTTTGAAGCAGACAAAAGATGGCTAATTTCTTCATATGCACTGTACTGTTTGATGTATCAAGCTTTCTACACTGCTGCAGGGAGTGGGAGAAGCCCCCTCTCTGCAACAAGGAAATGAACGACGCTCAAGAGAAAGGGGATTTTGCTAAGTTTAATCACTAGCTTTTGCATTAGGACTAGAAAATGTAATTTTTGTTGAAAATGTGAATTGAGCGAGCAACCTGCAATAAGGCACATAAATTTGTGCATGTAAAGATGTGAAATATAGAAGACTTCATGGAAATAAAATAGCTGGCTTTGCACAACTCTAGTTGGACTCTTCTTTTCTTGGCCCTTCTATTTCTTTAGCAGCCAAAAATTTGACATATGTTTTTTCAGTGGTAAAGATAAGTGGCAGGAAGAACATCACCTGCTAAATTATTCTTTTTAGGCACAGGATTAGAGGCAAAAAAGCACCTGCATTGGGACACCTTCCAGTCTTCCTACCAACTTGACATCTTGAATATATGTGAGAGCAGTTTAAGTGAAAATATGGGAAGGGGAGAGGGCTTGTTGGCTTTCTTACTGCCTGAAGAATATGCTGTCATTGGACTATTGTAGGGTTGCAATCCACCTGGCATTTCCAGGACATATATGGAATATAGCTGTCTCTAGCAGTGTCCTGGTGGAAATCTGCTAAATGTCTGGGAAAATACGGATGTATGGCAGCCCGTGTTGGCAGTGCCGTTTTGGCCTATCTTCCATAAAAATAAACAGCATTTTTTGCATTTTTGCTGAAAAAAATATCTGGCCAAAACTAAAAAAAGCTCAGCATCTTTGCCCCCACCCCAAAAGGACTTCCACTGAAAAGCAACAAGTCCATTAACTTGCCAGCCCCATGTGAAAGTTGAACACGAGAAAGAGACTGAATCCACAATCAATCAATCAATCAATCAATCAATCAATCCATTTTCTCCGCCAAAGTCTTGCGCCCTGCCAAGCCTCTCTATACTCCGATCGTGGATCAAGCTGCTTCACTGAGCTATACAGCGTGCTAACATCCATCGATAAGTCAGTAGCGGGACTAACTAAAACAGTTTATAGAAGAGATAGGAATTATCCGCGTCATGATTCTCAAGGCTGCAGCACCGCTTTGATGTATTGCAAGGAGAAAGGCACTTTGGCGAAGGAATTCGTGCGAGTCCTCCTCTGTACAGACGATGCGCACGCACTGGAGTGTATGCTCAGTTCACGTGTCCTGGAAAGCCCTGGCGGATCACGAGGGGTGGAGACAGAGCAGAGCTCTGCTAGAACGACACGTGTGCGTGTGTGACAAAAGAGTGCATAACGTTTCATCGAGGGAGACACGCTTTATGGGCAAAACCTATTGCGACAGGTGTGGGGGAGCGAGGGAATGGGCATTTCATCTCCTGAGAAAGGGGTTAAGGGCAGAGCGACCAGTTCTCCGCCTCCCCGCGCTAAACGAGCCCGCAAGAAACAAATAGCAACCCTCGTTCAAGTTCATTGCGGAAGTGATGTCTTCACTTTCGTTTCTGCTGAATACCTCGGCCGAGAAAGACAGTTCGGGTAGTGTGGCGGCGCTGGGCTGTTTTCATGGAAGGTGGCGCTGGTGCCTCGGCGCCTCACGCCTCTGCTCTGACCAGTGCCAAGGAGAAAGAGGGAAGTAAGTGCCCGGTTCATTCCCATACAGGGGAAGGAGTTGCTGCTTCAGTCTCAGACGGTGTTGGCGGAGTCCCCGCCCCGTCCCATAGGCTTTCTCGGGCCGTCGTTTTGTAACCCGGATTGGAAGACCCTTATAAGGGGCTCCCTGGCCCTTGTGCGCCCACCACCCGCGTCCTAAGCGAGGCGGGAGCGCCCGCTGGGGAAACCTGGGAGCCGGGAGGGATTGGGCGGGAAATTCGAGTTTGAGCGGGGAACTGTGTGGGCAGCAGCGAAGGAAGTAAAGCAGCCCTTCTCAAAATGCCAGCCTCCAGAGGATGTGCTTCATTAACAGCCACGTCACAGTTATTTGCTTAATATTATCAGACCCGGAAAGTGAAGATTCTCCTTACAAGTGGTGAGCGAGCAATAGTACAAAGGGCTGGTCACACTCTGCTAATGTGCTTCCTCCAAAACATGGGGGCGTTGGCTTCTTTTGAAAATAACGATCAGATTTGCATCCGTGTCACACAGTAACCCCCCCCCATATGTACATATGTACAGTACAGTGGTACCTCGGGTTACAGATGCTTCAGGTTACAGGCTCCACTAACCCAGAAATAGTACCTCGGGTTAAGAACTTTGCTTCAGGGTGAGAACAGAAATTGTGCGGTGGCAGCGGGAGGCCCCATTAGCTAAAGTGGTATCTCGGGTTAAGAACGGACCTCCAGAACGAATTAAGTTCTTAACCCGAGGTACCACTGTACAAGTGGTGAACTTCCTGACAGTAAGAGCTGTTCGACAGTGGAATTAGCTGCCAAGGAGTGTGGTGGAGTCTCCTTTTTTGGAGGTCTTTAAGCAGAGGCTTGACAACCATATGTCAGGAGTGCTCTGATGGTGTTTCCTGCTTGGCAGGGGGTTGGACTCGATGGCCCTTGTGGTCTCTTCCAACTCTATGATTCTATGAAGTTTTTCCTGCCTTCCAAAGTTTGGACAAGATGTGTAAGAATAATAATAATCATTATTAATATTATTATTATTTATACCACACCCATCTGGCTGGGTTGCCCCAGCCATTCTGGGCAGCTTCCAGCAAAATATTAAAATACAACAATTCACCAAATATTAAAAGCTTCCCTAAACAGGGCTGCCTTCAGATGTCTTCTAAAAGTCAGATACTGTAGTTGTTTAATTCTTTGACATCTGGTAGGAGGGCATTCCACAGGTTGGGCACCACTACCCTCTCCTTGGCGCTTCAAGCTGTGGCAATCTTAAGAGCAGTAAAATACGAAGCATAATCCTTTTAAGCATTTGTCATATTTACAACCTCCTTGGGACTCAAAGTAGTAACAGCTCAGATGGGTGTAGCCAGGATTTATGTTTTGGGAGGGGTGCAGAACCAAGCTATCTGCGACACTGTCAGTTCATTTATTTATTTACTTGATTTAAGGGGGGGCGGCTGTCCCCCCCCCTTGGCTACAGTCATGCCCAGATGGTCTTGCTTCTCCCATTGCCACAGCCTTGGATTCAAGCAGGGGCGCCGACTTATAAAAAATATTGGGGGGGCCCATACCGGGGTCCTGCCCCGGGAAGTTTTCTAAGTTCCCCGCCGGGCGGGGCCGCTGCAGAAGGGTGAGTGGCGAGGGCGGGACGGGACGGGGCCGCGCGCTCCTTTCCTCGGCTGCCCTCGTTGCGCGCCTTGGCTCCCGCGGCCGGCGAGGGGAGCCCGGGCCGCACGCGGCTGCTGCTGCCGCCTCCGCCTCTCCTGGGGGCGCCGCCTCCCCGGGCGGGAACGCTGCGGGTGCGCGAGGGAGGAGGGCGGCCCCCGGGGGCTGGGAGAGCCGGGCTGCCGTGGCCGAGAGGGCTGCTCTGCCGGGCGCCGCTGAATATAACTAATAACTTTCTTAAATTATTGGGGGGGCAGAGCCCCCCCAATAAAATTTTTGAGGGGCCTATGGGGGTCACGAAGAGTCGGACGCGACTAAACAACAACAATGCTCTGACAATTTGTCAGAAAGTTCTTCCTGATATTTAGTCAGGATTCTTTCTTGTAACTTGAATCCATTGCTTCGAGCCCTACCCTCCAGAGCAGGAGAAAACAAATTTGCTCTACCATCTTCCGGGTGATATCTAAAGATGGCTCTCGTATCTCCTCTCAGTCTCCTCTTTTCCAAGGCTAAACATCCCCAGCTCCTTCAACCGTTCCTCATCAGGCTTGGTTTCCAAATCATCTTGGTCGCCCTCCTCTGCACACATTCCAGCTTGTCAACATCCTCCTTAAATTGTGGCGCTCAGGACTGGACCCAAGACTCCAGATGTGGTCTGACCAAGGCAGAACAGAACAGGACTATGATTTCCCTTGATCTGGACCCTAGATTTCTGAGGATGCAGCCTAGAAGAGCGTTAGCTTTTGTTTTTGCTGATGTTGCATCAAACTGTTTCTTACCATCCCTTTCATGTTGTTTTGCTTGCTGGCTGCTTTGAATAGATGTTTGCCCAGGAAACCAACTTAGCAACATTTTAATTAAAAATAAATAAATAAAGGGAGACAAGCTGGCATTCTTGAGAGAGGCAGGGCTCCCTTCTCAGTACGCCGGAGTCAGGCCAGATGCAACAACTTCCATGTGGGGCAACTGTCGTGCCATCCCCTCTCGCATAACACAGGTGGGATAACAGAAAGGTGCAGTAGCAGGAAGTTGGATGAAACTGAGGCAGCAACGCCCTGTCTCTCCTCTGACACAGTTCTGCTGCGATTCTCCTAACAGATGCTCAATAACAGGCTGGGTGTGCCACATGAGCTTTTACGGTTCAGATCAGAGCCGGGCATAACGAAAGGTGGAGCTGGGCTTCCACAGGTGGTATGGACAGGTGAGAACATCAGCAGCGGGAAGGAAAAGAACCACAGGACTGTAGAGCTGGGAAGGGCCCCCCAGGGTTCATCTATTCCAGTCCCCCCCCCCCGCAACGTAGAAATCGCAGCTTAAAAAATCCCTAACAGATGGCCACCCAACCTCTGCTTTAAAAGCTCCAGTGAAGAAGAGACCACCATATTTTGGTCGAATGGCTCTTAGCAGCCAGAAATTTCTTCCTAAAGTTTAGCTGGAATCTTTGGAAAGGTGAGACTCTGGAGACGAAATCTGGACCGTCCAGGGACTTGGGTTCCCCATCCCAAGCTGGAAGAATCCTGACTTAGGAGAGAAAGTGGGCGCTGCTGGGGCTCATCTCCATTCTGGGCCCTGGGGTTGGAGGTCTCTGCCCCGAAGACCATCCAATCTTGGCTTAGGAGGGGGCAAACGAGATGGGGCAGAATCTGGGCAAAAAATAGCCTGACGGCCTTAAAGGAACCCCAAAGCCTGAGTCCCGACGGTGGAGAGATTTTGGGGGCAGTAGCGATAAGCGACCCCACCATCCCAAAAAAAAATCCTTCCCACCAGCTGCGCCAGGGAGCGTTTTGCGCGCAGTTGCATACTAGGAGAGATCAGGCACTCTGCACATGCCCAGACGCTCTCGGAATCGGCACCGAGCTGCTACTGCAACCGCCACCCCCCCCCCAGCAGCACCAAGGGATCCCGGGGCGCACCCCCCACCCCACCCCACCCCGGCCCGCTTCAACCACTAGGTGATGCTCCCCCTTCACTCACCGGGGCGGCTGCCGGCTGAGCCGGGGTGTGCATGGCTACGGCGGCGCTTCGGCCCGACGGGGGCGGGGCGGGGCCAGCCGGGCTCACCTGCCCGCCCTCGGCTCACCTGGGCCGGCGGAGGCTCCTCCCCCAGGGTGGGAAGCTTCTCCCAAGCGGCCCCCGTGCTGTCCCTGGGCGGCCCCTGTCGGAGTCAGCGCTCGTTGGCCGCTTTCTTGGGAAGGAGAATGAAGGCTACCGGGAGGAGAGGGAGCGTGGTGTAGTGGTTAGAGTGTGGGGCTAGAGAGATCAGGGTTCAAATCGGACACCCCGAGGTTCTCCGGGTAGGCGCTTGGGTTGGGGGCTGCCTCTCTGCCATAGCTGTCAATTTACAGATTTGTGTTGTTGTTTTTAATAAGATATTTATTGAGATTTCACAAAAGAAATTGACAAAGGTTTACAAAGAAACCTTTGTAAGGGGGAGCCCGGGCCGCGCGCGGCTGCTGCTGCCGCCGCCGCCTCTCCTGGGGGCGCCGCCTCCCCGGGCGGGAACGCTGCGGGTGCGCGAGGGAGGAGGGCGGCCCCCGGGGGCTGGGAGAGCCGGGCTGCCGTGGCCGAGAGGGCTGCTCTGCCGGGCGCCGCTGAATATAACTAATAACTCTCTTAAATTATTGGGGGGGCTCCGCCCCCCCAATAAAATTTTTGAGGGGGCTCGGGCCCCCTCAGGCCCCATGGAGTCGGCGCCTATGGATTCAAGCAGAAACGAAGCATGGCTCTCCCTCTCAGGCTTTTGCCTGCAGCCTGCTTCTAATTCCTGCTCTCACATACCATGCTGACTTTTGTCCTTCTTACCACCCATTTGCAAAATGACGTCATGCGCAGAAGCGGCGAATCGCAACCCGGGCATGCACAGACACGTCGCTGCAGGTTGTGTTCCTTTCATCCCGTTCACAACCAGAGGTACCACTGTACTAACAACCCATGCAGTACTTTGGGGCTAGTGTGGCCCCTGCCTGGCTACTTCAACAAAAGAATCCTCCATTAGATTGCTGGATCCAGGAATTGGAAGGACCCATGCAGGAGAAGAAATTCACTGTATTTATTTCCCCCAATTTGAATTGCATTTATTTTCCCCTGGTGGTGATTTCAGGTTTTTTTTTAACATTAATCATTTCCCACATACTCTTCAAGTTTTTATTATGTCTTTTCCCAGGCCTTTTTAATAATTTTACATTGCCACCACATATAGTAGCTCTTATGCATTTTACCTTCCCTTCCTGCTTCTTCTCTATCACAGTCAAAGTCTCCCAAATCTCGAGTTGCACATGTAATCTGTCCTGGAGGCACATCCGCAACTCAAAGCATTCACATCCAGAATGCGTAGCGCTTCTGCACATGGGCCAGCGGTGAAACCGGGAAGTAATCGTACTTCCAGGTTGCCGCAGGACGCAACTTGAAAAGACATAACCTGAAGCAGATGCAACATGAGTTATAACTGTAATACCATTTTTGTCTTGAATTACTCTTACTTTTCTTTGTCTCTCTACCATTTTCACGTTGGTGGTTTGTGTGTTTGACTCTTTTAATTGTCCCACAGCCTCTGCAAGTATGTTATTACTTTTACAGATTTGAGAAGCTGCCTTATTAACATCTTTTATCTGATCAAACAGTTCTCTTTTCATGTCTAAAAGAAAATCATACAATTCATCTTACGTTCTTTTGCATGACGGCCTGGTTTGCTTGTTTTAACATATGGATTTTTTCCTCTGCCATTTCTAGTTTGGAGTAAAGGGGGGCTAACTCTCCCTGTTTCCCAGCTTCCTCTAGGGTTTACTTTTAAAACAAAAAGTCCTTTCCCACCACTAATAGTGTTATTTTTAGCTTTGTCAATACTTTGCCAAGGACATTTCACTAGGTTCAGAAGAGGAAACCAGTGCTTCCAACTTTATCCCTCCCCTCTCCCAACTTACTCACAAATATAATTTATAACAGTTATATATTCACATCCAAATCATTTCTATATATTCAATATAATAAGTCTATACAATTAAATATTGATTCTAATTTAGGTAAAGGTAAAGGGACCCCTGACCATTAGGTCCAGTCGTGGCCAACTCTGGGGTTGCGGCGCTCATCTCGCTTTATTGGCCGAGGGAGCCAGCGTACAGCTTCCGGGTCATGTGGCCAGCATGACTAAGCCGCTTCTGGCGAACCAGAGCAGCGCATGGAAACGCCGTTTACCTTCCCGCCGGAGCGGTACCTATTTGTCTACTTGCACTTTGACGTGCTTTCGAACTGCTAGGTTGGCAGGAGCAGGGACCGAACAATGGGAGCTCATCCCGTTGCGGGGATTCGAACCGCCGACCTGATTCTAATTTAGTCCAGTATTAATAATGGATGTTCTAGTCCTCTTCTTTTGATCTTGATTTAGCCAGCAAGTGCCTTTTAATAAATTAAATGACAGTTATAATTCCATTAGGTTAGACGTCTTCAGCACTTTTATAGAACATAAGTTTCTCTCTCAAAGTTATATGATTTCCCAAGTGCTAATCTTCAAAAAATATATAAAAATGCAGTTTTCTTCCTTCAAGAAACATTGTAATCCTTCTCAGATTTATCCTGCATTCTACATCAAGTTCAGTCTCACCATAGGATCCAGTCAAGTTCAGATTAAGTTCAGGTCAATATCTTGTTTAAAAAGCCTTGAGATTGGTATGAACAAAAGCTATGCGTATTCCTTTTATTCTAATCACTTATTAGTTAACTTATCTCCCAAAGTAAATTTCATCCACACTTCGCTTGTATGTTTTGGTGCTCACAGCACCCAGAATGGGAGTGGACTTTCTTTTATCACTCCCATTTTCTTGCCAGATTCGCCAAATTAGTCAGTCCCATTAGTCAGATTCCTCACCTTTCAATCGGCACAATTGTTGGAAAGACTTCCGCTTGTGGCTGGATCAGAGGCTTGCTTCTACACAGCCGCAATGGTGCCTAGCTCACCGGCGTGCTCGGCTTCCCCGGCACTCTCTGCTCCTTTCGAAACAGGAGCAGGGACCGGCAATGCCATCTGTGAGCCGCAGGACCCGGAGACCCCCCAATGCTCCTCTTGGGGTTTTTTTGGGAGGTGCTTCGCCCTAGCGCTCTTCCCCCAGGCTCCATGAAGCCGAATCTAACGGAGCCGTCAGATTCGCAGTCCGCTCACCATGTTGCGGAAATCCAGAAGTGAGCACTTGGTCTTTAAAAGGTTCGCCATCAGTAGCTCCTCCCTTCCCACCCCCAAAAAACTGCGGTTTTTGGGAATACAGGGCTGCTTTTATGTTAAGAAAGCTGCTGCACAGGTGATGAGAGAAAGCAATAAAGGCTTCAAAATTATGATGAATATGCAGACATAGCTTTACAGATATTCAACATACATTAGATGCCATGCTAAAATGTTTTTCTATAGCCAGGCCTTCAGCTGATTATGTAATCTATGGCTTTTAAAATGTGTTTATGCGAGGATGGTTATTGGCGTATGTCTGTTCTTTTGTTATGTATTTTGTGTTCTCATTTTATATTTTTATATTGTAAACTGCCCTGTGATCTTTGGATGAAGGGCAGTATGCAATTTTAATTATTAATAATAATACATTTTTAGTTACCCAGAATGCTGGAAATAACTCTACTTCAGAAGCGAACAGCAGTGAATTATCAACTTCCACAGATGAAAGTGATCCGGATTACTCCTTAGGAAATGGCCGTGAGTACTGTACCAACAAGGATATGTAGGGGAGTTTAAGGCATGTAGTTCAGGGAAGAGAGGTTGGTCATGCAAAGAGCCAGCAAACAAACCAGAAAGTCTTTCATTAATTATATTTCCATTTCATCTGAACCAGGAAACTATAGTGAAAAGCTTTGAAACAAGCAGAATATTAAGCCATTGCTTAATATCCTGGCTTGTTCCAAAGCTCTTAAGTGCTGTTTTCTGGTTTGGGTGATGAGAGAAGTTCCATTTAATTGAAATTTGGATAATGTTTTACCAAATTATGATTTAAAATGTGGTAGGGTTTCCAAAACAGTTCAAAGGCTTCATGGAGTTCGTCTAGCACTGGGCACTGTCTTTAATGCAGCGTGAAGAAGGAACTAGAAATAAGTGTGTGTAATTAATTGGAAACATTTTCTTAAGGAACAACAAATGCAGTAAAGAGAAAGAGAAAGAGAAAGCATCGAATGCAATATACTGAAAGATGGAATGGTAGAAGAATTCGAAAAGGTAAAAAGTTCAATGCTGTAGAATGTCACAAACTTTTCATAAGGTTGTAAAATTTCTGAGACTAAGGTTGCAGTTTTCTGCTGGCGAAGCCCATTCTTTTCCTCACTGTTTTCTTCATTTAGCCTGCCACTCATGCCTTAGTGTTAATAGTTAAGTACTTCATTCCATCACTCTGTTCTAGAACTTCACTGGAGTGGACTGGCAGATTGTAAAATGCTTAGAGGTTTCATTACAACCAAGCAGTATATAAATTCTGTTGACTATGAATATAATTCACAATCTTTTCACTTCTCTCTCAGATTAAAATTTACTCTTACTAGAAGTGATCTGAATTACTTTCAGATGATATGAAATATTCTGTGCTGCATGTTGGTGGTCTGGAGTTTGGTATCAGATTTATTTTCTAGAAGCCCAAAATATAGGAATTTTAACTATTTGACTTCGATTTCCTGATCTCATCTAGTAAAACGAAGGCAGATTCAAATTCAAGAGGAGGATTTGCAGGGCTCCACCCTTCTTGTGCATTGTGGACAAGTTAAAGGTGTTTTATATAAGGAGAAATTGGCAGCAGGTAAACTATTGGTTTTGAAGAGTATATCTGTGTGTATTAAATCTGTACAAAGCATATAATATTAATGGCAGATTTAAAAATTGGGATAGGAAGGATGCCATCATGTAGTTAGTATATGACTACCATTTGCATTTGGGGAAGAACACTTTCTTCTACATATCTTCTCAAAACAGAAATAAGTCCCATTTCATTTACCGTATTTGTTCATTTAAAAGCATAAATTCAGTGTATTCAAAGACACAAAGCAGGGTCTGGTCTTATGGGTCAGGGAAAGCTTGGGCAAAAAGCTATATCTTTACATGACATCGGTGTTCACTCAAAATCTGGCCACAGTATTCTTCACCAGCTTCAGCTTCTTGCCAATCCCAAGGGAAGTCTCACATAGAGTGCATTATAGTAGTCCACTTGGAAGGTTCCTAGGTAAGTGTATATAGAAGCCCCCAAATTTTCCCCAGAAGACAGTTTATTTTATATTATACATATCCCATTCTGCTTATGGAGCCAGGGTAGCGTACAGCAATTACTTCAGTATCATAATGAGATTTTCAGTCATTTGAATCCCTCTTAAAAGCACAAGTGATTTCATCAGCTTTAAGTATTTCATCATGTAATTTATGAATTTGACTAATTTTTTTATAGTTTTCACTTCCCATATACTGTGAAGTGAAAAGAAATACCAGTACTTCTCTATTGTCAGAACCAAAAGTGTGCAGAAATGTGATTGTAGAGTTTTCAGATGGATTGCCTCTTCAATCTGCAATTTTACAATCGCTAGCCATGAGACGGTTGCGGTAGCTGCTGCTGCTGCTGCTGCTGCTTCTTTGGCGATCACTCGTAGCTGAGTAATACAGCAAATAGAAGGCACCTTTCCTCAGACACTGCTCAGCAACATAGCCAAATAATGTAGACTGAAAAATTACTCAAGGTATCTTAGATTTAATCAAAGCCAGATTGCCATGCTGTACCATTAAAAAATGAGGTTATGCATGATTCATCTTAAAAATAAGCAATCAAACAATTTTATATAACCAGCATGTAAGCAAATAATGGAATAGTTCAGCAGAGGAGCTGCTGAAGTATCAAGACAGACTTGTGTTCCCTGATCAGTGATTCTTATTGCATACCTATTTACAACAAAATCAAACACTGAATAGTTTTAGTCAGAAGCACCAAGCCCCATGCAGAAATTTATTGTAGTGCTTATATCAGAATCTCTGTTCATACGTTTTTTTTCTAAAGTAAAAAGGTAAAGGGACCCCTGACCATTAGGTCCAGTCACGGATGACTCTGGGGTTGCGGCGCTCATCTCGCTTTATTGGCTGAGGAAGCTGGCGTAGAGCTTCTGGGTCATGTGGCCAGCATGACTAAGCTGCTTCTGGCAAACCAGAGCAGTGCACGGAAACGGCGTTTTCTAAAGTATATATTGGATAAATTGTTGACAGATTTCTTACATGATTCAGTGAACTTTGCTGATTGGGATAGGTGTGTAACATTCATGTGACTTCTTTGTTTGTCATAGGAATTTCGCAGAAGTCCATCAAGAGTTCTGATGGAAAGTGGTTCACGCCACCAGAATTTGAGGCTGAAGGAGAACGTGAAAGCTGGAAATCCTGGAAAAGAAGTATCCGCCATAAAGGGCTTCCTTTAGAAAAATTAATAGTGGTATGCAGTTCACTTGTAATGCCTGTAATTTTAATGCCTTATTTTCTACATGTGATCTGAAAGAAGTATCAGATGATGCTTTCAAGTTTGCAGACAGTCACGCCTTTCCTTCTTATAATCACGAATACAATATCCTGTCCTTATGTAATAATATAGTATTGTTGTACCTTCCTTGTACATGCTACAACAATGGGAGGTGTTGGTGGTGAGATAGACACAAAATTAGACTAAAAGAATTGGAAACAAAGGAATTCCTTTTGCTTGCATTTTCTGCTACTTTTTATTCTTATACAGTGGTACCTTGGGTTACAGATGCTTCAGGTTACAGAGTCCACTAACCCCGAAATAGTACCTTGGGTTAAGAACTTTGCTTCAGGATGAGAACAGAAATCGTGCGGCGGCGGTAGCAGGAAGCCCCATTAGTTAAAGTGGTACATCAGGTTAAGAACGGACCTCCAGAACGAATTAAGTTCTTAACCCGAGGTACCACTGTATGTTGCTCAGGTGTGTGCCAGTTAAAGGCAAGAGGTGTATTTCCTGGAGCAAAGATGTATTAACATTTTCAGGCACCTATGACAATAACGCATATAAATACCAGTATATGGGAGTGATGTGAGTGGTATCTGTGCTAAGAAATAGAGCCAACTTCTTATATACTGATGTCAAAAAATAGATGTTTCAAAAATAGTTCCCACTTCTTTGTGTGGATTCCCTCATTTCAAATACTATTTTGGGATCCCACTAATGCATCAGAGTAACTAATTATGTCATGCTTATTTCAGAGTGGATATCTTCCTAATCCAAAACGAATATACGGCAGGAGGAAAAAGGTAACAGTTTATCAACAGTTTTACCATATTGGTGTGTGACAGTCATAGATATTGTCAATTTATTCGTATATTATATTTTCCACAAATACACCTGTGCTCAAAGCAGTTGACATTTTAAAATATATATAAAAAAGGAACTGCACTATCAGCATGAAAAACCCCCTCAGACTATGGGTGCTGCCTGTGAGCCCTAGAAAGATGAAATGGTTGAGCCCACCACCACCTCCCTGTCAATGCTAGTAGGCCTGTTGTGAATGGAACTGGGAGAAAAGTGTTGTCTCTGGAAGATCTAGGGACTTCTACACATAATTAAGAGACGTGCCACAATGACTGTGGCCTAACTGTGGGGCAGGCATGATGGCCAGGCAATAGTAGCCGTCACCAATTGGAAGCAAAGCAAGTATGTCCACACTGAAACTTTTGCAGGTACAAACAGTATAGGAAGTAGGGTTGTGTAGAGCTGCCCTAATAACATCATGAGCACAAGCATTCATGAAGGCACAGTTAAAAGGATGTCTGGTGAGGGCTTCCAGTTTGGCTTGCCGTGATGGTGGCTGCCCATTACATCGGAGCCATTTCGCATGGAATATTTTGAGGATGAGATGGGACTACTCATCCTCCCAATCGCCCCAGGCCTGGTGGGGGGAGCTTCACCCGCAGATCACCCAACACCTGCTCCCAATCCGGGAGGAATGAGGGCACAGGGGGCGCTAGGTGGAAAACACCATGCGTCTTTTTGGCAACTTTCTGAAGTCACCACCATGAGCAACAAACTTCTGTTTTTTAAGATGAAAATTCGGACTTAATTAATGGGCATGCTTTGAGTGAGGGGAGATAAACTACTGTAATTGATTCAGCCACTGAGGTGCCAAAAGATTTGAGTGGAAGAAGGATTATCATCAGTACGGGACTGGTATGTCGGAACGGAAGGGGTGAGCCTCCTTTGTTTCTTTTTGATATACTTCGTATTTGCTATTTTACTTGGCAAATCTCCCTGGAAGGACTGACTCCTGGATTGTTTATGTACGCAAGCAGGACTGGAGAGTACTGTATTCATTGAAATAATTTGGTCTAATTATTAACAGTTTGGAAAAGATTTATGAATTTGCAATTGTGGAAATCAAGGTTTCTAGCTAAAGTACAGGCTTAATTGCTTCGGAATGAGATAAAACAGAGAAATTTGGACATATGCCTGGTAGAACTGACAGAAAGCCAAATTTCCTCCATTTTGGGATGTGTCGCAGTGGATAATCACAGGCGTGAGGAAGTGAAAGTGAAATGCCACGATCAGATTCATCATCATCATCATCATCATCATCATCATAATTTATTTATACCCCGCCCATCTGGCTGGGCTTCCCCAGCCACTCTGGGCGGCTTCCAAAAGAATATTAAAATACTATAATACATCAAACATTAAAAGCTTCCCGAAACAGGGCCGCCTTCAGATGTCTTCTAAAAGCCTGGTAGTTGTTGTTCTCTTTGACATCTGGTGCGAGGGTGTTCCACAGGGAAGGCGCCACTACCGAGAAGACCCTCTGCCTGGTTCCCTGTAACTTGGCTTCTCGCAGTGAGGGAACCTTTAAAGGTAGCCCCACGTAGAGCGCATTGCAGTAATCCAAGCGGGAGATAACCAGAGCATGCACCACTCTGGCGAGGCAGTCCGCAGGCAGATAGGGTCTCAGCCTGCGTACCAGATGGAGCTGGTAAACAGCTGCCCTGGACACAGATTTGACCTGTGCCTCCATGGACAGCTGTGAGTCCAAAATGACTCCCAGGCTGCGCACCTGGTTCTTCAGGGGCACAGTTACCCCATTCAGGACCAGGGAATCCTCCACACCTGCCCACCTCCTGTCCCCCCAAAACAGTACTTCTGTCTTGTCAGGATTCAACCTCAATCTGTTAGCCGCCATCCAACCTCCAACCGCCTCCAGGCACTCATAGTACAAAGAATATAAAGAGAGAGAGAAAGAATATAAACACCCACACAGTATTGATTTAACTCGCTTGCCAGATGAACTTGGAGGCTGTTAAAAACAAATGAAGGATTAACATCAGATTGCCTTATGGGAACTACCTGGAAGAACTATGAAAAGCAGCAGAAATGTGAGATGATCAGTACTCCCCGACCTCAGAGCATGGGAAGCCAACCAAAGATTTATAATTTGGCATAATATTTGGACTGTTTGATTATTGTATGATTTGGAATGTTTTTAATGTGGTTTTATTGGATTGTTAAAATGGAAAATTTAATAAATATCATTATAAAAGGATGTCTGGTGAGGCCACCAGAGAATGGGTCAGATGAAGAGCAGGATCCAGGGACCATGACTGATAACCAAAGAATGATTTAGGGGCCAGAAAACAGTAAGGCAAGCTGAGATTCTTGACAGCAGATGAGATGGCCTTTTACTGTATTTGCCCCAAACTAGAGCTTGGTGAACTAGGAAAGAGTATAAACAAAATGGGGATAGGCAAAAGCTAAACTGAGAAAAGGTAGTTGGCACAGGTAGTGCCAAACACACCTGGCTGAGATTTTTCTTACTAATAGCTTCTCTGATTGGATGATCCTCGGGGACCCATCCAACTCTAAAACTCTAGGATTCTAATATAAAAAATGCAAGACTTGTCTTTCTAGACTGCAGGTGCTGTGTTTTGCTGAATGACATGCAGTTTGACTATGCCTGTTGAATCATCTGTGCCTATTTTTATTTGGCAGGTAAAGAATCCATCAATATCATTTTGCGAATCAGCTCAGTTCCAGTCATCAGGTCAGTGAAAACTTTCTGTGAGGTATGTATTACAAAGCAGCGAGAGTGTTGGGTTTATATGTGGGAAGCCCAGGATCAAATTCATGCCTTTGGGTCCAAGGCTGGCTTTATAATGTGGTTGCACCAAAGGTTGCCTGGAATGCCCAATTTTGTATTGTGGTATTGTGATGTATGCCCTTTGCTGGGTGAATCTTTGATGTGCCTCTCACAGATATAGGCAAAGTCATTCCCTGTTCCCATTAGAATGCTACCATAATTCAGGACATGTATTCCCTGGATGCCCACATATGCGAACTTCATTGAAGCTTTGATTCTTTGGGGAATGACATGGCTACTGTGAAGAATAGAGACAGTCAGTTACTGAGCTTCATCATCTCCCACCCTAGCTGTGGTCTGTCATGATGACCTAGAAGAGGCCACGCCAGGGCCATCAGAAGAGGCCACACCAGGGCCATCAGAAGAGGCCACGCCAGGGCCATCAGAAGAAACTATTCCAGTGGCACCTCAGTCACCAGGCAGGACCCCACACAAGCACCTTCGAGTGAAGCTGAGGCGTCTCTCACCATCTGTACTCACCAGGGCATGGTGCAACCCTCTGGATTCACCACACACAAGCCCACTGGATTCACCACAGGCGAGCCCACCGGATTCACCACAGGCGAACCCACCGGATTCACCACAGGCGAACCCACCGGATTCACCACAGGCGAACCCACCGGATTCACCACAGGCGAACCCACCGGATTCACCACAGGCGAACCCACCACCTGTGCTGAGGACACCATATCGGAGATGCCATTGGCGCCGGAGCATGAAGCCCCACACCATGTGTGAGTCTGATAGCCCCAGGCCCTACACCACGGGGCTACAGTTGCTGCATCCTCTCTGTCTTGATTTTTGGTGGCCATGGGGATTTGGGGGAGGTGGCCAGCAGAGGGAGCTGTCTGGGGTGGGATGGCAGATTTTCTCACTGGCACAGGAGGTGGAATGGGAGTGGCTATAGGGCTAGACAGCTAGGATTCCCTCCACCCACTGGAATGAATGTCAGATGGGCATTGACTCTGCTAGATCCTCACGTCAAGACGTAAACATGTCATTATTGTCTCAATCCTCCCCATGGTCTGGTCTTTGTTTCTTTTTCCCACAGCATCCAGCCTAGGATGTGCCATCCTGCGTTCTGTGCATGAAATGAAACGACTATTCCAAAACACCTTTGGAAATCGCAAAGCCTTGCAGGTGAAGCTCCAAGATATCAATGGCCACCTAATTGGCTTGCGGCATCAACATGCAGACCTAAAGAAAGCCCTCGACCGGTGCAGTCGGCTTGATGCAGCCCTGGATGTTTTGACATTGCAGAAGCAAATGAACAGCATCATTGAGCACCAGATGCAACTGGAAACATTAGTGCTGAAGATCCTGACAACACTGGGTGTGGAAAGGTCCTAGCCGTAAGGGATGGTTCCCACCCACCCCTCCCCTGTAGAAAAGGAACGGGAAATTGTGAAATATTAAGTCTCACTTGTCATTTTGTTGCCAATTCATTACTTGGAGCTCCTTTCAATCTTCATAAGATGTGATTTTGCTTCCTTCCTCCTCATCTCTAGTTCTATCTTAGCTATTATCAAACTGTATTCCCATAAACTGAAGAGATGTTCCATGCAGTGTTTTACCATTCACTGATTTATTGGTCCAGATTAGTAAACCAATTCTAAAAGAGGTTGGATTTCCTATTTCACTGGTAAAATATGGCAAAAACTATGCATTTTACATATTTTGCTAATTAAGAAGCAATGATTCATTTGTTTAAATTGCAACCCATCGTCTCCCAAAGGGGATTCCCCAGGTAACTAACGAAAGTTAAAAACAACAATATTAAAATAAAATGTCCATGATATTCATTTTTTTAAAAAAGATATTTATTAAGATTTTACAGAATGAAAAAAGAAAAAAGAGAAATACAAAGTAAAAATAGTTAAAAAACAATTCCATCTTTCCATCACTTATTTTTCATATGCTTATTTCCCGAACCTCCTCGCACCTCCCTTTTTTGTATTCCAATCCAAATTATTAGTTCAGCAAATCCTTTCCCTCTTTGTTTATCCTAGTCTTCAATCTTACAACATTAAAACCTTAAATTTTAACCTGTTAATGATCCATTTTTTCATATTCCTTATAGCGTTATAGCTAGCAACCACTTAACTTTTTATCCAACATCATTCTAACATTCATTAATTTTACAATATTTCTGTAAATAATCTTTAAATTTCTTCCAATCTTCTTCCATGATATTCATGCACTAGAAAGCAATAAAATATTTGCTAGTTTCGCCTTACCCTCCAAATGCAGCCCAAATGGTTCTTACTGTTTCAAGTTGACTTTGGGAAAGCTTCCAGGAGAACAATTTTATCATTTAGGAGCAGCCACGACACCTTTAATGTTTTAACTCAGCATATGACATGAATTGCTGCAAGGTGCTCTGCCATTAGTAGCTGTGAGAGACAAGCTATAAGGTACAAGCAGACTCACTCAAGAGTAGTCCACAAACACCTACAATATCACATAATCATAAGCAACACATATTAACTCATATTAATAAACTCATCAGTTGTTATAAACTTTTAAGCCTGAAGGAGATTTCTTATATACCAGACATGGCTGGTAACCTGTGGGTTTCTGGATATTGTAGGACAGCAATCCCCATCATCCCTTACAATTGGCCATGCTGGCTGGTGCTGATGGCAGTTTGAGTCCCTGCCCTCTTGAATACTTTTGGTTCTATAATGTCCCGTTAGGCAACTTGGAGTCCCCACATTCCAGAGCATCTGGGAAATTCTGCTGTGCTTTGTCTGCTTGTTACATGGTTTTTACATAGTTTCCTCTTCATGCTGCCTGAGAACTGGAACCATAGCAATGGCTCCTGTAGAACCTCAAAAGTGTCTAGGGAAAAGCTTCTGGTTAAATCTAGGCTGTAGCACACTATAGGAATGGCATAAAGTAATCTCATTGACAAAGGAAGCATGGAACTTGTCCAGGAAGAATGTTCAGAGGGACTTTGCTTTTGAAACCCTCACCAAAAAAATATGTGGAAAAAAGACTATCCTACAATTCAATTACTACCCCATCACTCAATTATTTGAAGGGTGATTACAATAATCTACTCAGGTACAGACTGAAAATATCAATTCTCTCAATTGGAAATGAGCAGAGAAGTATCAATTTAACAGAACTATCATTGCGGTAATATAGACTACATGAAAGCAAGTAGTTTTGGGTGCCAGTGTTTCAGCAAGAGACAATAGGAACATGTTTGACACAATAGCAAAACGGTGCCAAATCCAGAGTTCTATGAGAAAAATCCTTGAGTGTCTGAGAGTGGACGAGGCACGCTCTGGAATGCCCAGTGCAAGATCCCATCAAAGGTATTCTGTAGGATTAGAGAGAAAAGAGGCATTTCTATTTGTTCACCAGGTCAACAGTACTGAAATAAGAGTAGCAATTCAACGGAGCAAATGCAGACAGTAGATAAATATAGAGCTGCTCTCCTGTTTTGAAGTACACAGACTGCACAGGTCCACCAGGCATGACTGATCTGCCATCCTTTCTAGCAGCCCAGAGGAGTTTCTGCTGTGTTACTGGATGTGATGAAAGTGCTCTCAAGTTACAACTACTTGCAACTTGAAAGTGCAAAGTATTGAAATTAAGAACAAATTAATATCAAGGGGGACCTAAAATCTTCCAAATTATCTCAAGCATTGCGATGGACAATTCCAGAATCCACAGACCTGTTCAGCACTGGACAAATTATAGCACAAGAAGATTTGTTTTCCATTACCTCCCCTAAGAGAGAGTCCAGATCTTCCTTGTTCAGAAGGGGTTCAGTCCCAGCAGATTCTTCCACCACCTAGGATTCAAAATCTCATCTTACAGTGCAATCCTATGCATGTCTACTCAGAAGTAAGACCCAATTTGTTCAATGGGATTTACCCATTTATTGAATTGCAGCCTTAGTAATTCTCCATTATATAAATGCTGAATAACCTAGTCAACTAGGAAAAGGGAAATCCCTTCGGCAGGATGTATGTAGCCTACAATCAGGGTGAAGACTGAATAATAAATAATAATAATAATAATAAAATTAATTTATACCCCGCCCATCTGGCTGGGTTTCCCCAGCCACTCTGGGTGGCTTCCAACAAAATATTTAAATACAATAGTCTTAAACATTAAAAGCTTCCCTAAACAGGGCTGCCTTCAGATGTCTCTTAAAAGTCAGATAGTTGTTTTTCTCTGACATCTGATGGGAGGGCGTTCCACAGGGCGGGCACCACTACCGAGAAGGGCCTCTGTTTGGTTTCCTGTAACTTTGGTTTCCTGTAACTTGGCTTCTCGCAGCAAGGGAACCGCCAGAAGGCCCTCAGAGGAGGACCTCAGTGTCTGGGCAGAACAATGGGGGTGGAGATGCTCCTTCATGTATACTGAGCCCAGATGCAGCTTTCTTTTGCAGGGGAGGGGGTTGGTTTGATGGTAACTGACTCCCAGTGTTGTCCCTAAAAATGGCTCTGTCATCCATGAAGCACTTCTTGAAAATAAAGCGAAAGATGGATGGATTTTACATACTTTAATCATTTCAGTTGCAAAGTTAGAAGCAAGTGATGTTCAATTTGCAACTGAAGGACAAAGCTAAGAACTTTCTTTTTCTTTTGCTGTCTTCATCATTATATTCAAAGGATAAATACCATGAGATAAATACCAACAATATCAAATTCAACTCATGTATACTGCAGTTTCCTTGATCCCTTCTCCCTTGCTTCTTCCTTTGGCAACTTTTAATCCTCATCTATTGAGGGTAACCAAGTTTTTTGAATGTAACTATTTGCTCACATTCACACCCCCTTCCAGCCTGTTTCTCCTTCCTTCCGCTGTATTATTAACACACTGATGTTATAGAAAATTAACAGGTATTAACATTAACAATGAGAACCCGTATAGTGTACGTCTGATTGTCGGACTTTGACTGGGAAGACCCAAATTCAAGTCTCCACACAACCAGTTATCTCTCATCCTAATGAACCTCCACAGGGGAACTGCAAAGATTAAACCCACTAGCTACTATAAAGTTGAAAAGATTTTGGAAAATCCAGACCTTTACCGCTCGTAGTGTTGGGGTATTTGAGTTTGTAGTTCCATCCAAGCTGATGGTCATGGGATGGTTGCTAGTGCAGGATTTGCACATTAAGATTCCACTAGAACAAAGCACACAAAGGATCTTACCCTTTGAAGTCACAAACCTATATTTCAGAAAGCACAGATAATGGGTTAAAGCTGGACTGGACTACTTCAGGTTGAAGAGGGGCCTCACATGGTTGAATGCTCTCCCATACAAAAACATTACACCCACATAGAAAACGAGATGCCAGGAAGAAAGTTAGGCTAGAACCTTTCTTCCTGAAACCTAGTTTTTCATATGCATGGATTCCTTTTTGTATGGAGGTTGAGTTAATCATGTGAGCCCCCACCTGTACTGTACAGGCCAGCCATATGCTTAGCTACTCAACTACTCTGCTGTGAGATAAAGCCCTAAGAGGAGAGGAAGGAGACGCCACGCAATATTGCCTGGTAAAACTCAAGGCTGATTCGTACAATCGAAAACTGATGTCTACCGTCCAACTGTATGAGTGAGCCATGAGACATCAGTTTTGCTAAACATTAAGCTCATTATGCAACCAGGCCCAGCTTCCAGTTGTATGATTCAGATCTGCTAGCAGAGAGAGCCTATTTAAAAAAGTAATATAAGGACTTCAACATCACCTTTCATTGGAGAGTAGCTGGTTGAAGAACACACTGGACACTCCAGGATATAAACATGGTAAAATGCATGGATTCGTTTAGAAAACTCTGGATTTTGTCTGCTTTGAGATCAAGATGTTGCTTTGAGTAAAATACTAGAACATCTATCTGTGAAGGACTTAGGGTGGTGGCTTCAGGTAAAGTGTCCCGTCCCCCCACGTAAGAATCACCATTCTGGCACACCTGACACCTGTTCAAACAAATAGGCCACTCTCCATGTTCATCCTGTTACAGGGCAGCATTATTCAGAAGAGCAGCACTTACATAAACAAAACTCCCATCTTGTGGTGCCTGTCCTGCATTTCTGATCTGGTACTATGACATTGGGACGTGGGTGGCGCTGTGGATTAAACCACAGAGCCTAGGACTTGCCGATCAGAAGGTCGGTGGTTCGAATTCCCGTGACGGGGTGAGCTCTCGTTGCTCGGTCCCTGCTTCTGCCAACCCAGCAGTTCGAAAGCACGTCAAAGTGCAAGTAGATAAATAGGTACCGCTCCAGCGGGAAGGTAAACGGCGTTTCCGTGCACTGCTCTGGTTCGCCAGAAGCGGCTTAGTCATGTTGGCCACATGACCCGGAAGCTGTACGCCAGCTCCCTCGGCCAGTAAAGCAAGATGAGTGCCGCAACCCCAGAGTCGGCCACGACTGGACCTAATGGTCAGGGGTCCCTTTACCTTTACTATGACATTAAACCAGGCTTAGTAAGCCACCATCTGGACACGCTCTCACAAACAAGAACGATAAAGTCTGGGGAGCTATGGATGGCTTAATTCTTGGATGTAAATGTCACCTGATTTGATCTGCATGGGCAGGAAAATGGCAGGGCCAGTGGAAAGCCCGGAAACACTTATTGCAGTAGATCAGATCTCCTTCTTTCCTGCATACTCCACACTTCTCCCCAATGGTCAGCTTCTGTAAAGGGGAAAAAAAAGAAAGAATTTGGAGTCAGGTTTCTAGCAAAACATGGTCCTCTTTTTCTCCTTCAGAGCTACCATGCGCCGCATGTGACCATCCCATCTTATGATTGTCTGGTCCACTGCAATTGCTTTGATTTCTAACTTGCCACTTCCATTGGGGCCATTGTAAGATTTTTCAGGGCCTCAGAAAAATGAACTAAGCAGAGTATAGTTTCATCACAGCAGTGTTAGGATCAAGCAGATACTTAATTTGAGACCTGATAGACTCCGCCAAGACTACCAGCCCAAGCGTAGGGTGGGGTAGGAGAAATAAGGCAACAAAATGTTTTGCAGCCCACTGTTCTTATTTAAAGCATTTGAAATGGCTAAGCCCAGTGAATGGTGGAAAGTGCCACAGGAGGTGAGATACTGACCAGCTGTTTCTCTGTTCCCACATTCTGAGCTGTTGGCGGTGCCACCCCACACACTGGGGTCACAGAGGGCAAAGGCTGCCTGAGGGAGGCACACACAGGTTCCTTGATGAGTACCCTCCTCCCATCTTCTGTTGTTCTCTGGACATATACAGCTCCCTAAGCAGGTATGCAAAATAAATATATTATATTGATAGAATATATCACATCACTTTCATAAGAAGATTTGAGTTTGCCTTTTGTATTAAAAAAGTGACTAAGTGTAATAATGAACACACTGAACTTCATTTTTACCATTTTACTTCTATTGCAATAATAAATCTGATAGATTGTCCTACAAACGAATTATTTAAAAATAATAATTAAAGAGAGAAATGTCACTCAGCAGTAATGGAAAACAGCCACAAGGGGTCACTGCAGGATATAATTTATATTTCAGCTGGGATTTTGGGTGGTGGTCATGTGAAGGTCTTAAAACACCTTCAGAGACTGCAATTTTGTTCATATTAAAGATTATTGCATTCCAAAGGTCTGGGCCATTTATTCTCCCTTTTCTCACAAAGGAAAAGTAGACTGCAATAAATGTGCACAAAAAGACCATAAACAGCTGTTGAAGGAGACAAGAACAACAGAGCAGTTTCTTAGAGTTGCTTCATGTAGGACATTTTCCCGCAAGGCAGAGGAAAAGAGAGGATCATGAAGAGAGACAGAGAAATCAAGGATCATAATTATACCTGTGTTTGAGAAAGTGCATTCCTGCTGCTCTCTTCTCCATTGCACCTGTACTGCTTCGACTGCCCGGAGGAGCAGGAATCGCACCTCCATGTCCCGCTGCTCAGTGTCCCGAAGGGAAAAAGACAGGAGCATGATCGTGAATAGCAAGTAGAGAAAGAGAGGAAGAAATGGATGAGACAAGAAAATGTAAACAAAAACAGTCCCCCACCCACCCTATGGGAAATGGCGTATCAGAGTGCTACCACCAGTCTCAGACACACTATTGCAAGTGAGGGCAGGGAGACATAAACAAATTGCACATAGGAAACATACTGAGATAATAAAAGGATGGGTGCCTTTTCCCCCTAGGCCACTCCCTATTCCTAGAAGAGAAGAGGCTCTGCGCAAGTCCAGGAATCATCCTCATCTGCTGTGAGAACTGTGGTTGGGGTTAGGCAGTGGCGTAGCGTGGGGGGTGCAGGGGGGCCGGCCGCACCGGGCGCAACATCTGGGGTTAGGGCAAATCCATAGGTTAGGGGGCGCAAATCCACGGGTTAGGGGGCGCAAATTACTTGCCTTGCCCCGGGTGCTGACAACCCACGCTACGCCACTGGGGTTAGGCCAATATGCCCTCCGAACATGCACAAGGAAGATCAGCTGTAAAAACTATGATCATGGTCCAGGTACTTGTTTCAAGTCATTATATCCTGGATTTCTAGCAAGCAAGCATTTAAAGTGGCTTATAATCAAAATAAAACCTGTTCTGTACCCAGATCTTGATGTGATTCCAGGGGGCTATGGAAATACCAGCAGAACTGTCATTACCTGGGAATCTCTGTCAGTGGTGGCACCAGGCAGGTGAGATGAAAGGCCTTGGGGCATCCATCACAGCAGATCAGCTCCCCACCATCCCTGCAGACGGCACATTCGTCATCGTTCTTCTGGCCCAGCAAAATTTGGAAGGATTGAAATAGAAAAAAGACTCCATTTTCAGACGGATTGTCTCTACATGGCTAGGGAGCAGCATACCTACAGCCACCTATCCAGATCACCAGCCTTTGCTACTTTCATCACCAACACTTAAAGTGCATAAAATTGATTAAATGCTCTACACAGATTTTTTTTAATTAAAAAAGTGATTTTGAAACTCCAGGATTGGACACAACACAAAAGGAAAAAGGAATGGGGAGGGAAGAGGAATGCAAGAAAGTCCAGGCAACAATTTATGAAGTTACATAATCTCAAGTGCACACATCCACAACCACAACCCAGCCACTCTAGTCCCACTTCCCTTGCACTGGCAGCAGTTCTCAACCTGTGGGTCCCCAGATGTTGTTGGACTACAACTCCCATAATCCTTGAGCTCTGGCCTTGCTAGCTAGGGGTGATGGGAGTTGTAGTTCAACAACATCTGCTGACCCACAGGTTTAGAAAGGCTGCCTTACAGCTCTGCAGTCTCAGGGCAACAGGGAGTTGGAGCAGAGAGCTCTTTCTGGCAGGCAAGATCCCTAGAAATGGGTGATTTAATTGTAACACTGGAAATACATGAAGCAGGCAGACTTAAAGGAAGGTTTGCCCTTGCTCTGGCTCTTTTATTGAACTCTGCTTTGAGATAGAACACCCAAGAAAATAGCATCAGAACTTTGGTCATTTCTGCAGCAGAGTCTGATGCAGCAGGAATGCTTGACAGTAATAAAGTACAGTGCTGCTTCCTGCAGGAAACAGGGCTTGTTCTGTCCTTTGCGCTTTGCTTCTTTCTTCAAATACTGCTTTTCCAAAACTTGAGAGCCTTGGTGGGAGGCACAGAGGGCATGCAATGGACATTGTAACTGAGCCTCTGCAAGTTTTGCTAATTTGCCCTTATTAAGAGAGATGGCTTCAGAAGCAAAACCCAACTGAGCAGGGGAAAGTGAGGACCAATACTGGCTTTGATGTGCAAGGTGTTCCTTGCTGTGCAACAGCCTTTAACTGGAAATCTTTGGGGAATTCCATACTGGCAGGAGCGGAACTAAGCTCTGCCAAGGAGAAATGATTCTCATGGTAAAACCTTGTCCCATGGGCGAATCTGGCACCAGTCTAAGAAGCTGAGGAAACCTGGGACTTCCCAAGTGGAGTGAAACTTTCAAGACATAATGAATTATGTGGCTTGGTGGAGATTCATTTTCTGCTTAAGAGCATCAGAAATGCAAGGCAAAGGGAAAAGAGGAAGGGTATCTTTTTATATGCGACGGCGGCAGCAAGAGTTCTGATTGCGGCAAAATGGAAGAGTAATGAAATCCCCTCCATACAAGATTTAATTATATACAGTTTAATTACTGTATATAAAAGTGTGTATTGGCAATAAGTAATATGAAATTGAAATATGGAATAGACGGGAGGTTGGGTCTTTAGTGTTAAGACCAATATATGTTTTATTGTTTGTTAAGAAAATTATGTGTCTATGGTTATTCCTGTGTGTAATTTGGTATTTGTGTTTTTTCTTTTTTCTTGCTGTATCAGTAAAAAAAAGAAAAGAATTGCAAGGCAAAGGGTAGCACTCAACATGCCTGTGTCAGATGTGCCTCCGTCTAGGACAGTTGTGATGCTCAGCACATCTTCTCTATAAAGAAACACTAGTTTTCAGGCCAAAAGACTGGCTTCGGTGTACATCTATCTGCTCCTGTTTTAGGAATGATTTGTGAATGTGGTGACATCCACACCATACATTTAAAACACAAGGCTTCTCCCAAGGAATCCTGGGAACTGTAGTTTACCCCTCACAGAGCTACAATATCCAGCAACCTTAAACTACATTCCTCAGGATTCTCTAGGGGAAAACAATGTGCTTTCAATATACGGCATGGATGGATGTGACCTGACTGTACTGCAGCAAGGGGCTTGCACAGTCTGTGACTCTCACTCCGTCCAGTCTTCATTGGAGTCCAATTTCTGTGGCTTTTACATTTAAAAAAGTGAAGACCATTTCACATTTTCTCTGGCAGATGTGTTTCCAGGTGCCACTGTGTGCATCTCACAACAAACATCATAATGTTTGCCTGCAGTAACTACATGGGGAAGTGTGTCTGTAATCCCATGAGGTGATGCACCGGGGAGTTACGATGGGCTGCCTCCTTTGCAGGTTTCCACATGTATTTTCCAAAAGCTACAGTGCTGACTGCTTATATGTGGAGTGGCTACTTGGGAAATACACCTGCAGCATAAAAGCACAAGGCATCTCTCCTTAAAAGTTGCTTATGCCTTCAACTTGTTTGAACAGACAAACTGCCCAACTACCCTCCTTCCACATTTTCTTTTTTCCTCTCTCTCTTTAAATTTAGCATAATGCTGAAAATACGAGTGCTAAAAATACCTGCAAATCTGTCCCATTTCATATGTGTGCACGTGCACATTTGATTATGTTTAATCTCAGGGTTTTCCCCTTCCTGACAATACCCAGCCCATGAGTTCTAAATCCCATAAGGGTGGACACTCCACCTGCTTCTATTGGCACACTAAAAAAGTGTTTGAGTGGATAGCACACTTGAGTTGGACTGTGAAGACCTGAGTTCAAATCCCCACTTGGCCACAAAGCTAACTGGGAGACTTTAAGAAAAGTCACCTTTTATCTCTCTGTCCAACCTAACTTACAGGGCTCTGGTGAAGATAAAGTAGGATAAATAATCCTACGTAAACCACCTGAATTCCTTTCCAGGAAGGGTAGAACACAAATATGATGAATAACAAAATAAAACAACGTTGTGTGAACAGTTTTCCATGTTACTAAAAAAACACCAAAAAAAACCAAGAAATCCCACTATACGAAGAGGTGGAAATATATGAAGAGCAGGAGAAACCCCCTCTGCAAAAAACATAGCCATATATGAAGAGAACTGACCGAGGGAAGCTGACATACCTTTAGCACAGGGAAAGGAAAATGACATTTTTGTTACCTGCTGGGGGGCTGGATCCACAGTGTGGAAAGGGATGGCAGGGCACCTATTCTGCAAGTTTGCTTTTTGATCTCCATTCTGAAAATCAAGAGAAGAATTATGAACCAAGGAGTAAATCCACTCCACTGATCATAGCAGTTATTCCAAGTAGGACTGTCCCAGACCAGCCTTCCCTAACCTGGTGCACTCCAGATGCAGCAGGGGCTGATGGGAATTGTAGTCACAAACATCTTTAAGGAGGCACCAGGTTGGAAAAGGCTGCACTAGATGAGGGTCACAATGCATAATGTTGGTGCTTCAGTGTGTTTGTACTTTGAAAAGCTAAAATGATGCTCCTCTCCAGCTCCTCCCCAATGCCACTGGAGATGTTCTTCTGTCTCCTTAAGAAAACTGACATTTATGGGTCATCCATTGGTCTTGCAGTAAAGATATTAATTAATGTTGTTCTCTCTGATGCTGCCTTTTGCAGCAGCTGTGGTGATAACGCACAAGTTCATTTATTATTTAAAAGCTTCTCTAAACAACTTAATATTTTAAAAATCTCTAAGCAGCACACATAAACAACATAAAAACAATAAAGGAGCGCCATAAAGGCTTTGCAACAGACATACATTAAAACACAGCTGATCCAGAACCTAACAACACTGGATCAGCTATAAATTTCTCCTCCGTAGCCTTTGAACTTTGACTGGAATGTGCAGAAAACTCACACAAGCTTCGACCACAGGTAAAAGGGTCAAGCTGAGTTGTGAGGCAAAGAGGCACAAGCCACACCTGAAGGAAGGGTGTTGGTTGGGGTGTTCAGTTGAATAGGACTCCTGCATCTTGTGCAGAAGAAGTTGTAGCTACCATTTAACCTACTACTCTTGTTGCAATTCCCTCTTCTAGGCAGCTATTAAAAGTGCAGGATCCCAGCCCTCCTTGTTTCTGTCTGACTCTCAGGTGCAGTACTAGACTAAGGCTTCACTTACGCAACTGCTTGTTCTGTTCTACCAGTGAATTCCCTGAGTGAGGTGGGTGGGTGGGTCATGTGACTCGCTTGCCAAGCTGCCAGGTTTGCCCCTTAATAGAGAGGTTGGTAATTGCACACAGAAGTAATTGTGAAGCACCTGACTGCAGGTGCTGCATAAACAAAAACCGGCAGTGTCTGCCCTTGGCGAAACCAATGCCATGATACACTCACCTGGCACTGTGGTCTGAAGGACTCTGTGGCCCCCAAAGCTTGTTAGTAACTTCAAAGCAAAAGAGGCAGAGAAAATGTGAAAGGATTAGAAGTATATTGTGTGGCATATGTATTTACGGACTTGGGATTCTTTAGCTTTCCCGTTGGGCTTCAGATCCTGAGCTTTGTTCCTCTCTCCAAGCTCTTCCAGTTTGTCTGTTGCATAAAACTCACCACCAATTTTGATGCATTTCTTAGTGTCACCTGGAAAATGGAAGATCACACTGGATTTATCTCATCAAAGCAGGGACACAGAATTCATACAGTCTAAATTTCTATAACAGCTTAAGGTAAAGGTAAAGGTACCCCTGCCCATACGGGCCAGTCGTGTCAGACTCTAGGGTTGTGCGCCCATCTCACTTAAGAGGCCGGGGGCCAGCACTGTCCGGAGACACTTCCGGGTCACGTGGCCAGCATGACGAAGCTGCTCTGGCGAGCCAGCACCAGCGCAGCACACGGAAACGCCGTTTACCTTCCCGCTATAAAGCGGTCCCTATTTATCTACTTGCACTTAGGGGTGCTTTCGAACTGCTAGATGGGCAGGAGCTGGGACCGAAAGACAGGAGCTCACCCCGCTGCGGGGATTCGAACCGCCGACCATGCGATCGGCAAGCCCTAGGCGCTGAGGTTTTACCCACAGCGCCACCCGCATCCCATATCAGCTTAATTGCCCTCGTTTTGATGTAGAACAGGGGGACGAACCTTTGCCTCTCCTGATATTGTTGGGACTCCAGCTCCCATCAGCCCCAGCCAGTGTGGCCAGTAGGCCACAATAATGGGAGATGTAGTCCAACAAAATATGGAGTGCCACAGGATCCTCATCCCTGATCTAGAATCTAAATAAGAAGAAACAGAGTTTGGTCACTTCTGAGTGAAATAAGTCAAGGTACTGTGTTAGGTCAGTGCTGGATAGATACAAAGAACGGCAAAGTGCTGCACTTACCGCCATGCGAAAGGGGATAATGCTGGGTCTCAACACTCTCTGACTTCTTCACAGATTTTGCCTTTGGAAGGGATCCTGTTGATTTATAGGACACACATTACAATACTGAAAACAAGGCCTCCCCCCCCCCCGAATAAACAACAAGTATGTGTTTAGGACAGGGGTCAGCAAACTTTTTCAGCAGGAGGCTGGTCCACTGTTCCTCAGACCTTGTCGGGGGCCAGACTATATTTTTTGGGGGGAGGGGAATGAACAAATTCCTATGCCCCACAAATAACCCAGAGATACATTTTAAATAAAAGCACACATTCTACTCATGTAAAAACACCAGGCAGGCCCCACAAATAACCCAGAGATGCATTTTAAATAAAAGGACACATTCTACTCATGTAAAAACATGCTGCTTCCTGAACCGTCCACAGGCCAAATTTAGAAGGGGATTGGGCCGGATCCGGCCCCCGGGCCTAGCTCCTAGTATTGCAGCTGAGGTGGCCTCTCCCTCCCTAACCACCACCACCCTGACTGAAGAGAAGGAGAGCTGTAGCTCTGAGAAGAAGGAGATCTAGTTTTCAGAAAGTTCTTGCCTTGGCTGTTTCTTAAAAAATATATTTTTAAACTGATGCTCAGTTCGTTAGCATTGCATGGAAACTGCTTTGCAAAGCTCGCCTGAAAACTGGTATATCAATATCTTCAATAAAACAAATCAAGGTAGTGAAATACTACCAAAAAAAGAGAATGGCTTGTGCTGATGTTCTTGAAACTGAAAATTCTCATTCCAGGTCCTCATTTCTTCCTGGAGGAAATCCATTCCTATTCCTCTTTGGCATGCTTAATATCAACTCTTGAATCCACAAAAAACCCAGCAAAAGCCCAGCAAATAGTTCTATACCAAGGTGTGGGTCGCCTTTTCCGGAAAGTTGAGGTGGGTGCAAAGCATCTTTTTCATCTGTCGCTTTCCTCTTCCCTTGGGATTTGTGCTGAGTCAATACCTTAGGACTGCTTGCGAGCTTCCTTGCCCTGCTGCAATACCTACTGAGATCTAGGTCTGAAAAGAAAGCAAATTCTGAGACCGGAGGCATGTCTAGACAGGGCTTAATATTGTAAATGAGGCAACAATGGGCTGCTAGCAACAAGCTTTTTTTTTTCTTATTCTTATATTTTCCCCATAAAGGGTAAATGCAGATTAAACAAGGTGTGATGCAGTGGGGAATATAGGCTGGCATTTTGATGCCAAAGATATGTGGACACTGCAAATAAATGGGTATGCATAAGGAGCATGGATCCACAATAAACACCCATCCATAAGTCTGTTTTGTAGGATTCTCGCCTGATTATAGAAATTGTGCTTCAGGGTGGGGGAAATTGTCCCTGGAGCAGGAAAACACATTATATTATGCAGTAAAATAAACAAGCTAAACAAGAAAGGTGAATAAATAAACGATTCCCAGCTTTTAAACATGAGAGAGGCGTTTCTAAACCTATTTCCACTTATATTTCACTCATCTTCAATTTCTTCATGACTATGATGACTTCAGCGAATACCTTTAGGAAAGCTGCTTCGAATGCACTGGAGCTTGGAATATCTCTCCAGGTTATAATCCTTGAAGAGAACCCTCCAGAAGTCCCGGATGGAAGAGGAGTCCTGGCTCAACAGCCATGTTAACATGGCATGGAAGGCTTTGTGGCAGCCATCCTTCTCCTTCAGATGGAGAGTGTCCTTTGGGGAGAAAGAAAAAGCAAGGCTAGTCTACTTTCCAAATACTGGTAGATTTAACTGCTCCCCTAAATTGCTTAGGCACACTCCAGTCAAATCTGTCTTCTGAAGTTACAGCAAGAGTCTCAAATTCTGGCACTGCAGGTAAAGTCCTGGGGACATATTATAGACTGAAGAACAACAACTGTGAAGTGCCAATAATGCTGAAAAAAGGGGAAACCAATGAATTAAACATGGGCCATAACACAAGCACTCCAGAACTGCTCATCTCATGAACTGCTCACTTTGAAGGTCTACAAAACAATAGTGCTTCACAAGGCTTAATATTGTAGCCAATGCTAGTGCTACTTAGAGTAGACCCATTGACATTAATAAAACTAAATTAGTAATGTTCATTCATTTTTATTTGGTCTGCTCCGATTGTTCACAGCCCTTAGGATTTTGTGCCATTTGCAAGGATTTTCATACAACACCCACGATCTTTGGTGTATAAAATAATATACTATGGACACTGAGATTCATGATTACAAATTGGTGCTATGATACAAGCAGCATCAACCGCAAATAAAAACCTCTCTCTTTCTACCTGACCTCCCTAGCTGGGTCCAGAGAAAACGAAATACAAAATAAAACCACCAGATTAAAATTTCAGAGAAAAATAAAAGAAATGAAAGCCAGGAATGAGTCATAGTCCAACAGTGGAGAAACAAAAAAGGGCAGGTATATATAACCTATCCTCTATACAAATTATATGCATGCCACAAAAGAGATTGTTTTAGTAGTTAGTAGGGAAACTTGAAGTATATATCATCTCATCATTGTTCTTATTTCTCTCACCTTGAACATCTTTTCCGTGACAATGTCATGATCTGCCAGTCCGTGGAGCAATGGGAAGACATCGTCGACTGCCATGGAGATCTCTGTGCGATAAAGTTTAAGTAATTTCCGCAGGTCTCCTTCTCCTAAAGGTTTGTTATCAGAACCGAACATCCTGAGACAGGGTAACATTTACAGGATTGTTAGAAGCATGCATCTTCCATGCCCATTTCTGGTCACGGTGCAGCTGCTAACCATTACTAAAAGATACCTTAATTTTGATGTACACTTGCTTGGGTCATGGCAGATGCTGTGAAGGAACATGCATCTTGCGTAGAAGTGACCGTACAGGCTAGGGTAAGCAGTCAGATCCTGGCTTATTTTAGAAACCTCACGCTCAAGACCACCTGCCTGTGGAAATTCAGATTTGCAAGTATAGCTTGTAAAAAGAAACTCATATTTATATCACTCCTTTTCTATTACTCATTGTCTTTCACTTCTTCAGTGACTGCTGAACATCCAGATTAGATTTGTTTTGCTTGCTCTGTCTTTGCTAAACAAAGGAGGAAGGTGGTCTTATTGGCCTCACCTGTCAAAAGGAGATGTTATCTGGTATCTGTATTTCACATGAACCTGTTTTATGTCATTCCCTGTGCTTTTTATAAGCTCAGTCTGTGGAGAATGGAGTGGGGGTGTAACGAAAAACAACCGCCACCAAAGAACCCTGTTGGTGAACCAATAGAATCCCAGTGATGACCCTCTGATAGATCTGGGAAGCTGAAGCTATCTCCAATTAAGTCTATTTGGCTTGCTTCGTTTTCTGAAAATGCTTGAGAAATTTTCACTCCACCCTACACCATCTGCACACACTTACAGGACTGGAAAATGGAAGGATTATGGGAGGTACTTTTCAAAACAAGACATGGATTGGGCTCTATAGGCTCGGTGTTGGGGCTATGTTAGAGCTTTTAAAAAACCCACAGTACAGTACAATGTATTCAGAGGTGACGACAAGCCATTACACAGCCCACCCTGAGAAATAAACCCTAGATTCATGTTATGTCACAAGATATAGTTACATTTGTCAATTTCCAAATTCCAAATTCAAGAACCCCTTGGGTGGGCCTAGAGCAAGGGAGAATCTGGGGTGATCAGGGATGCAGCCCTAATATAATCTAGCAGGTCAATGTCACGGGTGCAGCCAGCATGAAATCCACTGGATCATTATTGGCATTATTGTGGGTGGATCTTGATTTGCAGAAATTTGGGAAAACCCAGATTATATGGTCCATTTAGAGCCTGATATCAGTTTTCTGGTGGAACATGGCTCTACTAAGCAAACAAGTACATTGTTGACTGGTTGGCAGCCCATAATATTTTCCATCTTCAAGTCAAATCAAGGGATCCTTTATTTCAGATTGATAGGGAAGAAATCCGTAGGTCCACAAATAAGAGTTGCTTCTCCAAATCGTTTCTGCAAGTGGCTAAGGATTGCTCGTTATGATACTCCTAGTAAGATCTGTGGGTTGCCCCACCCTTCCAAACTTCAATGGACTTCCCAGAATTATTTTAGAAACCAAACACTTCTCTTAATTGTTCTCCAATGTAATTCAGGATGGCTGGCAGCAGTTAATTACAAGCAGTGGGTGGGTTTGTTTACTTTTTACATGCTAAATCTGGGAGAACAAGTTCAGAGATGAAAACTCATGCAAACTCCCAAGCATACCACTGGCTTCAAAGCACCTTGAAACATTGCTGTCAGTGGCAGGGTTTATAAACTTTGATACCTAGCTATTATCTCTTAACTGCTTAGAAGGCTTATTTATAGTCACCTAAAATAGGGGTACACAACTCCAATTACTCTGTGGTTACTTTGGAGGGGGGAATTTAAACCCCCCCCTTTAAAAACTTCATACTCGTTTAACCACCTTTTCCTCTCCATGGCCCATGGAACTGGTAGTGCAAAAAGCTGAGAGACCAAGTGGAGATGGAGCCAGAACAAAGTAATTCTAGTTCTGCCCCTACTCTCTTTACCATGGGTAGGCAAACTAAAGCCCGGGGGCCGGATCTGGTCCAATCGCCTTCTAAATCCAGCCCACGGATGGTCCTGGAATCAGCGTGTTTTTACATGAGTAGAAAGTGTGCTTTTATTTAAAATGCATTTCTGGGTTATTTGTGGGGCATAGGAATTTGTTCTTTTTTCTCCCTCCCCCCCAAAATATAGTCTGGCCCCCCACAAGGTCTGAGGGACAGTGGACCAGCCCCCTGCTGAAACAGTTTGCTGACCCCTGCTCTTTACTATATTGAAAATCATACATAGGAGGCGGGAAAGCTTATTTCTATGGAGGTCCATGATTCAACTCACAAAAGTCATTTGGGATCTGAGCCTATGTTGGGTGGAGCCATCTCTTCCTGCCACCCACTTTTCTCTTTCTTCGAATCACCAGAACATGCTCCTGCCCCAAGAGGTGGTCTTGCCTTGCCCCAGATCTCGTACAGCATCTGTGAAATGCAGCATGAAGTCAGGGATAAAAGGGAGTGCCTCTACTATTCCTCTAAAGTCTGAAGCCAATGGGCAGCAGCAGAGACATGCCAGATTTCCGCCTCTGTACCTGTTGGATGGCTGGAGCTCCAGAGGAAACATACAATGTAGGGTGCCTTCAGACAGCTGCATTCAGTGCCCTGGTCCCACCCCAATCAGCATTTCCCAAGGGGAAATCACGGGGGCCAAGGTGAGTGAGATAGGATAAACCACAGCATGGCTGTTTGGCTCCATAGTCCACCTGTGGAGAAAGTGGTGCCAATGCTATCACATGCCCCTGAAGACAAGGAACAGAGCAGTGTCCATAGAGTGAGGCATTCAGCCACATCTCCAGTTTTTGCAGTGGAGACTGTGCTTTGTGCAAAGAAGCTCCCAGGTTTAATCCCCAGTTATTTCCAGGTAAGGCTAGTTAAGACTCCCATCTGAAATCCTAGAACCAATGGTTTGACTCAGTATTTATGCACACCCTTGATGTTTCTATATGAGGAAAGGCTCCAAATGAGTATTTGGAATTCTCCATGGGAGCCACAATCAGCTGCAGTTTTAGCTAAGAGATCAAAAGATAGTCATTCATATGCTTACAGCAGAAGGTTCCTGGCTAAAATTGTAATTATTGTTAAAAAGTTTTGGGCATCCAACAATCTTTTCCTAGGCACTACTTCCCCCCCAAAAAACCCCACTCCCATGGTGCACAGATTACACCATCAAGATGATGTAGACAGCCAATTGTAAGTCTCTGGGCAGATCATTGCGAGCTTTTCTCAAGCCATGTAGGATTCAATTTTTTAAAACTTTATTGGGTAACAGGAGCATGCTATACCTGGAAGACGACAGATAGCCACAAGCATACTGTGACTTTGGTACAAGATGTCTCCTGCTGCAAGAAGCAAGGCACCACATTTTGCAGCAGAGTAGATTTCCAAATGGTTGTTAAAGAACGTTATTGCTGCCAAGGATCAAGGACATTAACACCTTGTGTTACCTAGGCCTGGTGCTTGGCAACACTTTCAAGGCAGTGGGGCTATTCCCCTGTGCACATCTTAAGCCGAGTGAGGCAGCAACAGCAACAAGAGGGCTGGGGAGAGGACTTCTTATAGTTCTGGTCCCCCAGCACCTCCACCGAGAGTTCTGAAAGCAGAAGCTGCAGCTATCATCTGCCCACTGAGGCCTACAAGACGCAGGTGAAAGTGTTGCATGACTGTGCTTGAGAATAATTTAATTGCTCTCCTTCTAGGAGAAGCTCTTGTTGGAAAATAGTATATATTGTAAATAAATCAAGTCATTCGAGTATGAAAGTAGGAAGAGAAGCCTCAACAGTGGACGGATTTGATGAAAAACCCTCAGGCAGAGCAAGAGGCTTACTAGTCTGTTTAGAAATGCAGTCTTGGTAATCAGACACTCCTATACATGCAGAAGCATCTGACATTTTATGTCATCAGAGAACACAAAATGTCAAAATTTTCAGAAGCAAAAACAATCAACACTTTCTCTTTTGCTGCTTCTTTTGAACATGACCAGTCTATCAAGAAAATCAACATGATCTTTTGGCAGGCCTGCCATCAACAAATTCCAGAAACCTTTAGCACTGGGCCTGATTATTCATACTTTTTTTAAAAAAAGTAGGATTAATTCAGCAGTAATGCAATAATCACACACTTACTACTAAATCATATATTCATTACTTTGAGTTTTAAATGAACCTAACCAATCAATACGAACACATGGAAAAAGAAAAATTAGCTGCTTTTTTGCAATGTATGGAGCGAGGCATTTGTATGTATGCTACAGAACATATATCATTTGAATTACCCCTTCCAGGAAACAAAAAAGATTTTTGATCCCTAAAACATTAAACTCAGAGTGACTGAATCTCATTCTGACAATTTCCTTCATTCGAAGGTTCAAAATTTGCCTGTGCAGAAAATATATTGCAATTTGGGGAGGCATTTAATATTAGGAAGAATGAGGGATGATAATTTTAGGCATTTGGATTAGCTTATCTTGACTGGGAATGGAAACACAACTTCAAAATTAACTATGACTATTGAAATATCCATCTAAAAACTTTAAAGGAGACAAAGTTTAATGGAAGCACTGTCACTACCATTAGTGATGGCTCACTTGTTTTCCCGAAAAAAGAGGGTGCTTTTATTGCTTCAAAGATCCAGTAAAACTGCTTGTATTACTGACATAATGCACATCACCCAATTACATTACAATTAATTGCATTAATCGTCTCTCCAGTCAGCCTTTTTGACATGGTTTTAGAGCGGGGCTACTTCTCATATGGAAAATCAAATGTATAAGCAAGGGCAGATGTAGTAATAAATCATTGTTCCTTAGCTTGACACAACATGCATATAATGCTGCATAAAGTTACATTTTTGGTCCATATGAAAAAAGGCAACAGATGAAATAAAACCATTTCTGGCAAAGGGTAACAAAACGATGGCAATTTGTTATTAGGATTTGGGGCTAGACAGGTGCCCTTTGCCTAAAAGTAACCATTTAATATTTTGAAGTACTTGTATTTATGGAAATTATGTGAGCAAAATTTAGAAGAATATTATGCTAACTTTAACAGGCCAGTTATATCGCCCAACGTTAATACCAACACGCAGCATTTTGGTGCACAGTTCACATCTTCAGCCAAGAACCATTAGGTGGTGATAGATCAAGTGATGTACATATATTTGTAAACCATTCCCAATACCCCATGAATTCTAGGATTTAACTACTATACAGCCAATGGGGCAGTGTACGGAGGAATATACTCTTCCCAACATGATGGGAAACATGGGTATGGGTGTGTTGCCGGGTGTTTGTGACTTTCCAGAGATCAGAGTAAAGAAATTCCACATGTGGATGTCTGTGTATACACCATGTGATCCAGAGGTCATGTAATGTAACAGTACATGCACAGACCATCATGCATACAATATGTCTGGATCTGAGACTGTGAAAACTAGCCATCTGTATGCTGGGGAAAAACCAGTGATGTATGAAAACCGAAGTTTTGCCTAGCTTTGAAAGGGCTGCAATCTGTACTACCAATGCTCACTGCAGGCAGAGCTACAAATTTCTCAAGATGGAAGGACTTGCTTCTGTTTCAGTGGACATTATAACTGCAGTGCAGCTACGTCCTTCCACTGTAGCAAACATTGCAGTGCATTCATTTGCAATCCTTACTCAATAAAAAGAAGAATTAAACACCTTTAAAATAATTTGTAAGGCAGTTCCAAGCCCATGCTATGTTCAGTGCATTATACATGTTTATGTCTCAAATATTTTCAATTACAAATTCTACTTTTCCACATATATTTCTCACCACTGATATTTAATTGCTAAGAATGCAGAAAATATACAAAGTTGTTACCACCACATTTATACCAAAAGCCATTTTTTAAATTTCCTGACCCTTTTTCCCCCCTTCTCACATGAGCCAATGCTATCTATCAAAAGCTGCTTTTCAGAACTGTATAGGTATTTTAGGAACTAAATATCTGCAAGATCAAACAGAGGAAACCTATTTTCTTTCACCTGTAAACACCTAGTCCTGAAAGGCGCAGAACCCCTTCAAGTCTCAATGAAGTAATGGCAAATTGTATATGGTCAGTCTCTTAAGACCATACAAGTATTATCAAGGTATGGGGGTGGGCATTACAGGAAACTACTGTACTTTTTAGATAATTGAGCCAATGACTGTTTTCCCTTCAGGTGTGCTTACTCGTTTTAACAGGCAGGAAGTTAGCAGTCTATTGTGAGTCTCAAAAAGATCCTGCATTGTGACACACAGCCCCATAACCATGTTCCCCTTTTAGCTGCCATCTCACTAGTTACCATTTTTTATTTTAATTGTACATGGTCTTCCAGTCTTGGGAGACACTGAGGTTGGAATGGGCAACAGGTTATATAATATGACTCTCCTACAGGAGAGTCTGCATTTTCTCCTCACACTTCTATTTCAGGCCACTATACAACATTTCAGCAAAATGTTTTTTTAGGAGTGTCCAGCCCAACATGAAGACTGTATGAAATGGAGAATGCACCACCTTCCTAAGAAGTCTGTTCCAGTGGTTAAATTGTTATTATATAACATAACCTACTATTGTGCATTTGGTTTGCTTTAACATCCAAACATTGGTTTTTCTGTCTTCCTTTGCTACACTATAGCTTTTTAGTACACAGTACTTTCACCTTGTGAAAGTATCAGTGCAGGCCTAAACAAATCTTACTTTCTCAGTAAGCTAAAAGCCCATTTCTACTGGTGCCATTGCTTTGGTGGTGTTGCTGTACATTAATGGAGCCCAACAAAATTATCTACATCAACTTCCAATTAGTCAGGGTATTAAGACCTCCCAAAACTTCAACAGAAACAGATTTTGAATGTTGGGCTAGCAGTTTTCATATTTGTCAAAAGTCTCATAGAACCCTGGTCTGACTTTTCTGATGCTCATACGTATATGTTGACATTCAGGTGCAACTGACTCGCTATAGCTAGTTGAAGATGCTGTCCCAGTAATCCAGCCAGAAGATAGGCGCTTTCTTTTTGCCTTATGTGAAAAGTTCCCAATTCCTTTGCTGCGTCCAAGGCAGGGGTCATCTTTCTTCCTACTGCTGACATCTTCAACTGGCTGCTCATCTCTATTGGAAGTCATTCCTTTACGCTTACATGCATCTTTCTCTTCTTCTGCAATCTTCCTGAAATGCTCCAGTGATTCTACTTTTCTTCGTCTTTCTATTGTTTCCATTTGTTTCTTGTCCACGAAGTCCTCAAAGTACATTTTTCTTTCACTCCTCTGATCTTCAAGAAATTTCCACTCAATGTCAGTCATCTTCACACCACTGTATTGCTCCAATTTCTCTCTTGTTCCTGTGTCTGTACAAAATATGTCAAAAAGCTGCTCTGAACTCCTGTTGAAATCATCTGCTTTCTGTGTAAACAACTCATTTTTTCTTCGCTTTCTGGACTGATATAATTTTGAAAATTCCTCATACACCTTAAGAATATGCTTCTTTATGCTTTGTGTTGCTATGGTATACAAATTGCAAAACAACCAGTGCTCCTGCAGAAGTTCAGCAAGCAACTGGGCAGCATCTTCTTTGGATCGCTGGGCTTGCCCAGCCCTTTTCGGGTGCAATAGATATAGCATGTTTTGAATGACATCCTTCTTGGTAGGCAGAATTCCTTGTGCAAATTCTGATGACTCCACATAATCAACTGTTCCCAGAGTTTTTTTTGCTTTTGCTTTAGTATCCAAAGCCGCCATCATTCCTTTCCAGTGTCTCTTTATACCAAAAGCTGAAATAAAGAGATATTAGACAGTTGAAATAGAGTAGCAACAAGAATTAAAAGAAAAACTTAATTATGTGAAGCTAAGAATATGTAAGTCAAGGTGGTCAAAGTGTTCAGGACTGCAGCCAACATAAACAATCAAGTAATTTCTGGAGAGAGCATTACTTAGTTCCACCCATTTGGACTAAGTAAGCTCCTATCTGAAAAACAAAACTGACTTGTCGAGCAGTAAAGCATCAATAAAGTATTTTATTCATGTTAGCTGCAGTCTGAATTTCCCACATGATCTGGCATTGGCACAGCTAAATCATTCATATATAATTCAATATGTTCTTATATTTTAATATTTAAAAATATAGTGCAATATCATACAAGGTAGACCCAGAGTACTTGTCCGTTGATTTCAGTGGGTCTCCTTTGAGCACGATTAACATTAGATACCATCTATTAAACCCTATTAGGGAATTCACAAAAAGCCTTCTAGCAATGGCACAGGTGTTTCTCCAATTAACTACAAATCACCTCGACAAGCAGTCTTAATACTTGTATTTTGTCCATTATAACTCAGAAATCTGTGGTGGCCAAGTTACCTTCAAATCTTTAAAAATATTTATTTACAACATTTCCAGCCTGCTCTCCCATCACACAGGTAGCCTTTAACAGATTGCACTGCAACAGTTCCAAGTAGCTGTACCTTTTCCTCAATCTTGCTTTTTCAAAGCTGCCTGCTGCAGTAAGTGCCCTGGTATAACTACATTAATCTTCCTGTCAGTGCAACCTCATGCATATATATTCACAAGTAAGTCCCAGTGAGTTGACTACAGCTTTTCCTCCCAGATGTGCATAGTGTTGCAATCTGAAATGGAACAGTATTTTCTAAAGGAAACCCGAATCCCAGAATGGAAACAGGCAAATAAATACAAATAGCACCTGTCAACATATATACAATGATGCTTCCAAGTTTTAGCATTCAGGCAATTTCCTATTTTCAAACTGTAAGCAAATTCTCAACTGAAGGGCTCAAAACTTGGATTTTTAAGGAGATGCAATCACGGGATTTATGAAAGTCCACTCTAGGTCCTGGAAACTATGAGCGCAGGTAGTGCACTAAACCAAAGAGGCTTGAGAGCATAGCGTCCGGGGATCACGTTCTGGAGGTCAACAGGGGGGATTAAAACAGCCCACCGAGAAGGAAGGGATCTTTCTAAAACCTGTCAAGCGGACCAACCCTGTACCGCCTCAAACCACGAGGCTGTCAAGAGCACCAGAGAACACCTGCGCACCCCACTGCCCGTCCGCAAGGCAGGGACCAGGCACTCCACGCACGGCAGTTGCCAGCCCTTATTCCTGCCTGGAAAATAACGCCAGTGAGGCGAAAGCCGCCACAGGCGCCATGAGGCGGATGGGGGTGGGGCCCGGCCTCCCTCCCTCTCAGCCCCGGCAAGTTCCTCCCCACTCCCAGGCCGAAGCCGCCTGAGGCCCAGGCGCCGTTTCCCCTGCCCGGCCGGCCAACCGTTGAATAGCCCGGCCTGGCCGGCTCTAATCCCGCCTCTCCCGTTATCCCCAAGACCTGCCTTCGATCAGCAGAACCAGCCAGAAGAGGTAAAGCGTCAATTAAAAGCCCGCGGCCCATCCTTCGCCATCTTGGTAAGTGAGAGCGAGCGAGCGAGCCCTACGCAGCGGGAAAAGGGAAAGCGATGCCGCCGCCGCCGCCGCCATCTTGAGGAAGGGCAGCGCGAGCAACCCTTCCCCTGTGGTGGTCCCTCATGCCGACGTCTCTATGATCTCAACTGTCATTCACCGAGTTGCTTTGAAAAAATAAACTGGGCGTTGGTAGCTAATATATGGTCCCGTTTCTGCAGCTGAGGCGAAAACCGGGCCTGTGGGGCCTCCTTGTGGGGAAAAAATAGGTCGAACAAGTAACGACGACGGCAAAAAAAAAAAAAGACCCAGTCGCCAACTACCGTCAGGTGAGCAGAATCAGTAAGCGAAGCCAAGGCAAATGGACGAAGGGGTCTTGCTTCTTAAGGGGAAGGTCGGAGGCAGGTTATCGTCAATGCGAGGCAACCGATTGGTTAACTAACGCAGCCGTGCCTTGCTGAGCGCCATTACGCACTGGCGGAGGAGGAAGCTGATTGGTCCTTGAGGAGTCGACCCGCCTGGTCGCGATTAAACTAATAGCCTTTCTTGGGCGGAAGCTGAAGCCACACCAGTACCAGACTCGACCATAGACCAATGCCCTCTTTCGGGAGACTGTCGTCATATTACTAATGATAGTGAGAGTGGGAAGAGAGAGTCAACGGATGCCCCGGCTCCTGCGTCTAACTACGCGTCAACCCGCCTTGCCACTGTCAGTCCGAATTGTGTGGCGCGGATCTGATTTGTCGGTGGCTGGAGTGTTAAGCAGCCTCAGCAGCCAATAGCTACGTGGTGAGTTGGAGGACGCGGATTGGTTCGTAGCTGAAATTATGCCGTAGTAGCCAATAGGTGCGCCTCGAAGTTTGTATAAAAATGGTCGCGTTGAGGCGGAAGGTTGTGCAGTCGAGCATTCTGTTTTCAGCTGTTATTGGATAGGCATCTCTCACCCGTGGGGCGGGAGTAGTCGTCTCTTTTCTTTGTCTCTATTAAGATATACGCTCCCTAGTCCAAAGGGAGGTTCACTTTATGTCTTGTGGGCAAGAGCTGAGAGAACAGTTCCCCATTTTGTTTAGCACAATTTCAGCAGTAAGAAACATCTCCCTGTAAATAAAATAAAAGGAACCAACTTGGTGACTCATATAAATTGTTTTCTTGTATTAATGTTAGTATGGTGCCATCCATGTTCATGAGGCTTTGCAACAAAACAAGAAGGAGCTGCTAGGTCCCTGCCCCAAGGGGTTCACAATCCAGAAATAGGCAATGACAGAAACGGGAGGGAAGCAGAGACAAGGCTTAGATAAGCAGTTATTTCAGGTACATGTATTTAGGGTTAATTACAATAGGGCATTGGGATTAGAAGGTTGTGCTAAAGTCTTAATGGAAAGGGCGGGGTTTCAGTGCAAAAACAAAGCAATGATAACAAACTGTGGATAGGACTGCAAGCCATCTAAGGGTCTTTCATATAGTGTGAAGCTCTCCCATTCCACTCAACAACCCTCTGTTGTTGAGTGATAAGCTACACAACAAAATTTTATTCTGGTTATGTGTTGGAAGTGTCTGAAGCTCTTTGCTCATAAACAGTGCCTGTGCATTGAGCCTATGAGAGAAAATGTGGGAACAGGTGAAAATTATAACAGAATAACTACCATCACTGCAGATTGAACTACAATTTAGAATTTTTGGCTTTCTATGGCTTTTTAAACTGTGGGGAGTATTGTTTTTGTTTGCTATTATGGTATGTATTTTTGTGTTTTTATATTGTCAACCACCCTGTGATCTCTGGATGAAGGGTGGAATAGAAATTTAATAAATAATGATAATAATTTCCCCTCTACTATGAGCTTCCTTGGGAACATTAGGCAATTCACCTTTGAGGAAGAGTTGTAGCTTGGTAGTGTAAAGCACATGCTTTGCATGCAAAAGGTCCAGATTCACTTTCAGTCTTTGGCATTTCCAGGTAGGATTGGGGGGGGGGAATTCTGGAGAGCCACTGTCAGCCCTAAAACATATCTCCCATATACAAATCTTTTGACAATGTGTGTGACTCTTCCTTTGACTGCCTCCCAGCTGGAAACCAGGGAAGATAGTATATCAATCCTAGGTAGACAGGGAATATGATGGGAAGTATTTCTTCTAACTTTCTTATGTCCATCTTTGGAGGTACCTCTACAGAATGGTAATTCAATATTCCTGACACTGGTGCCATCTCTATAGGATTGGACCCCCTCAATATTTGTAGGCAGGCCAAGCCCCCCCCCCCCAATGTTGAGAGGGTGGAGGAAGCCTCCCAATGATGTGTGTCTAGTCCTTGGGCTCCTCCCACCACCACCATCCTGCCTACAAATGCAGCTGGACCACCTCAAACTGCCGCTGCCTGCCGCCTAACCTCCACTGGAGGCCTTGCGGCAGAGACCTTGGCCTAGCTGCTGCAGTGGCTGTGGAGAGCCAGTGGAGGTAAGGTGGTGCATGGGTGGTGGCGTTCAGGGCTGCAGTTGCAAGCAGGGGGCAGTGGTGTTGGGCTTCATTGCGTACCCATTGGTTTCACATGTGTGATGTCATGATGTCACGTTGCGCTTGCGTGCAATGCTGGGCCCCTCCAATCTGGGGCGCAAGTCAGTGCCTCTGATTCCTGAAGATAGAGCAGAACGAGTAGTCGTGTCTTTTTGATTAATGTGCAAAGGCATGTCAGAATTTATTTGTGTGCAATTTGAAGTCTAATGTTTCATGAAACATAGTGGGTTGTGTTTTTCTTAAAATAGGTTAGTGGAGAATGGAAGAGAAGCAAATGAAGAAAGTATTAGTGAACAAAGGAAATGAGAACAGAGAGAAAATTGACTTTGATGGGGAAGAGAACAACTCATCAAACAGGTTTGTAGCTTCCCTTGACTTTAAAAAATGGAGACAATGTTTTGACAATGGTAAGTGCTGAGATTTTGCTATTTTACCCACAATATACCTTGGGAATGAGTCCTGTTGAATTAAGTGGAACTTACTTCCAAGTAAATGTGTGTAGATTGGATTGCAAAACTCCAAGCAAGTAAAAAAATCTTAGGATTGAGCTCTAGGAACTGAAAGATTATTACAGTAGTCAACTTCTTAAGTGCTAGAATGCTGTGATTTTCAGCAAAATCACTTTAAAGATTAGCAAATGCATTGTGGCATATGCTTTCATGGGCCTGGGCCCACTTTGTCACATTTATGTGAGTGTGTCATATGATGTATTCATCAAAACTGGCACCACATTTAAAAGTTTGGGGAGAGATAGTGATGTTTTATTTCAAAACCCCAGTATCATCTTTGTGGTTGTGGCAATGACGACTTTAGGAGTGGTTTGGTTAGGGCAGCATTTTTCATAACCAATGATGCAACTTTGGCCAAAAGAGTGCTAGAGGTAATGTATCTTAATTCCTTTTTCTGTTGTAACTATTCTTGCATTCTGTTCCCTTCAGGAAGATATATCTAGATTACAATGCAACCACCCCTCTGGCTCCAGAGGTGATTGAGACAGTTACAGAAGCCATGCATGAAGCATGGGGCAATCCGAGCAGCTCTTACGCAGAAGGTGAGAGCAAGCCTGGATGGAAACATTCTATGAAAGCATCCATCTCATTTTTATATTTGTCTTGCCTTTTTAAATTCAAGTTACTGCATTGAAATGGCCTTAAAGGAATGTATTACTACATGTGATCCAGTCTCTAGCACTCACTGAAATAAATGCTCATGCAAGGAACACAGAGCCAAATCTGGCACTTCTTGTTACCAGAAATAATTATTCTGTATCAAAACAATTAAACTCTTCCAGAATTTGGGTGGACTTAATAATTTGTTTATTTATCACTTTACATCCTGGAACTCAAGGTAGTAGTTTTCCCCTAATGCCACCCTTTGGAGAGACACACCCCACACACCTTGCCTTGATAATAAGATAAATGTGCCTTTGATTTCACAGGTCGAAGGGCTAAAAATATTATAGATGGAGCCCGTGAAAGTCTGGCTAGAATGGTAGGGGGACGACCCCAGGACATCGTCTTCACTTCTGGTGGGACAGAGGTGAGATATGAGATGCTGCTAGCACTGTTTTGACCTGGTAGTCATTTAAGATATCAGCTCATAACATGCAAGCTGTCTTTTTTCCTCAATGGAATCTGACTTTATTTGCTTATCATAGCATTGGTGACTCCATTCTTAATTAGTGCCAAGTAAGACCCAGCAAACACCCATCAGATAAAAAGAAAGTCTATCCCTCTTCTGTTGAATGGCTCTATCTTTTATTTAAAACCTGCAAAGGAGCATGTATTGCAATTTGATTCACTCACATGGAGGTAATGACTACAAATCAGTCCTCTGCCTCTGATCCTTCTGAGACTGAAAGACAAGTCTGCCACTGAGCTAGTTTTTGGGTAAGAAATTCAGCATTGTCTACTCCAGAGGACTGCACTGGTAAATCTGGATATTCATATGAACATATGAGATGGGGATTTGTATCCCTCCTTTTTCCATTCAGGCAAACAATTTAGTGATCCACACTGCAGTGAAGCATTTTAAGGAAAGCAACAAGCAAAGTTCTGATGGACCAAGAGAAGATAAACAAAAGACTCTGGGGCTGTGTCCACATTTAATTACATCTTGCATTGAGCATGACTCAGTCCGTCTCCCTGTGGAGCACCTAGTGAAAGAGCATGAGGCTGGTGAGTATACTGTAGTGGATAGTCAGAGATTGCTGATAAATTATACACACTTGCCAGATTCTGCTTAGGCAAAAGCTCTTTTTTTAGCAATTTTAGTTTCTGAGTAGCAAATACTACTTTTTTGGTATTGTTGTTTAGTCGTCTTAGTCGTGTTCAACTCTCTATGACCCCATGAACCAGAGCATGCCTTGGAAACTCTCACTTTCTTCTCAAAGCTTCTCCATTTTTATGTCCATGGAGTTTTCTTGGCAAAATACTGGAGTGGATTGCCAGTTCCTTCTCCAGATGGATCACATTTAGTCTAAACTCTCGGCTATGATCTGTCCGTCTTGGGTGGCCCTGCACAGCATAGCTCAGAACTTCTTGGAGTTATTCAAGTCCCTTCACCACAACAAGGCAGTGATCCATGAAAGGGTTTTGTTTGGTATACTGTCTCTTTATTGTTTACTCTGAATGTGAGCTGTCTAAAGCTGGCTCAGCAGTACTTTCACTGTGGTGCTAATGGTCCAGAATTGGGGGCAGTTCTGAACCTTTAATTCAAATTAATTTATTTGCGTCATTTCCTTTTCCTTTTCCTATCCTTTCCTATGGTATCCTATCATCTCCTATCCTATCCTATCCTTCTTGCCTGTCAAATAGTGACCAACACATGGAGTCAGAGATGGCATTCCTAACCTGGCTGATAAGTGGTCTTATCACTGCATAGGGAGGGAGGAATATAAAGCTTGTGTTCAAACGGTCATAGGTTTAATCTCTGGTTCTTCTCCAATTGGGCAGGATCATGGCAGAACGCAGTATGAGACTCAGAGCTCTTAGTGGGGGCTTTTGCAAACTGAAGAGACTTAAACAGCATGCAGCATTTCCCCTCAGCTTCCTCCTCTCTTATCTTCCAAGTATCCAGCTGAGCTCCAGGAAAATCCATTTTTGCTCAGCTGCCTCTTTCATTAAATGCTGCTTCTAAGTCAATAGCCACTTCCTCCCAAATTCCCTTATGACAGCCATATCTTAATCTTTCAAGACTAAGGAGCGCTTGTCTGTTGCCTAGCAATAGGTCTGCTATTCCCTGTGACTTTCTCCACTGCTGCCAGATACATAGTAAGTGCTGATGAACACACTGAGCTATGGGATCAACATCTTCTTTTGCATCCTGATTTACAGAAGCCACTTTTGTACCCGTGTCCAAAGTGACAGGACAGGTGGAAGTAGATGAAGTTGTTGCAGCAATCCGTCCAACTACATGTCTAGTTTCCATTATGCTGGCCAATAATGAAACTGGGGTTATCATGGTGAGTTGTGCCTTCTTATTACATGTTTAAGAATATGAGGTTCCTATATGTGGTCAGATGATCCCAAGAGCCAATGAGAGGGAGCTGATGCTCCCCCAAAATATTTCCACTCTCCTTTCATTTCACCGACTTTCAATCTCAGTACAGTGGTACCTCAGGTTACATACACTTCAGGTTACAGACTCTGCTAACCCAGAAATAGTACCCCGGGTTAAGAACTTTGCTTCAGGATGAGAACCGAAATCATGCTCTGGCTGCGCGGCGGCAGCAGAAGGCCCCATTAGCTAAAATGGTGCTTCAGGTTAAGAACAGTTTCAGGTTAAGAACGGACCTCCGGAACGAATTAAGTACTTAACCCGAGGTACCACTGTATGTTTTAGGTATACAGTAAGCCCCGCAACTTACACAGGGGTTTAAGTACTGGGGATAGTGCATAAAGCCAAAATCATGTATAGTCAAAACACTCTGGATGCAACGCCAGGTGGGATTGCCAAAGTTTTCCCCCCAGATGTCCGCTCCTCTTTCTGCCCCTCTTTTAATTTTTTGTTTTTGCCAAGTGCCTAAAGCTGAATGCACACATGTTAAATGTACATAAAACTGTATAGCAAAACCTTTAGTTCTACAATTTTTGTCACCTCATTGCTCCCCCAATCTAGTTTGGAATTACAGGTTTTGCTCTCCGGAGACATAGAGACATAGCCCTATGCCGTGAACCACGGTCTCCCTGTGTAGGGTTGTGTGTTCTGTGGAGTTTATATGTGATGTTTTTTGTTTGGATGCTGAGTTACACCAAATGCTATCTTCTACCTTGATCACCAAGGCGGGGCAGTTGTACTACATAACAATAAAGCCATATAATAGCATCAATAAAAGTTCAAAGGCAACCATCAGCTTTCCAGGCAAGTAATTCCGTGAAGGCATCATATGTCAGCCAGTAGGGCAGTAGCAAAAGAGAGAGCCAGAACACTTGTGTTCCTGGTGAGATGATGCCTCCTGATGGTTCTTTCTTCAATCAGCCTGTCTCCGAACTCAGCCAACGGATTCAAGCTCTCAATCGGAAGAGAACGGCATCTGGTCTGCCACGAATCTTGGTACACACAGATGCAGCCCAGATGATTGGGAAAGGTCAAGTGGACGTGCAGGATCTGGGAGTGGATTACCTCACTATTGTGGGGCACAAGGTATGATGCTTCTCTCTTCGGTCTACAATGTAGTTTCTACATGCAGGACAAGAGATGTCCATGCATCTAGGTCATCTCCCAACATGGTAAATCCAATACCCATTAAGCAGAGGGTTGCTGTCAGCCCATAGAGTCATCCTTTATTGTTGATAAAATATTTAGAGAGAAAAATAAGAAAGAACATACCAGGGCTCCCTGAACACCAGCCATCATTCTGAGAACCAGACAGTGACCATAATCCAGAGGTGCTTTGTGTGACAGGAAGCTGGCAGTAAAAACGTTTGGTGTTCATGATTGGTTCTCTCACTCACAGTTCTCATTGTGCAGGATTGCAGACTGACTCTATTAGGGCTAAGGGTGTGGTTTTTTATGTTGTTTAATAAATGTGTCTAATGCTATCTACATCCTGATTTCCAAAACTTTTTTTTCATTTGAAAGTTTTTCCTTCTTTCCTTACTCTCATAAAAACAGTGCACAATAAATATGTACACACAAAGAATATACAAAGAGGCCATCTCACTTTGGCCTTTTGTTAACTTTGGGGAATCCATGTGCTAAAGCAGCAGTTCGTCAGGGTTTTTTTTAAAAATGAGAACCATTGTTGATTTGCTTGCTGCTGACAATTGTATTTTGCTACAGCTGCCATGCAGATTGTCATATGGTGACTGTAATGTAAACTCTGCCCTGAACAGTATCTTGGCCCTCTTCTCTGCAGCCCATGCATCTAGCATGGTTGCACAGAAATGCAGAAAGTGTTGTTTAAATTGTCTTTTATTTTCATCATGAACTCTTGGAACACCTAAAACCATAGTGGACAGTCGATAACTCGCTTCTTAGGATGCAATGCAACTCAACTGCTTCTCCACCAGATGGCAATCTGGGAACAATGTTGAGTGAATTTGTCCACATTTTCACATTGCGCAGGAGAGCATGACCCATAGCAGGAGATGTCCAGTGTGTCAACGTCACTTTCCATTACAGTATTCAAAAACAGCTTTTCATTTTTTTATTTACTTTGTCAGTAGCCAAGTAATGATTCAAGTTAATCTCCAGGCGTAATTAGTTTAATAACTGTGGCGTCTGGGAACATGTTTGTCATGTTTTTTTAGAAGCACACAAATGCCTGTCAAGTGACACAGAACAGGGGGAGAAAACACAGGAAACTCTTCTGTTATGTGTGAAATAGCACTGAGGTAGTCTAGGGGAGGGGTAGCAGTGAGCATAGGATTCACCCATACTTCTCTCCCAGGGGCAACCATGATTTCCCCAAGGATTAATGTTTGCTTCTCTGCTCTTGTCAGCCTTACTTCTGTGTGGTCAAGGCACCTCAGTTTCCTGTTGGACACACCTCTTAGTCTGTCTGGAGGCATTAGCTTTGTGATTTATCATTGCAGTTCTATGCCCCGCGTATTGGAGCTCTGTATGTGCGAGGCCCTGGTGTCACCACTCCTCTCTATCCCATGCTGTTTGGAGGTGGGCAGGAACGGAACTTCCGCCCTGGGTAAGAAGGATGAGGGCACAGGGGGAGCCAGTTAATCCAGGGAGAGGCCAAGTAAGGTGGGGACCTCTCTTGGATGTGGGAGCAATATGTGGGTAGCCCATGTTCCTCTTCCTCACGTGGGTGAGGGGCTGTGAGAGAAGACACCAAGCAGTTTTTTTTTAAAGATAGTTTTCTTTGAGACTCCAAGGATGCATAGATTAGTGAGTGAAAGGCTCAGCTTTTGAAAACCTTTCCCTTTCATATCATGTTTCTCATTTGGCAAAGTGTGAAGAGTTTCAGGATAAGCTACTGGGAAATGCAGTGTTGGGTTTACGTCATGGGCTATGGCTGAGTGCTAGCGCGCACACACTTTGCATGCAAAAAGATTCTAGGTTCAATCCCCAACATTTCCAGGTAGGGTTGGGAAAGACCACAGCCTGAAACCTTGAGAGCCAGTGTGGTGTAGTGGTTAAGTGCGGTAGTCTCGTAATCTGGGGAACCGGGTTTGATTCCCCGCTCCTCCACACACAGCTGCTGGGTGACCTTGGGCCAGTCACACTTCTTTGAAGTCTCTCAGCCCCACTCACCTCACAGAGTGTTTGTTGTGGGGGAGGAAGGGAAAGGAGAATGTTAGCCGCTTTGAGACTCCTTAAAGGGAGTGAAAGACGGGATATCAAATCCAAACTCTTCTTCTTCTTCTTCTTTTTCTTCTTGGAATGCTACTGCTGGTCAGTAATACGGTGCTCAATGGGCCAGTGGTCTGACTTAGTATAAGGCAGCACCTGAGCTTCCAAAGTCACATTCAGATGACAAGAAAGACCAGATCTCCTCCCGCCACAACTGAGTAACTCAGGAGCTGTAGCTCCTATCATGCAGTAGCGCCATCTTCAGTCCCTGCATTATGCTAGTTACCCAAGTAGATATAGCCCCTGTGCTTGTGTCACTTTTATTATGCTTTAGGAATAAATACACACTTCTCTGTTCTAGGACTGAGAATACACCAATGATTGCTGGCCTTGGCAAGGTAAGCTCAGAAGTGATGAGGGCTAAAAATGACAGTTATGGATTCAACATGAGATGCTGTCCTGGTAGCAAGGCTCAGATTTCAACCCAGCATTCTTCTTACAATAATTTAAAGGCAGAAGCAGTGCAACAGATTTCCCTGGGTTTGCTTATCTGTGCTGGTGCTTCTCTTCCCTCACACCCTCGGGCTCTCATGCCAGAGGTGGAGTGCTATTTGACCTATGGAGCAAAAGTTCTAAATCTGTGCACAGTGGGACACTGATAGGAGACAAGGATGCTTACAAATGCTTTACTGTAAACTCTGGTTGTTTCCCATCATTGTGAGGATCTGGTTACTGAGGACTTGTTGAAATACTAAAGGTTGTTCTTCTAGGCATATTTTTCAGAGCAAATAGCTAATCTTTACAGTTTTCCCTGTGGCTCTATGTGAATAGCATGCCAGAACAAGAAAGGTACATCAAGTTGGCCTATATATACACTGGGGTGGGGTGAGGGGAAAGTATTCTCAATAACTCAACACCCAGCCACTGTTTTAGGGTCGGTTGGAGAATATGTCCAGATTTTCTCTAGTAGCCCTCTTCATGTGCTGCTTTCACAAAGGGACAACACAGATACCAGGAGCTGTGGGTCAGCATCTTTAGCCCCATGTCCAAGGTTGTGTAGCTCCTCCCAGCTCCTGCTATTGCCTTTTTGGCCAAATGCCCCCCCCCCCAAGTAGTAAACAGTGTATTAAAACAAAATGCACCATAGAGCAATAGGTTTTAAAGCAGGGAGCCTTTACTACAGTGGTGCCCCGCAAGACGAATGCCTCGCAAGACGGAAAACCCGCAAGACGAAAGGGTTTTCCGTTTGCGAGTTGCTTCGCAAGACGAATTTCCCTATGGGCTTGCTTTGCAAGAAGAAAGCCCATAGGGAAATCTCCTGGGACCTCTTTTAAATGCTGGCGGTGGGGAGCAAAGCCTCCCCCCCCCGGCCTTCAGAAGAGGTCCAGGAAGGCCGGCGGGGGCCGAAAGGCTTTGCTCCCCACCGCCAGCATTTTAAAAGCAGCCCGGGATAGCAGGGAAGCGCTTCCCGCTATCCCGGACGGCTTTTGAAGTCCTGGACCTCTTCTGAAGGCCGGCGGGGGGCAAAAGTCTTTGCTCCCCCCTGATCTCAGCGCCCGCAGGCTTCGGCATGCAGGCAACTCTCAGCAAGCAGCGGGAGCATTCCCGCTGCTTGCGGAGAGGTCTGCGAAGCCTGTCCCGGACGTCTTTTGAAGGCAGGTGGGGGGCAAAAGTCCTTGCTCCCCCCTGCCTGCCTTCCCGGGAGAGCGCTGCGTTTCTCCGCTGTCCCGGACGGCTTTTGAAGGCAGGCGGGGGGGAGCAAAGACTTTCGCCCCCCGCCCGCCTTCAGAAGAGGTCCTGGACCTCTTCTGAAGGCTGGCAGGGGGCAAAAGTCTTTGCTCCCCCCTGCCTGCCTTCCCGGGAGAGCTGGCGGGGGGCAAAAGTCTTTGCTCCCCTGCGCTGCATTTCTCCGCTGTCCCGGACGGCTTTTGAAGGCAGGCGGGGGGGGAGCAAAGACTTTCGCCCCCCGCCTGCCCGCCCCTCCCCTGCGCTGCATTTCTCCGCTGTCCCGGACGGCTTTTGAAGGCAGGCAGGGGGGACAAAAAGTCTTTGTCCCCCCTGCCTGCCTTCCCAGGGGCTTTTAAATCGCCCTGGACAGCGGAGAAGTCCTCCGCTGTCCCGGGGCGATTTTAAAATGCCGCCCGCCAGCATTTTAAGATCGCCCCGGACAGCGGAGAAGCCCTCCGCTGTCCCGGTTTTTTTTTTTAAATGCTGGGGGTGGGAAGAAAAGCCCTTGTCCCCCCCCCCCAGCCTTCAGAAGAGGTTGGGGGACAGACTGTCCCCGGACCTGGTCTGAAGGCGGTTTCCATAGGAACGCATTAATTGATTTTCAATGCATTCCTATGGGAAACCGTGCTTCGCAAGATGAAAAACTCGCAAGAAGAAAAAACTTGCAGAACGAATTAATTTCGTCTTGCGAGGCACCACTGTATCTGTGCAGGCTGCCAATGCAGTTTAGAACCCTGATAGATCAGGTGAGTAAACATATGAAGAGAGCTTATGTCACTGAGGTTACAGGTATATAGTTATATGATTAATGGGTTTTCTTTTAGTTGATTGAGAGTGGTGGGTACCTTGTAGGTGTGCTCTAGAGAGAGAGGCTCATGCAAAATTGTGCCATGTAGATTTTGCTTGGTCTCTGACAAATCACTGTCAGACCAAAGGAATCACATTACAAATAGGCACAAAAGGTGATTCCATTCAGATTGCCTACCCATTTCAGTCCTGCATCGAATATCCTGATCTGTTTTCATCTGTCTGGATGGGGACATTCTATGGGAATCACCATTCCCTTCATGGTTCTGTCTCCTGTTGTAGCCACTGAGAAACATGGTGTGCTCATTGTTTTCCTTTGCAGGCAGCAGACTTGGTGAGCAGGCACTGTGAGGTTTATGAAGCTCACATGAGGAAGGTCCGGGATTACCTGGAAGAGAGACTTGAAGTGAGTTCTCTGGGTGCCTGTTTTCTGGTTTGGCCTGCAACCTTTGCATAGGGAAGGGAGGATTGACCCCTGTTTGTAGATAGAATTGCATGGCACTTTCTTCTTGCTGCCTTCCTTTGTAGGAACGCTAAGCTGGGGGATAGTGAAGTGAGGGCAATCATTAACAAACATTTCTTGAAAGTATTATTTTTGCACATTTTAGGCTGTGTTTGAAGAGCGAGGAGTTTATTTTAACTGCAGGCTGAAAGGCTCAAGGAGACTGTGCAACACCTGTAACTTTTCTGTCAAGGGTTCAGGACTAAAAGGTATCCCCTATGGCTCTAAATTTTCACCATTCCTATATGGCTGCTGTCAGTCTACTTTAGGTGTTGGGGGTTTTTTTGCCTACAACTTCCTCGGTGACCAACATATGTGTTAAACCTGTCAATAGATCTCAAGACTGCATTGCTCTTAAGATAGTTTCAGAGCAGATGAAGACCAGACTGCTGCTGTGTGAGGGAGAGTGGGGAGATGCTAAAATATGATATTGGAAATTGGTTTTCTAATTGCTCAAAGAAATTACAAATTGTGACATTTTGCAAATACAGTGGCACCTCGGATTACATATGCTTCAGGTTACATACGCTTCAGGTTACAGACTCCACTAACCCAGAAATAGTACCTCAGGTTAAGAACTTTGCTTCAGGATGAGAACAGAAATCATGCAGAGGTGGCACAATGGCAGCAGGAGGCCCTATTAGCTAAAGTGGTGCTTCAGCTTAAGAACAGTTTCAGGTTAAGAACAGACCTCCAGGATGAATTAAGTTCTTAACCCGAGGTACCACTGTACAGTGGAACCTTGGATTACGTACTGTCCCCCTTATGAACACTTTGGGTAATGAGCTCAGCTAACCTGGAAGTACAGTGGTACCTCTGGTTACGAACTTAATTCGTTCTGAAGGTCCGTTCTTAACCTAAAACCGTTCTTAACCTGAGGTACCACTTTAGCTAATGGAGCCTCCCGCTGCCACTGCACCACCGCCACACAATTTCTCTTCTCATCCTGAGGCAAAGTTCTTAACCCGAGGTACTACTTCCTGGTTAGCGGAGTCTGTAACCCAAAGTGTTTGTAACCCGAGGTATCACTGTAGATACTCCTGGTAGCAAACTTTGTCCCGGGATGTGAGCGGAAGTTGCGTGGCGGCGGCGGCACAGCAGCAGCAGCAGGAGGCCCCATTAGCGAAAGCATGCCTCAGGTTAAACAGTTTCATGTTAAGAATGGACCTCTGGAACGAATTAAGTTCGTAACTGGAGGTACCACTGTAAAAAAAGTAAATGAGTTTTAAGCTTTGGCTTTTTATAATTTCAGCATGAATTTCATATTTATCTCAGGAGGGATTCTAATTGTAAAACCCACATCCTGATTTTATCTATTAAACCTTTTTGTCATTAAAACCCTACTTTGCCTGTTCAGATCTGCATTTCACAATTTTATATGTATGATGTGCATTAACTTTTGCATTTGTTTATTCCCCCCCCTCCAGCTTTAGTGAGAAGTCAGTTCTAGCAAAAGTGTAGGTGGGATAAGCACTGAATGGAGTGAGGGGAGGTTGAAAACCGATTCTATGGGTTCCTTCCTCCACCAGTTCCTTGGGTATTTCATGGCACGCCTATGTCTTGTATTTTCTGCAGGTCGGCTGGTGCTATCTCACTGTAGGACTTTGCTTGCCAGTGTTGGTGCTGCATGCCACTCTGAGAAGGGTGACCGGTAAGGAACCATGTTGGGAAACTGGGCATTCTGTGGCTGGAGGGGACAGATCCATCTGATGTAGAAAAGTGAAAGCAAGGGGTGCAACACCTGTACTCACCCACCTTCTCAGGGAACTCTGCTTCTTAATGGTAGTATTAGTGTGTGTGTGTGACAATAACAGGATTCACCCAACCTGCCCTGTCAGCAGCAGCCCTGCACAAGGACTTGCACTTGCACAGTGTAACTTTCCCATCTCCCACCATGTGCCCCAAAATTGGCTCGGGGAGGGGAGTCAGGAGAACCCCACAACAGTGGGTGGAGATGGTGGGATCAAGCTGAAATGCTTGTGCAGGCAGAATGATTGGAAGAGCACAATGTTGAATTCCACCCTATGACAGTAACGCCAGCCCTTACATCTTACGGTCTTCTCTCCTGCCCCCCAAAGATGTACAAAAGGAACGTTTTCCATTTTCAAACGTGAAATCCTCCTGCTTTAGGAGAAGACTGCCAGAGACATGTGACACCGCCTCCCAGAATCGCTCACCCTGCATCCAGGCCATGCCATTTGCCCCTGGACAATGGGCAGACTAATCCTGTCCCTCCACTTAGCTGTGTGAACCACCCTTCTCCTGGCTTTAAAGAGCTACTGGTCCAGGTCTAAGAAGTGGAAGGGGTTGTATAGTTGCCACAGTGCCAGTCCCACTTTTCCGCCAGGTGGTAAGGGCAGCACAGGAGAGGGTGCTAGCAGTAGGGGGTTACTGAGATAGTGTTGCAGACTGTTGCCGCTTATTGAGGAGCTGAGCTTATTTTGCAAGCTGGTCAATTTGCTTTAAGTTCATAAGCCGGTTAATGTATTTGTATCTTAGTGGAAAGTGTTTTCTTTGCACTTTTGTACAAGCCAACATTTGCATAAGCTGTGGCCTTTCTACCTTGGCACCCACCCTTTTGGAACTCACAGGGGATGGTTCCAGCTGGGCAGGGAAGTAGGTGATCAGCTAAGTGCCTAGGATTAGGATATCATCAAGTGGTTTTCCTTTGAATAGAGAGAGCAGTGTAGTGTGACAGATCATGTGTCTGAGCAGCAACTTGCTCCCCTGCTGTTGTGCGCTGCTTGTTTCAAATACTGGAGAGAGCAGTGGAAACCTAAGTGCCTTGTATTGTATTTCTTTCACCTAAAGATTTTCCTAGAATGCTTGTGGTTCAATTTTATGTCTGAGACCTGCAAAATCATATAAGCATATTGGTATGACAAGCCTTGTGTCCCAATTGATTAGCTACATAATGCTGGAGCCAAATCTGAGAACAGAATGTGCTAGAATCGAGGCTTTTGCTCACATACCTGCTCCAGAGATAATACATTTCAGTTCCATGTTTCCACATGGATGCGCACAGGATCACGTTCAAAAGCAGGTTCCTGAATAGCAAGCGTGAAGGGCCAAACAAAATTCAGATGCCATTCACACAAGTAACAACTGCAGGAATGTGGGGCAAGTCTGGACTGGCACCCTGCTATTGGGGGAGAGAACTGAACCACTCCTCCCCTGCCATGGTGGTCCCAATCTGGATGGAGCTGCCTGTGCCTACTATATGCATGGGGGGAAAGCTTCCACTGGAGAAGATAGAAACATTTCCCCCCAATGTGATTAATAGGGGCAGGGGGCCACAGCAGGGTCAAAGCTCCCTTACAATACCTCCATGCCAGGATCCCCATCCAACTCTTCTTGCTAACACTAGATGGTCTTGCATCTAGTTTGGGCTTAAGTCAGATTTGTTTGTTTGTTTTTTACATTTCTTTCTCATGCTTTGATGAGTTCAGTGCAGCATACACAGTTCTTTGACTCTCCTTTGACACCAAACCTGTGAGGAAGTTAGCTAGTCACTAGCTCAAGGTCAGTTAATTATGTCTGAGCTGGGACCGAGGCTCTCCCCAGTTGTAATCTGACACTCTAACCACTCTACATACCAGTAGATGGGGAACCTTTTTTAGCCACATTCCCTCCTGGGCAATATTTCAGAGGCTGCCTGCAATAGAAAAATGTTGCCTATCATTTAAAACCAGCACTGCAGTGGATCTGCACCTAAGCTGAAGTGACTGCAGCATTCTTAGGAAAAACAGTGATGTGAATGTGCACTACAGAGGCAGAATTCTTTGCGGCTCATATTGGAAACTAATGAGACTTAGAAATAAGTATGGGACTGCATAATTTTTGTTTCCTTCCTCTGTTCACTTCTTGGAGGTTAAACTTGACTTACTTTATCTTTGTTCACCAGGCCATCTTCTATCCTGCTTAGCTGCGGAATTCCTTATGACGTGGCACAGAACGCCTTGCGTCTCAGTGTGGGTCGTGCTACCAGCAAGGAGGATGTGGACCTGATTGTGGAAGATCTGAAGCAGGCTGTGGCTCAGCTACAATAGGCCAGATTTTCAGTCACCTAAGTGAGACAGTTTTGCCCTCTAAAACCAGGAAGTGAGCTTACCTGACCCTAATTTTCCATTGCTCTAGGTGCTACTTACATTTAACAGAATGAAGCTAGATAACATTCTAGTCAGCTTCTGGCCACTGAATTCTCGTTGAATAATCTCTAGTGATTCCCCAGCCCTTCAATACAGCAGGCCAGAAATCAGTGCTCCCTGAATGTAGTTACTATGCTGAGCAGGCTCTGCCAGCAGTTTTTACTCATTGAAGTGGGTAAACATTTCTAGTTGGATGTTTAGATCTATGATTGCAGTTTTTGCATGGGTTCAGGAAACAAGCCTAAATATTATGGTTTGAATGGACAGGTGAATCCCAAAATATTGAAAAATTGGGAGCTTGCCTTGGTACCTGGAAACGGCCACTCTTTTGATGCCACCCTTCTGGGGTATTCCTTACCGGGAATGAAAAGCAGTTGCCCTCCATATAGGCACTGAAGGAATATGAATATTTCTTCTTGCTGCAGCAGCAGGTTGTAGCTGCTATAGTATTGCACTGTGTTTAGCATTGAGATGTGCAGTGGGACTAGAATGTGCATTCTTCTAGAGCTGAAGAGGAGAGAGAGAAAGAGAAAGAGAGAAACTTTCATTTCACATTGCTGTCTTTTGTGTTATGAAGGCTGCATAGATACCAACCTCTCTAACCGAGGGCTTCTCCACACTTCCATTGTCCTGCTGCTTTTTCTAGAGAAAACGGCTCTTTAGCGCTCAATCAGAGCAAATGGCAATTTGGGTTTTTCCCGGATTGCTATTTGTTCTGATTTGTTGCTAAAGAGCGAGTTTTCCCTTGCAAAGGAGTGGGTCAAGCAGAAAACTACTCAAAAGTCATACTTTCTAGGCACTGCACAAGTAGAAGTGTGGATGATCCCCTAGTGTTAAAGGGCTATTTAAGTTATGAAAAGAATCCTACTGGAAATGGCAATGGTGATGGTGGGGGATTTGAACCAGGAATTGTTACTGCTACTATCTGCCCTGGGCGCCAAAAGGAGGAAATCAATCATAGCTGTCATCTCCTCACGTAGCTCTTGCAACAACAGATCCTGGTTGTAGCTGTTGCTGCTGGTTTACCCTAAATGGAGAAATACTCTAACGATGGGGCAGGTGATGTCAAGAGAGCCAGCATAGCAATCATTTCCCATCAGCAAATGGTAGACAACTGCATGCTGGTTCTCTTGTCATTGCCTGCCCAGCTGGCTTGCATCTTGATCAAGCCAACAGCAAGGATCTGACTGGCAATGGTTTACTTTCCCATAAGAACATGTGGTGGTGAGAAGTCTGCCTTTCCAGGCAGTTCTCTTCTGCTGCTCTTTGTCTTGCCTACAAGGCATTCTGAATACCCTGCTCTTCCTTGTCAGGATGCATGGCAGGGGTTGCTCTTACAGTGAGTTTCCCCCTGCAGGGAAGGACAGGTACCACATGGACCCTTGCTATAACTGCTTACCTTGTCTGTGAGAAGGAGGCACCTATATGCAAGAATATCATGGGGGATTTTGTCATTTTATATATAGAGAGAAAGTTACAAGCCTGGTGAATCAAGGGGATGCTGTGGATGTAGTGTAGCTTGATTTCACTAAGACTTTCGACAAAGTCCCCCATTAAATTCTTACGGAGAAGTTGGTAAAATGTTTGCTGGACAAGGTTATTGTTAGATGGATTTGTAGCTCCCAAACCCAAAGAGTATTCAGTAATGGTTCCTCATCATCCTGGAAAAAAATGACAAGTTGGGTGTTCTGTCCTGGGCCCATTGCTGTTCAACATCTTTATAAACGAATTGCATGAAGGAATTGAGAGGGTGACAGTCAAATTTGCAGATGACACTAAACTTGGAGAGGTACCTAATGCTGCAAAACACAAAATTCGGATTCCAGATGACCTTAACAGATTAGAGAATTGGCCCAAACTAACAAAATTTCAATAGGGAGTTGGGCTAGATGACGTTAAGAATCCCTTCCAACTCTATAATCCTATGAAATGTAAGGTTCTGCACTTAGGCAGGAATGGGGGACACCTGGCTTGCCAGTAGTAGTTGTGAAAATGATCTAGGGTAGATCACAAGCTTATCATGAGTCAACAGGGTTTTGACAAGCTGGAACATGTGCAGAAGAGGAACTGTTGAGGAAGTTGAGTATGTTTAGCCTGGAAAAGAGGCGAATGAGAGGTGATATGGTAGCCATTTTCAAATACCTAAGGTCTGCCACCTTGACCTGTGCAGCATATTATGCAGTTGCCACTGCAGGCACTGTGTTTTGTAGCATGAAGAGTGAGGGGAAGGATGAAGGTTATGCCTTCTCACTTATATAAGCAAGTTTGCACATTAAGCTACCATAGTCCATCTCTGTGCTAAACACTGTGATGCATGGTGCTCTCTTTTCTATCATGAAAGAGCCAGTACTTTTGTTACAAAGGAGGGAACTGGAGAAAGGGGTGGGGCAAGGACAGAAGAGTGGTAAGGCAAGCAGAGTTCAGATTCTCCCTCCTTTTGGTTAGCACCTTCAGATCTTATCGGGGGTCCCTGGATTGCTGCAGCCTTGATAGGTATTATAAAATAGTAATTTAGTCAGGATGGATTGTATACTCCATAGTGCTAAGGTGAATATTCTGTTGGTGCAAGAACTTCTCCTTGCGCAGCAGAACATTCTCCCCCTGTGTAACGCTGAATCTGTTATGGGGGTTCACCCAACCCTCTGGAGCAGATTTGGAGGGGAGGCACAGGGGGAGGAGAGGGGTGGGGTTCCATTGCACTAATGCAACTATTTAGCTGAATACTGTCCTATATTATTTTGTTTGTGGGCAGGAGAAGGGACCAATACATATATATTCAAAGTCCCAGGTGAGGCACATAGGTAGGCTGGTTATATTATCAGAGACAATTGTTAGCACCAGAAGCAAATGCCCACATGCAGTTCCTCAGTTTTGTGCATGGGAAGCTAGTAGGTCTAATCCTACAGGAATAGGAACGATTTTACTCAGCTCAGGGAGACAGGAATCATTGTATTTCCTTAGACTGGCTGCCCTCAAATAGGGTACTAATATTTGTTTCCTGTAAAAAGAGTTCAGAGAATTTAGAGAAAATAAGACGTTTGCCTGGCACACTCTTTCCCAGTAGTAATGCTTTTAAGGGATTTGTCACATCTGTAGGAACAAATGCTATATTTTTTAACTGGTTAGCCTTTTCCTTTGTTTTCCTGGCACGTAAGCTGATTTTGTAGATCTGTATCAGCTCCCTGAACTGTCTTTTGTTTGTATCCATGAAAAGAAGACCCCAAGGACTACTTTTCAGTTAACTGTCATAGGAAAACATCAGACCTGCTGTGAAGAATGTCTTGCTGGCCCTGTTGATGGGGAAACACTGATAAAATGAAACTTGCTGGATTGGGGAGGACAGCCAGGCACAAATATATGGGGGAAAAATGTCCGTCTGGAAATGTTACGTGTTATGCTATATTATGTGTATTTCTTGAAAGCTTTTGAGTTTCAGAACCATTGTGGAAGGAATTCAAAGAAGGCAATTAAGTAGGGACCAGGATAGACTCATGTCTATTTCAACTTATTTTGCTACACAGATACAGCCAGTCCAGCTGATAATAGGGATAAGAAGACAAGATCAAGGGTTGGTTTCACGATTCTGTGGCTTTTTATGAATGTGAAATCGCAAGCTATTTGCTGACCTATCAAAATGTTAATCTGGTATGCTGCTGTCTGTAGCCTTGTTCTGTGGAGCCAAGGTGGGTAACACTGTAAAACAGATATTAACTTAAAGTCTAAAATACATTAAAATGTGATAAGTTAAAAGTAAGCCTGTATCAATGCCAGCCTGATTTATTTATTTTTTAAGTCTTGCTATGACACAGCATTGTTTGTTATTCACAGAAGTGCAGATTTTACATTGTGAAAGCTTCAGCCAGCCAGCGTATCTGTACTTATTTTATCATACTTTAGGTCTAATTTGAAGATTCTATTCTCATGCACCCCCATACTTCCCGCACTGAATACCTCAGTTCTCTCTGTTTTGGGGCACTTGAAGAGAAGTAGCCGGAGAGCTGTCAGCAGGATATTTATGAGCGTCTATTTAGTCATTCTGCAGTCTGGGGGAAAGCCAGTCAGTCTGAGATCCCTCAACACTTACCTCTTCTCCTGCTTAAGTATGAGTGCTTCCTGTTATTAGCTTTGACCACAGTCTAGAGACCTGGAGTTCAGTCTTACAGCACCTTGCATGACTTGCCCAGATTGAAAGGATGGCAGTTTCCCTTCTGTCAAAAGGCTGAATTCCTCTTTCTGACTGGGACCACAGTCAAGATAAAGGCTGTATTTACCCACTCATTACTTTTGTGCAGCTGTTCTGAGCATTGCATTTATTGCTCCAGCTGAGTTGTTGTGCACCAGAACTTTGTAATCATAGTCCATTATTCCAACCTGATCACCAATAGGGCCAGAGGTCTGGCATTCTGGCCACCTCTGGCGTGTGTATGTGTGTGTGCTCTCTATATGTAAAACATTTTATGTCAAAGGCCATCCATGACTGTGCATCAGAAAATACATCTTCCCCCTTGGCTAGTGTCTGGAAGATGAGAGTAGCCCACAAGGAGGTGGAAGATGGCTGTCATTGATAATGTATGAAATTGAAGAGGAGAGAATTTTCCAGCATCAATCTACTAGACTTCAAAAATGTGTGTGTTTGTGGAATTCACAGAGACTTCTATTATTAAGCTTCATGTAATGGTGTATATTCAGCCCATATGCAAAAATTCAAAAGAAGTGGGCTCCATAGTTACCTGCAATTCTATGCTTTTTTCTTTGTATTTTTTTAATAACAGGGTGAAAGATTTCTAGGAGGATGGAAATACACATACTAAGCCACACAGCTTATTTGCTCTACTGGAGGCATTTATTATTATTATTTTATTTGCCTGTCCTTCACCAGCAGATCCCAGGATGACCAGAATTCAAAATTCAGTACAGTGGTACCTCGGGTTAAGTACTTAATTCGTTCCGGAGGTCCATACTTAACCTGAAACTGTTCTTAACCTGAAGCACCACTTTAGCTAATGGGGCCTCCTGCTGCTGCTGCGCTGCCGGAGCCCGATTTCTGTTCTTATCCTGAAGCAAAGTTCTTAACCTGAAGCACTATTTCTGGCTTAGTGGAGTGTGTAACCTGAAGCGTATGTAACCTGAAGCGCATGCAACCCGAGGTACCACTGTATTAAAAACAGTAAAAACAAATTGCAGTTGAAGGGCTAGTGCAGGTCCTGAAAACACCTCAGGTGTGAAAGGCCACAGTAAAGAGGTGCATCTTCAACATTTGTTGAAACTTGTATAGCAGAGGTCAGCAACCTTTTTCAGCCGTGGGCCGGTCCACCGTCCCTCAGACCATGTGGTAGGCTGGACTATATTTTGGGGGAAAGAATGAACGAATTCCTATGCTCCACAAATAACCCAGAGATGCATTTTAAATAAAAGCACACATTCTACTCATGTAAAAACACGCTAATTCCTGGACCATCTGAGGGCTGGATTGAGAAGGCGATTGAGCCGCATCCGGCCCATGGGCCTTAGGTTGCCTACCCCTGCTGTATAGTGAAGGTGACAGGTGCATCCCTGTACTCAGCTGGTTGACTGACAACCTATGTCAGGCTTCTTCAACCTCGGCCCTCCAGATGTTTTTGGCCTACAACTCCCATGATCCCTTGCTAGCAGGACCAGTGTTCAGGGATGATGGGAATTGTAGTCTCAAAACATCTGGAGGGCCGAGGTTGAGGAAGCCTGACCTATGTTTTACATGCAGAAGTTTACAGGGTCAAGCTTTAGCATCTCGTAACTACAAGAATTTGGGGTAGCCAGCCTAGGGATGACATGGCCTAAGACCTTGGATTGCTGACAAAGGCAGCTCCATGTGCTCATGTATGATCTAGCAGGTGTGGCATAGAATGCACTTTGTCATATAAGATACTGGAAGGGGTAAGTGTCCTGTCAAAATGCATAATGAATGGGGATTTGGGTTTGAAGCCCATCTTAGCTCAAGTAAAAGTGAACTGATCTGCATTGCAGGCACAGCTGTAGAGTGAATGGAGATAAAATTATTATTCTCCTTCAAACAGCAAATTCTGCTTTTACAAAAGAAGAAACAGAATTGGGAGATTGTGTACCCTCACAACAAGTGCTGGTGCAACGATCCAAATGGGAAGACCCTGGGAAAAGTTGTTTGTGTTCTGGCGGCAGAAAAATATTCTATGTGATCATTTGTTCATGTGATTTCCACAGATTTATTATGAAACAATTATAGGAAACCATGGGGAAGATCTGCACCGTCATGGGAGGAGCAAAAAATATTCTGTCTGATTACTTGCTAATGTATTGTGAATAGATTGATTATGGAACATTTATAGATGCTTTAAATATTTTGGATTGGGAACAAAATGTGTTAAATAGAGAGAGATGACTGGTGATTGCATATTACCTGTTTTAGTTCATTATAAAGAAAATGGAGTAAAATAATAAGGCAGCTTTGACATCTTGGCTCTATAGAAACCCTCTTTATTAATTCACAATAAATTGCAAGAATTTGCCCTCTTTGGTAATATTAGAACACTAATTTCTTTGGTGGAGGATTCTTGCAATCCCACTGTGGCGGAAGTCTGTAGAACCGAATTATTTAGTGTTGTATCATCAGTATTTACCGTAACCTATCTCTCTGGAATTTCTGTTATTTGAACAGAAATCAGCCGCACCATACTAGAGACATGTACATCAATAGGGGAAATATTAGCATTCCTGTTTACAGCTGTGGTTTTTAAAATTTGAATCTAATTCATAAACCATCTCACAGCGTATTTTCTGTGTTTTATCAGTCAATGCAGGAAAATACAGTAGGAACTGAAACACATGCTAATTGCATCATAGAGCTGTTGCTCCTGAAAGCCTGGCTCGTATTTTTCAAACGAACACCAAACTTACTTTATATTTTATCACGCCACTCTTTATAACAATTCAGGGTTCAGTGCCACAAGTGGAAGAAGAGTTAATAACATCCCTGATTCTGCCAGGAGCTTTTAGCTGTTCTCTCTCACCGGCCATGTGCCCCTTCTTAAAAAAACAAACCCTGCAGTACATATGCTTTCTACAGCACCTTACCCGGTAACCAGAGACACATAGCACCTGGCTGGTACATAAAACAAGAGACTCTGCGAAAGTAGGACCTTCCAGTGAAGACAACAGCAAGGCTCCCAGAGATGGGAGACCAAAGGGCTATTTTAGCTGCCAAGGAAGGAGACTTGCCTATGCTGGAGCAGCTGCACATCGATGGTACTCTGGACCAGAACATCACTGACTGCTCGGGAGCAGGCCTGGTGCATCATGCGTCACGAGCAGGCAGGCTGGAGTGCCTCAAGTTCCTGGTACTGCAAGCAAAGCTTCCCGGGAATCAGAGAGCAAACAATGGTGCAACCCCAGCACATGATGCAGCAGCCATGGGCAACTTGGCTGAGCTGAAGTGGCTGATCAAAGATGGAGGCTACAGCATGCAGGTGAGGGGTCTGACAAACGGGGATCTAAACAGCGGGAGCAAGGTAGAATGCTGGTTGCAGCTAGACATATTTGCCGTGGGTGGTATTCAATAAGTTTTCCTATCGGGCTCATTTAATTAAGGTAAGTTAGTAATGGCCATTAACGACAACAGGTCTACCCTGAGGAGGAGGAGCATTGAATACCACCCAGTGTTTTTACACAGGTTGCTGCTCTTAGATTAGACTTGGGTGGCAGAGAGTGCCGGCACCCCTTGTCTACAAACAACCCTTGCTGGACTACCAACAGCATTTACGTAACTATTCTTGTCCAAGGGAGACTGTGGTGTTTAGCAAGTCCTTCTTTGTGGTGGGTGTTGTGTTTTAAGTGGGCTTTTTCATTGCCAAAAGTCTGAAGTGAGTTCAGTATATGCTCTTCATGGAGACACACTTTATTTATTTATTTATTTATTTATTTACTACAGTGGTACCTTGGGTTACATACGCTTCAGGTTACATACGCTTCAGGTTACAGACTCCGCTAACCCAGAAATAGTACCTCGGGTTAAGAACTTTGCTTCAGGATGAGAACAGAAATTGTGCTCTGGTGGCGCAGCAGCAGCAGGAGGCCCCATTAGCTGAAGTGGTGCTTCAGGTTAAGAACAGTTTCAGGTTAAGAACGGACCTCCAGAACAAATTAAGTACTTAACCCAAGGTACCACTGTATTAGGCTTACAGCATATAATGATACATAATAAAACATCAAAAATTAAGAACTTCCCAATACAGGTCTGCCATTGTGTCGCCCACAGGATATTTGTCCTTGAGTGCTGCATCACGAAGCGTTAATGGGAAAGGGCAAATTTTGACCCCATGGCAACGTCCCCCAAGTGCAGCTCTTTCCCTACTCCCACATGGAGAAAGCAAACAAGTGTGCTTGGGGACATCATTGGGGTGGAGCATTAACTTGCCCCCTGCCCCTCTTGCTCCAGCTATTTAAAATCAAGCTCCTTGTCTGTGTAGCCAACTGAGTTTTGTTTCTCTGTAACAATGGATTTTGGGGAATTGGCTTTTTGATTAACATGGTGTCATGGGCTTCCAACTGCAAGCAGCAGAATATGCTAGCAAAGGATGCAAATGAAAGTATAACACTGCAATCACGCTCAGAAAAGCTGATGTTTGTCTTTCTAATAATAATTATTGCTTCCAGATGTCACCACATAGGAACACTGTATTAAAATCCCATTCACTCATCCAAGGAATGCATGGAGGGGGGCAGCAGGGCTGTGCCTGAGGGCTGTCTACACTCATTCAGGTGAAGGCATGCCATCAGTGCCATATCCTGTGGACATGGCCCTTCTCCTTCCTCCACTTGTTTAATGAACATGTGGACATAAATGAGTGAAAATAGAGGCAACGGCCAATTCATGCGCATCCGATTGCACATGTATGCATGGCGCCGAACCTGGAAGTGACACAAAAACATATCTGGAAGGGGTGGAACGCTTTATGCAGGCCCCGCCAATGCGCACGGGGGTCCAGAACGTAACCCCTGCACAAAGTGAGCATTGCCTGTAGCTTAAAATCATTCTGGGTTCCTGGATCTTTTGATAGGCCAGCTGAGGCAGTTTTTGTTGGGATATCCTGATCACCTTCAGGATGAGAACATACAACACAAGTACGAACTTATAAAGACATAGCCTGATTTAGCTGCTTTACTTATTTATCAAGATTTCTATCCCACTTTTCCTCCCAGGAGCTCAAAGTGGCAGCATACATGGTTTCCCCTATTTTATCCTCACAACAACCCTGCGATGTAATTTAGGTCTGAGGTCACCCAGTGCGTTTCTTGACTAAGTGGGGATTTGAACCCTGGTCTCCCAGACCACAGACCAACACTCTAACCACTATGCTACATGGCTCTTTAATGGTTCTGGCTAGAGGCAGGCTCACAGAAAGGCAACACACTGAAACAATCACCTCATTACTTGCTCTCTAGGGAGATGCTGGATTGAGAATACATGACTGAAGTCATGTTTCCTTTTGCCCCACCTATACCCCTCTATGGGGTTTTTTAAAACGAAAGACATGCATTTGTACACTACTACAGTTGCCTTCTTCCATACAAACTATTTACATCGTTTCCAGGCCATATTCACACTAACATTTCCATTTTCCAAATCCTCCGTATACTTTAACTTCTGTTGTATTCTAACGAAATGGCTGATCACGAGTGCAGCAGCTTGCTAATGGAGGAACGTAAGAAGCTGCCCAAACTGAAACAGAGCAATACTGTCCACGCAGCATTGGGAGTGATTCTTTCAGGCCAGAGGTCTTTCTCAACTCTTCCCAGAGATGACAGGGATTGAACCTGGGACCTTTTGCATGTAAACCCTAGAAAGATGCAGGATCTCATCATCCTCCAAGTCCAACACACAGTGCACGGTCTCTGGGTCATGACGCACTATTGTTACTTATTACATTTATATAGTCCATCAATAAATATTCCACCTCATTAAGTTTGGTAAATGGGTATGTGGGCCTGTTTCAACATCCCTCAGAGAAGGCTGTTTCAAGTGATCTCTAGGTCACAATTACAAAGCAGTCATGAGATGGATGTTAAGGAGTGAGAGTGGGTGGGGAAGAGTTAACCACTACTCCTGAACTGTTTCTTCTCTCCATAGGAGCAGGATGCTTCAGGGGCTTCTCCCCTCCACTTAGCTGCTCGCTTTGGACATCCAGAGGCCATTGAGTGGCTGGTCCAGGCAGGCTTTGACACTGCGATGAAGACAAGGGAAGGTGCCGTGCCAGCTCATTATGCAGCAGCTAAGGGCGATCTCACTTGCCTCAAACTGCTGGTCGCTGCGGACCACAGGTAGGTAAAAGCACAGCATACTGATATTCAGTATACTGATATTGCAAGGCACTGTTTCCTCACTTGGAGCTGTCACTCAGGCCTGCACTATGCACATGCAATGCATGGGGACATTGTTTTCTGTGTTTGCCCCAGTGCAGTTCTACATTTACCGCCTCTTTCTGCCACATGCAGTGATGTTCTCAAGACAGGACTTGGGGGCAAAAGTCCAGGGTCCCACTCAGAGGAGGGCTCCCAAGCACAGCAGGGCTGGATAACCACATTTTGAAATAATACCACACATAGTCATCTAAGGAACAAATGCATGCCAGTACAATCATTGACCAGAGCTGCTGTGCTACTGCCTGCCTGTGTGGTCTAGAGAACACACACTGTTGATAGAAAAATTATTCAGTTTAATGAAATCAGTGTAGATGACCATGATGGCAGCACACCCCTCCTAGGCCATTCATGTGGTCAGGGCTGATGGGAGGTATAGTCCAACAACCTCTGGGAAGGGCACAAAACTGATGGATTGCATGAAGAAAGTGCTCTGGGAGCTGGGTTTGTTTTTGCACGACTTCTACAGTTGCAACTGTGCTTTCTGGTGCTGTTATTGTGTTGTGATCATGGAAGATGCTGCTATCAGGGGAAATGTTTTCCAGGGCAGAGCATACCAGTATACTTGCTCTTTGTGCTGGACTTTCTTCCTGCAACAGGACATTGGGACAGCTTGTATGGAGGAAAAAGCAGCTCACAGCAACCATTTTCAGAGTTCTGAGAGCACATAGCTAGGTTAGCCTAGCAGCGTAGAGTTTTCCTTAGTGTTTTGTTTCCATGCCACAGCATTTCCCAGATGCTCTATGTTTGTTTGTTGACAGGACAGAAGGCAGGCGCTTAAGATCTTTGCTGAAGCGGATTGTGTTTCCAAAGGCAGACGCCTCATAACCATCTGCCTGAGTGCTTTTAATCTCTTCCCTCATCTACTACAGCCCAGCATCTTTTCCTCCCTTTCTCCCTCCATATATATATTTTCTCATTCATTCTGCAAAGCCCTGCAGAAGCTGTACAGTGCAAGAATGACAGATATGAAAGATTAGCAATGCAAGTTGTGGGAACATAGGGAGCTGTTATAAGGTGGTCCTTGTGACAGATTTTTACATGGCAGCTGTGTGTGCAAATTTAATATACTTAGATACAAATCTAGACAAAATTACTACAATGCACATAGAAACACAATGCATCTCACTGTAGTGGGGAAGACGATGCTTTGTATGGAGACATGTCCCTGTGAGTCTGCTGTCCAGACGCTGATGGGAAGCGTCAAGTCCTCTTTCTCTTCTTATGGTTATTTATCTTGGACCAGGGAATCTTCTCTCCTTGGTCAAGGACACATGGCCACCCTAGTCTTATATCAGGTCAGAGACTATTTGTCCATTTAGCTCAGTTCTGTCTACTCTGACTGTTCTCTAGGATCCCAGGTAAGAGAGGTGTTTCACATCACTTGCTGCTTCTACCTGAGCAACTTCACTAGAGATTCCAGAGTTTGACATGGGGACCTTATGCACTCAAAGCAGGTGCCTTCTTCTCTTGCCTAAAGCATCCAGAATTCAAAGAAGTCTGTCTGGGAGCTCTTTCCATTCCCTTCTTTCAGTGGGATGTGACCCCACTCAGAGAAACAGGTTCCGTCTGAGGGGCATCTGGTTCTTCGTGTTTATCTGCCACCTTTCCGCAGTGAGCTGTGCCCAGAGTGGCCTACAGCAAACACCCACTTATTATCATATACAAAACATTGGTTGGTGAAGGTTGGGGGAGAAAACCGTTAACAAAATGTATCACTAAATTCAAAGAAGAGAAAGATCAACAATTCAGCAAACATAGAATAAATTCAGTATTACAAAAGAAATGATTTAGACTTAAATGCGTAAGTACATTTTGTTATGCTTGAGGCTGTTGCTGCCCAGTCAATGTCTTTCTGATGTGCTTATCGTTTGGGTGGATTTTCCAATATGTCTCTGATAGATATTCCCAAAGGGTCAGATCCTAATTTCCAGAAGGCTGTTGCCCCCTACAGCCCTCGTGTGTTGTTACAATTTCCTCAAGCTCATCTTTCACACAGAGCCCCCAAAGGCTTGTTATCTGTTAGTACTGTATCACTAGACTCCCTCAGCTGTTTACTCTGCTTCCTCTTGATTTGTTGGCAGGGCATAGTGGATATTTGCTGCTGTGCCTCAGGCGCAAAATGTCTTGGGCTGGCCCTGGTAATGGGAAATATTGGCTACATGAGACAGGTCAGAGGGAGGGAAACTCACTGAGAGGTGATAGAAGGCTGGCCTAGGCCATTATCACATGGAGGGCGTAGATCAGTCTAAGCATTTACCACCTGATTGTGGTTGCTGTGGTGGAGAAAGTGGTGAGGAAGCATTTATAATGAAGCATTCTGGCCAAGAGCAATTGTCCTTTGCATTAACAGCTATTGAAGTAAGAGCCACTTTGAAATCCTGGGTGCAAAAATGCCTTAAGAGCCAACAGCACACCTCTAGTCCAAAGAAGCTTTTTTAATGAATGCAGCCAGAAATCCTATATCCCCCAGCCCTTATCCAGGAGGCAAGAGGAGAGTGATATAAAATAAACATGCTTGCCCTCTGCTGGTAATGACAGTGACTGAAGTCCACTATAAAACACCTAAAGTAATTATGTGAACTGCTTCCAATCTGTTTCCTTCACTTCTTGCTTTTAAAGGGTTAAAATGTTTTTAGATTTTAAAAAAGTTTAGCTACATGAAGCTGGGAACTGTTATTTAGTTATTACAATTTATTCCACTCTTTTTTTCAAGAAGCTCAGGGCAGCAGACATCATTCTCTCCTCTCTTCCCCAGACAACCTAATTTTATTTTCACAATAAACTTGTAGGGTAGGTTTGGTTTAGAAGGAATGAGGGGCCCAAAGTCACCTGGTGAGTTTCATGACAGAGTGGCGATACGAACCTGGGTCTCCCTATTCCAACATTAGCTGTTGCATTGCTCTAGTTCTTTATACACACAAGCACTTTCACATTTAATTCAAAATGCATTTTTTGTGTGCGCCATTTCCCCCGAGATACTAAGTCCTCTTGATTAATCATAGGATTCCAATTCGACAACAAGGTATTTTGTTTGCATTTTTTTTGTCCCAAACCTCTATTTCTGCATTATAATAAAGTTACATTTTTGCTGCTAGCCCCACCCTGCTGCAGCTCCTTCTGCTGCTATTTCTGTTATTGCTGCTGCCTCCACTTCCACTCCTTTATAACTTGTGTCAAATTCCATGTACTATACCTAACGCCAGGTACATTTCTCAGTGCTTTGGGGCTTTGTTGCATTTGGGAAGTTCTCTTTTTTAATAGAGCTTTTCAATTTTCCAGTCCCCCATTTCCATCAGGTGCTCCCCTTTGCTTTCATGTTAGAGTATTTTCCCCAGTTTCCTCAACCAGTTATTTCCCCTGAAAAAACTCAAAATACAGGGAAAGTTCTGCTATAAGACATCTGGCTCCTCAAGCTCTGCCTTTCAAATACAGCCTTCAGCCTTGCTCTCAGATCACCTGGGCTTTTGGTTTGTCACCTTTGACCTGGCAGAGAATCTGTGCCTCTTGACAGCTTCATGATATATATAAATTCCATGTGTCACTCTGGGAATGTGCCTGTGTACATGCAAAAATACATTAAGTAAGGAACTATGTAAGTATCAGGGACGCGGGTGGCGCTGTGGGTTAAACCACAGAGCCTAGGACTTGCCAATCAGAAGGTTGGCGGTTTGAATCCCTGTGATGGGGTGAGCTCCCATTGCTGGGTCCCTGCTCCTGCCAACCTAGCAGTTTGAAAGCCCATCAAAGTGCAAGTAGATAAATAGGTACCGCTCTGGCGGGAAGGTAAATGGCGTTTCCGTGCACTGCTCTGGTTCACCAGAAGCGGCTTAGTCATGCTGGCCACGTGGCCCGGAAGCTGTATGCTGGCTCCCTTGGCCAGTAAAGCGAGATGAGCGCCGCAACCCCAGAGTCGGTCACGACTGGACCTAATGGTCAGGGGTCCCTTTACCTTTACCTATGTAAGTATCACACAGAGGCAATGAATTCCCAAGCCCCATCACTTCTAATATTGGCATAATTCCTCTCCTCCAACAGTTGCGTGAACAAGCAAACTCAGAGTGGAGCTACCCCGCTGTATCTCGCCTGCCAGGAGGGCCACCTGCACATCGTCCAGTTCCTGGTGAAGGACTGTGAGGCTGATGTGCACCTGAGAGCACATGATGGCATGACAGTGCTCCACGCAGCTGCCTGTAGCGGTCACTACGCTGTTGTCGTCTGGCTGGTAAACCTGTACTTTTACATTTTAGGTAGCAAGTGTCGTTTCTTGACAAGAATATGAATATGCTCCTTTGGATAACAGTGTCACTGAAGGCCCTCCATAATTCCTTTTTATTGCACATTCATGATGTTTTCTGTTCATTATGTTATTGGTACAGTCACACACAATCCCACTTTTTTCCTTTTCTTTAAAAAAATATATTCATTGATACTTGTCCAAAGATATACAAAAATTCATACCCATTATGAACTATCTTTTTATAATGAAATACTTAATATAAAAAAGAACAGAGGCAGAAAGAGTATAAGAAAGAAAGGGAAGAGAGAGAGAAAGATAAAAGACTTCTGATTCTCTGTCCTGCAGCTAAATATAGTATTCACTCATTAACATGCAACCATTCTGTCTTCCATAAACCAGTATTTTTTCAATCTTCAAATCCAGATAAGCAAGAAACATTTACATTTTAGCAACAGGAGTATATTATTTGAATCAACCCATGACATCATTTTGTCCACTGTAGATTGTTCTGCAGTCATATGTTCAATATTCCTTTTTTATCATTCATGTCTTTAAATGCTGCATTGTTAACTAATTTGATTGCCACTCATATCTTTAATAATCAGAAACTTCCAGAATAGAGAGGTCTGCCACCAAAAGGTTTAATTGCCCTTGTACTTCTTTTTTTATTTAATATAAAAGGTATTCAGTCTTAGCTTCTAACACCCCCCATGTCAGGCACAATTCTGTGGTACGTATGGCATGCAGTGTATATAGAAAACAAATTGCAGAAATGGAGGGTGCTTCCACGCTATTTATCTGTTTGCAAATTCCCTCTGCTTTCTGCACTAAAGTACCCAAGGCAGCTGCAGAAATAGGTGAATGAAAAAACAACAGCTCATCTTTAAAAAAACCCATTTGGCTTTGACTCCTACGCAGTGGCGTAGCGTGGGTTGTCAGCACCCGGGGCAAGGCAAGTAATTTGCGCCCCCTAACCCGTGGATTTGCGCCCCCTAACCCGTGGATTTGCGCCCCCTAACCTGTGGATTTGCCCTAACCCCAGATGTTGCGCCCGGTGCGGCCGGCCCCCCCTGCACCCCCACGCTACGCCACTGCTCCTACGTAATCCTCCTTTCCCCCCTCCATGTAGGTTACCTTCACTGATCTCGGCCTCACAGCACAGGATGCAGAAGGAGCCACTGCCCTCCATTTTGCTGCCAGAGAGGGACACACTGCAATTGTTGACAGACTCCTCCTTATGGGAGCTAACGTGGTGCTGGACCATTGGGGAGGAACCCCACTCCACGATGCAGCTGAGAATGGGCATCTCGAGGTATTTGGTGATACCATGTAGCGAGGGAAATGAGTATTGGATCAGAACTCAACTGATGGCACAGCCGTACTCACACGGTGTGTTCAGCCATGGTTGATCATGACGTGTGTACGCCATCACTCCCCTCTCCTATGTGGTTGACAGGAGGATTTGAAATAATAGTAAAATAATAATAATAATAATAATAATAATAATAATAATAGTAAAAAGACCTGGATCTGCGTTCTGGTGCGTTCCACCAGAAAAAAGCATTGCTTTCCACAAACATTTGCTCTCCCCCCCACGCCTCCCAGGAAACCATCCATGTGGTTACTTAACAGATTCAGAGTAGCCCACACTTGGCTGTTCAAACAATCAGCTCATGCATCTTGTGTTTGTATCAATTCAGCATCCATAGTGTTTAAACAGCGTGGGGAGGGTTTTTAAAATGGAAGCCCAAAATGAACAAATGATGGAGTTCAGTGGGAATGGATTTTTAATCAATGTCAGCCTACCTTCTTCAGTTGATGCAAAAAGCTTACCTTGAATAATTATTCATTTATTTGACTATTCTTTGATTTATGAACATTATTGTCCAGCTGTGACAGTTGCACTGGCAAAAGAAATTGAAGAGAAATCCCCTGTTGCATTCATGATTCCCTTTCTTGCTCATAAATTGGTTGTACTGATTAGTGTGATGGTGGTTGTTTATGCATTTATTTGCAGTGCTGTCAAACCCTGATCTCCCACCAAATAGATCCAGGCATCCATGACAGGGATGGTTACACAGCGAGAGACCTGGCAGAATACAATGGACACAGGCAGTGTGCATGTTACCTACAAGAAGCAGAGAAGCTGGTAATCTAAACATTATATTTTGATCATGTACAAGTCTTAGTGTTCATGTGAGTCACTGGAGACAGAGGCTTCTGTACTGTTTGCCCGGTGAACTGGATATGTCACCACAAGGCAGAAGACCACCACACGAGAAAGGTAAATTATCCAGGCTTCCATAATATTATGTATCCCTTGTTAAAAATCAAAGCAGAAACCTTCTCAAAACATTACTCTAAAAAAATGAGCAGTGTGAACATTTTCAGCTCATGGTCATTGAAAGCTGACTTCCATGAGTCATTAACCTGCAGCAGGTCAGTGGACAAGCCAGGGCAGATGTTCCTGATGTTCTAGCTTGCCAGGAGCAAGACGGTTTGTTTCTTTCTTTGTTGCCTGATGCAATGTTTCGGTCCACTTGTTGAGTGGTGTTCTGAGCTACAAGCACTCATTGAAGCAGGCGGGCAGTGGAGGGGTGGGGAAATGGAGTATCCTGAATGAAGGTATGGCTGGTCGGCTGGCTGGAACACTGAGCAGGAGCAGAGTACATTGCAACTTTGCATAGCAGGCTCTGCTTGTTGGATATATTAGTCACTGGGTGACTAATTAGTCCACTGAGCCTGTCCCCTCTGAATCCTTAGATCTGTTTGCCTCATACCCATTCAATCCACATAAATTTATCGCCCTATCTCACCAATCGCTGTGTGCCAGACAAATATCAGGAAGTTATGTCATTGGGTTTCCACAATCTCTGCTCTGAAACAAGTGGTTGCCTCCCTTCTGCAGCCCTGATGGAATTCATTCTGTGCTCCTCTTGCCTATGCAGCTATTTTTGGCATGCTGTTGAGCAGAGTGGAAAATTTCCACCTATTTATGTCCCTAGCACGGGGCAACAAGTGGGCAAGCATGTTGAAGAGCCTCCTGGATTCCTCTGCCAGTGTGAGGACATGGATACTAGACAGCAATTAGCCAGCAACTGATGGTGAGATAAGAAGGGTCTGAAGGAGGAGTTCAGAGGCTGCTGAGTGAGAGCCTTCAGTAGGGCAGTGGCAAGTTTCCACAGCTGAGGCTCTTCAGCAGCAAGGGAGAAGCACCATGGGGCATCGGAATGGCACTGTGGCTAACTTGAGAAGCTGGCTCTGAAATCCTAATCAAGCTCTTAGGTTTCACCGAACAAAGCATAGTAAATCCTTGCCACAGCCCGAGATTTGGAATGGGAACTTTTGAAACCAGAACCTCTTCCCATCACTCAGTTTCCCATTAAAATATTAATGGGGGGAAAAAATCTCTCCAGAACACTCTTTGGTGATGACTAATTAACACAGTGCTGACGCCCACATGTGGATCGGGGTTCTGGAGACACAAGGGCCTGTGGACCTCTCTTACTCAAGCCTTCTGGGCTGAGGAAGGGGTAAAGGCTAAAACAACTTCAGTCACGAATGAGCGCAGCCAATTCTGTTCATGCTGTGATTCATAGGCAACGACTCTCAGAGGCCGAGGCAGTTTTGGGGCCCCCCTTGTATTTTTTGAGGGGGCCCGGCTCCTCATGTTTGGAAGAGCCCTTTATTCCTTCTGTTGCACAAGCCATGACTAAGCAAGGAGGTCCCAAACTAACCATAGTTTCTTATTGTCCAGGAAACAATGTTTACCAGCTCTGGAACATAAGATTCTGCTTTGTTCCAAAGCAGGTAAACCATAGTTTGTATAAAATGGAAATATATGGTTCATTACACATTTCCTCATTTAATTGCAAGCAGAGACTGAAGGCTCAGCAAGAGACTCGTGCATCTCTTGGGTTAATAAACTAAGATATGATCATTGAAATACTGTTGCTAAATGTGCTAAATGTAAATATAGGTATGGAAGTACTTTCAAATTTCAATCTTCTCCATTTCTAGATTTTCCAATCTTAGTTCAATTCTCCACACTTCTGGATTTTTCTATGTTATTTCTACTACAGTGGTACCTCGGTTTAAGAACAGTCCTGTTTACAAACGATTCAGTTTATGAACTCCGCAAAACTGGAAATAATGTCCCGGTTTGCGAACTTTACCTTGGTCTAAGAACCAAGGAGTGCCTGGCGTGCTCTGGTCCATGGGGCCACGAAGAGCCGGACATGACTAAACGACTAAACAACAACAAAGAACGGAATCTGAATAGTGGAAGGGCACTGGCGGCGGGAGGCCTCATTAGGGAAAATGTGCCTTGGTTTAAGACCGTTTCGGGTTAAGAACGAACTTCCGGAACAGATTAAGTTCGTAAACCGAGGTACCACTGTAATATATTCATTTTCAATGCACCTGTTTTCTGAAAATATACATTTTCCTAAACATTGGTTGGAGAACTATATCACAAAATTTGGATAACTGAATTTTGAAAGATGGCTGTGTTTCTATTCTCATGTTCTTTCAGAAAGTAAGAATCTGATAAATTTGATTTCAAATATGAACTGAACCATATTTCTCCTCCATCCCTTATGTGTACATAGCCAAAGTCGCATAATATATAGAGTGTGTTAGGATGAAATTAACTATATTTCCCAACCAGCTGTGAGCATAAGATGGTGCCTGGCTAAGAGGCCGTTGGCTTTTTATGTGGTAGACATTTGCTGGTGTTCTGTTCTCTGCCTGTAATTAGCACCACTGTACATAGTTGCCTATGCTGAGAGAGGCTTTGTTCACTAACATCCTTGGTTAGAATTACATGTCCTTCTCAGCACCTTTGACACACATACTTTGATTCAATTTCCTCCTTGCAAGCACAACCTTTGTTCCTTCATGGGCCCGTTACTTCTTGCATTTGTGCAATGTCTTACAGTAAATGTTAGGGGAAACCTTTTGGGAGGAAGCTGCAAGAGGAGCAAAGTGTGCCAGCTCCTCTGTAACCTTCTTAAGAACACCTCCTTCTGGAGAAGCCATCTTTCTCAGCCATGCTCAGAGCTGGAAGGTTAACCCAAAGCACGCTCTTTATCAAATGGCCATCAAATTGTTACTGTTTTAATTTAGTGTTAATGTGACATTTTGCATTTTTACATTCCCCAAGCGTTTGAGATGGGCTTAACGCTAGCAGTAAAATCGGGTTAATAGATCAAATGTTTAGGAAACGGAGAGAAGCATTATTTTGGAATAACACTTGAAAACTTCATCCACTTGAAAACAGCTAGCTGGATGGGGGCAGTAATTATCTCCCTGAACTCTGCGAATAGCTCTGAGTTCATTAGTCTCATAGTTCATTATTTTATTCTAGCCCCGTACTTAAATTACACTTTTGTAATCTATCACTGCCAATCCATTATATCCATATATAATGTATGGAGGCTAATCTGATGAGAGATGTTATTCATGTAAAGACCATACCACACAGGACATGGGCATTCCATGGTCAGATCTCTCAACTTAAAAAAAAAAAGTCATTGAGAGGGCTCCCATTTGAACCAAGCGATGATGACGATGAAGAAGGGAAGTTTAGCCCTTTTCTCTCTCTGCTATTCTTCTGAAATAACTACTCTGAACCTGCCATTAGCGCTGCAGCTTTTAAAAAAACCAGGCATGATATAAGTGCTCCTCTCACCCAACTGCACAGTTTATAGCAGCTTTGGGCTGGGGGGGTAGCAACGTAAATATACAAAATAGCATGAGGGGAAAGAAAAATCAAATACTCTCTCCACAGTGGTGCTGCTGCTGTGATCAAAATTGCAGTGCTGTGTGACTCCTTTAAAGTTTATTTGCCTTTTTAACAAAAGTCATCACATGATTTATCTTAAGGCTTTGCAGAGGAATGTGGGAGAATTCAGCAACTCATTTTCCTCAGGGTGCCTGCGGAGACTGGAACCATTCAGGCAGTCTCTGGGCCTAAACATTTTCTTGACCCTGCTGACCTCTAGGGCTGGCTACCAACAGACAGCCGGGTCCAGCGTGTGTGTGTGTGTGTGTGTGTGTGTGTGTGTGTGTGTGTGTGTTGGCTCCACTAAACCCAGCTGAGCACTCTCTTTCTATACAAAACTTATTCATTTTAGAAAATGAATGGAAAAGGAAGAAGGGCGCAGGCAGTTCAGTCTCCTGGTTACAGCTAAAGGTTCTAGACCCCTTGGGCTGCTTTGCCAGTTGCCACCTGATGCCCAGCCTTCAAATATTAATGCAATGCTAATTGTGACTCCCTGACCTCCACCCTTTCTCCTGCTGGCATTTGCCACACAATGCAGTTTCTGGCTGCCTCTAGACCGAGTGGGTTCTCCAGTTTCTCCTCCTTTTAAGAGTATTTATTAATATTCCCTGGTTTGTTATGAAATTCTGATCTCCCTAAGGGCTGGATCTAATCTGAGCAGCGTTTGTTCATCTTTTCCCTTCCGTCCCAAATGGACCCCACAAAGGACAGGAGGTGAATAACTGGTATGTACATCTTTGGAGCGGTTCCATAAATTTCTGCCTGTCATTTCTGCCTGGTGGATAATATGGGGGCCCCCTGGTGGCAGAGAAGAATTCAGGGCAATGAGATCGGTTATGTCACACTGGGCTGCAGGGCATCACAACTATGACTTAGTGAATTCAGCAGAACAGAAGGGGGGCATGCCAGATTTGGGGCTCACACAGGGCACAGGAGATTTGAAAGACCAAAGTTGACCCCTGCTGGTTGTGGTAGAGTTGGGGGTTAGCACTTTGGGTGGTGGTGTAACAATCTAAAATCTAGCCTTCCGGTGTCAATTCAAGAAATACAGAACGGACCTACAGCATGTTAATGTCTTGAACTCCAGCTGTGCTGTGCAATGTTTGTTTTTGATTGATTTTCTGAAATGCAGTGTCACTGATGGAATGTTTCAATATTGGAACACATGTTTCTGTTGATTTAGCTGAACATATCACTAATTTAATTCTAATGCCTTTTAATTATTTTTATTCTAATGCCTTTAGAATTAAAGGCACACTTGTTTATATTTTGAAGAATTAAAAGTACTAGTGTTTTATTGTAACAAGTAGAAATAGCATATTATCTCTCTCCTCTTTTAGTGCCTTTATATTGAGGTCCTGGTGATATGCAAATATATGCCAGTCAAATGAATCAATTGGTTGTTAAAAGGCAGAATATTATCAACTAAGCACCTTTGCTGGCGTGGTGTAGTGGTTAGAGTGCTGCATTAGGACCTGGGAGACTAGGGTTCAAATCCTCACTTGGCCATGAAGCTCACTGGGTGACCTTGGGCCCATCACTCTCTCTCGGCCTAACCTACCTCACAGGGTTGTTGTGAGAATAAAAATGGAGGGGGAAATAAGTGTGTATGCCATCTTGAGCTCTTTGGAGAAAAGGTGGAATATAAATGTAATAATAATAATAATGTAATATTTTTTAATTGGATGACAGTCCTTATGTTAACTAAATGCATAAGACTAATGCTAATACCAAGCTGTAAAGGGCAAATAGCACAACCATTCAATGGACACGGATACAATGGCAAACTTATACCGACACAGGTCACCCCTGACAACTGTACACAGTCCTCTAAAACAGATCCCCATACATACTCTCTCTGTGCCTAGTCACAAACCAGAGAGTGGACTGCAAACAGCAGAAAGTACAATTAAGCACAAATTTAGTGAATGACAGTATGGTAGATTGAATGATAGGATGCCAGCTAGCTTGTAGGCAGGAGCGCATCTTAGATGCAGTATGGGATCACATTGTAAAGCCAATATATACCTTTCCATCTTAGTTTCTTTAACTGTAAGGTTACTGCTTTGCATTTTTCTATCACGCCATGTAACTGAGTCCTTCAGCCCTATGCTTTGCGATTCCTTTCAATGTTTATTCTTTTTCTTCTCGTGACTTGTGCTGTTGTGCTCTTATTCAGAAAGCTGTGCATCCCATATTGTTCACTACCACTCCCGCCGTACACCAATGTTTTTCCTCAGGATCATACAGGGCTACAAGGGAGTACTATGTGATGATTTGTTCTGCTATCTTCTACAATTCTTGATGCTCTGATTGACTAGAAGGGGAAACGGCAATACAGCCATGCAAATGTGCAAGAAGCTTTTGTATTTAGAACCTCCAGGATGGTTTCTATGGGGCTGATGCACTGATTCCTCTCTTATTATCTATAGTCCACAATGGATAACCAAACAAACCTCACTGTACACAGACATGCACTTAGAAGCTTGTCCGTGAACTAGTGATCTAGGCCTAGACATGAACCTGCTCATGCACAGTGTTCAACATCTTGAGGCCCTGCTCCATGTTCTGCCAACTTTGGAGGGGTGCTTGGTGGGGGCACAGGAACAGGCTTCTTGGTACTGGCACCCAAATTGTGGGAATCCCTCCCAAAAAGGGGTTTGGTTGCCTCCTCTTTTGAGCCTTGCAAGGGTGGCAAAGACTCTTTGATTCTACCATGCCTTTAAGCTGCTTGAACTTCCAAACATACTGCTCTGCTTTCCTTTGATCCACATCAGTGAGGTCAAGGGGTGGGTCTTGTCGTCTGGGCACCCCAGGACCTCCATACACACTGCCTGGGCTTGCACCCTGGAGAGGTCACTTGGGTGCTGCTAACACAGCAAACTCAATATGGGAGGCAGAGTTACCAGTCTCTCACCCCTGGGGGCACACTCCATTGTCTCTCGAGACAGATGGATGCCAAAAACAAAACAAACCAGGCCAGAGACAGAAAAACTGCTTTTAGTTTTCAAAGATTACATCTCTAATCTTCCCTTGTGTATTTTTAGATCCAGCAACCAATGAGACCTCTTCAATCAGATGTAAGTGCTGCATCAAATATGCAGAAAAAAGATATTAATAGAGCACCTGGTGAGTAATGCCATGCAATTAGCTTTCCTGTGAAAAATATAAAAACTGAGCATCCCTGAAATTCAGTAGACTCTTTCACATGTTAAGTGACCTCAAAGCATTCATATAAAGCTTGAAACTTGACCTTCATAACTTGACCTGCCTTTTACAGGGTTCCCAGTTGTGCAGAAAGAGCCTATGTGTATGCAGGAACCCCATTAGACCTTTTAAAGAAACATGGGGGTTAGTTGTGGAGACAGAGTGTTAGATACGGAGTGTTAGATATGTTCTCTGAACACCTGCAAAAGGCTAATGCGGAGGGGATGTTGTGGGAAGGCCAATCAGTTTATGCCACAAAGCAGACTGTTTCTTCTCACAATCCAGGATAGGAGTGACTGTGTAATCATCTAGACCTACATCAGTATCCCATTTGCCACAGAGATGTTAGAGGAGGGGTTATTTATTTATAAGATTTCTTACCCACCCTCCACCATAGGTTCCCAGGGCAGGTTACAACAATAGAATATGCAATTATAAAATGAATGATAAAACACATAAAAATGGAGCAGAACAGTAGAAATTCAACAAGGGGTGGGTCTCACAAAAAAAGGTGAGACCTTAACTGTCAGAGGCCAGGGTAAAGATGTGTAACCACTTTGAGTACATGTATATGTATATACACATGTATATATGAATAAACTCGTGATCATCATCATCTCCAGCATATGGCAAAAGCTGTACAATGAAGTGGCCAAAGTGCTCTCCTCTGGATCTTGCTGAACTACATCTCTCATCCCTGACCATGCTAGGTGGCTCTGATGGGAGGTGGAGTCCATTCCAGAGATAAAAAAACTTTCTTTGCTTGTGATTAAGAGTGTCCTTGAGAAAGATTAGTTTAAAACACATTGGATGAGATCTAATAAGATATACTGGATATCTCAAATAGCAACTTTCCGTGGAAGGTGATTTCAATCATGTCAAGGGATGGACGATCCCCTGCAGTAACTCCTTTGCTCTTTAAAAACAACAGCGTGGGAGATCTTGTTAACAGGCGTAATTGTGCAATGTTCCTTTGTTTACGTCCTTTGCTGGCATGACAAATACTGTTGTGTGGATGTCTACATAACTTGGAAGGGAATTAACCTGTTCTCAATGGTGCAGAACAGAAATGTCTTAAGCTTATCAGTGGTCAATTCAATCTTCTAGCTCTCAGTGTGGATTTTGGTGCATCACTATAGGATTCCAGTATGTTTGTCTTTCTTCCAGCTTCAAAGTCGTTCGACATGGTGAAACCCACTGAATCAAACAAATCACTGATTCCCGAGCTGAAGATCAATAAATCTCTGCAGAAGGCGAGAATCACCACATTGTTCTCAAGCTCTGTATGTTGTATGATAATCTACACCTCTTTGTCTCTCATCTGTTTTGTATTCGTAATCCTGATGATCTCTCCTGTGGTTCTCTTCCATCTAATTCCTTTGTTTTCTTTTTCTTTCTCTTTTCCTGCTAGGTTTAGCCATTAGGCTGACCTGCCTCTAAACACATCCTTTCAGAAGGGTTAAAAATAACCCACAAATATTAGCTTTATGTTCTACAACAGGGACAGGGAACCTGTTGACCCTCTGGATTTAGGTGGACTACAACTCCCATCATATGTGGCCAGGCTGACTGGGGCTGATGGGAATTGGAGTCCAGCAACATCTGGAGGGCCACAGGCTCTCCAGCTCTGCTGTAGGTAGCTCTTCTAATAACTTTGGGCTTCCTGAGAAGATACGTGCCATAATGTTTTGAGGATCAATTGTGGTAGATTCATGAGCATCTGTTCTTCTTTAAACTCCTTAAAAGTTGCTAACAAGTTAGGTGTCCTCCACACAGGGTGAGAAGAGAGAGACACCAGATGCTGCAGTACCAGGCAACCTGCTCTCAATGCTGGATGAGCTAGGAACATCGGACATTGATGCCTTGGTGCCTACTCATGATGAGCAAGGTTGTTCAATTCCAGAGTGGAAGCGGCAGGTGATGGTGAGGAAATTACAGGCGCAGCTGGCATCCGAAGAAGGGATGGGCAGGAAGGTACTGTATTGAGCCAATACAAGGAAACTGTGTCACTGTTACTGTCTTACCTGGTTCACACGCTGGCCTCCGTTTTTATTGCAATTAGGTTGCCCTAAGAGCAGACGGGCAAATAATATACACATTGTCTATGTTTTGTAAATGTGCTCTGCTAAGATCTAGGAAATTTGGATTTCAGAGTAATTCCCAGCACTTCCTTTTGCGTGACTCTGTTGCTCCCGGATCAATAAATAACCAGACAAGACAGTGAATGTAAATTTGGGATCAAATAGGCCACAACTTTATAGATTACAGATGTGAATGGTTTGGTCTGACGGCACATAAGGCCACCACCATGCTTAGCAGGGTTGGGCCTGGTCAGTTCCTAGATGGGGGATTGTCCAGGAACAACATGTAGTACTGACATCAGGTATACACCTTCACTGTACTCTTTTTGGTGCCTGCTGTTTAGACAAGCCTACACAGATATGTAGAATGCTGATATGTATTTTAATCTGCTTTTATCACTGAATTTATTTATTTATTTTTAATATTTTAAATAGCTGTTTTTAAATGCTTTTACACATATTTTTATTGCTTTATTTCTTTTTTAAATAATAATAATAATAGTAGTAGTAGTAGTAGTTTTTGTAAACCACTCTGAGGTGGGGTTTTTTTGAATAGTCAAGCAGTATATAAATTTTATGGAATGAATAACTAAAATAAATAAATACGTTGCCTTGGATTCCATGATAGACAAAAGGCAGGTCACATAAGTAAGTAAGTAAGTAAGTAAGTAAGTAAGTAAGTAGTAAGTACATCCCTATTCAATCACTCAGGCAGGTGGCTCACTTTACAGTTGTATATCCAAGGTATAAGTGTAGCTGATGGTAAATAGTTCTGTGACAAGATGAAATTCTTTGTTCTGACTGAGGCCAGGACTTGATGATCTGTTCCAGCCCTATATTTCTATGAATCTGTGATGTGCTGAGTCACCTCTCTGACTCTTCATTTTTGGCAGGCTGGGGAAAGGGGCCTGAAGCGATGTCTTTGAATTTAACTGATGGCAGTCTTTCTTTCTTCCCTGCTGCCCCATCTAGAACAAGGAAAATTGCACACTGGAGATGGATGACTGGCAATACTCTCAGTCTTACAATGCCATCCTGGGCCCTTTTGGGGAATTACTCACTGAAGATGACCTGCTGTACTTAGAGAAGCAGATTGAGAAACTGCAGATGAAGAAGAAATGCCAGGAGTATGAGAGTGAGCTAGGACGCCTGACAGAGGAGCTGCAGACTGTTCTCCCTGCTCCCGTCGTCAATATCACAGTCAACCGTCAGTTTCTGCAACAGGGCTCAGAGGATGGCAGCCAGGGGCTCCCTGCCTGGTGCAGTCATGTGTCTGGACTGGTGAAAAGCATGTCCATGCTGCTCACCAATGTCAATGGCATGAAAAAAGCAGCTAATGAGAAGCCAGCTCTAAGGGATTCCCATAAGTCAAGCAAGACCAAGTGTATTTCAAGTGGCACTGTCAAGAGAGAAATCCTGGAGTGTGGCGTCTCTGTCAGGAATCTGAGGGGCAATTTTGAAAAGCAGGATCTTTGGAAACAAGACAAAGCTTTTGAGCAGCGAGGGTTGAATGCCATTCCCTGCGAACATGGAACAGCCAAGGAGTCATCCTCTCAAATGTTTCTAGGTACCTGTAAAAACAAGAAGCAATTGGTTTGTGAGGAACATGAGTTTGGAGACCTGGAGAATGCCAGTGATTCTGGCATCAGCTGTGAGGGAGCCTCCTCTGTGAGTGGTTCTTGCGTCTCAACAGCAGAGTCTAGCAACCTCCGAAAAGAGCGCATTGTGCTTCTTTTTCTCAGTCACTGGAAGAAATCTGCCTATACGCCTTCCTTGAAACTCATGGCCAGGAGGACTCTTGACACCCAGCTGCCTGGAAAAATGGGACTGGTAGACGTGATGGCAGAGCTCAAGAAACAGCAGCCTCCAATGCAGAAGCCCTTGGTGGAAATGAACAAGCTTGGCCATTTAGTTCAACAGAGATACGCTATCAAGAATCTCATCAGTCACTGGAAAGACATCATCTCCCTTGTACCATCTCGACAGATCAGGCGCCTCAATCACCGGCATGCAATCTACTCTCCAGAACAATTCTTGCCATATGTCAATGGTGAGCCTATTGATTACAATAGCTTAACTCTTGACCTGTTTATGCTCGGCTATTTCCACATCCTAGAGCTGGACCTCTCTCCAGAAGAACGTAAGGCTAGGCATCTCCTTTGCTTCGAAGTTTTTGACCACTTGGGTGAGCATCGGTGGGAAACAGTTCGGGCCTTCCACAAAGCAGTGATTGATGAGATTGCTGCAGGTAAAAGAAGCTGGAAAGACAGTTTTGAGGATATTAAGAAACAATTTTTTGGTAATAACAAGGACCCAGCTGTGAACATGGAAACCAAAAGATCACCAGTGGAAACAAATCTGAAACCAATACCCAAAACAAGAGTCCCAAGCATCTCTCTGGAGGAGGGAGACTCTGCCCCTGGAAAATGCTTTGAACTAGATACCTTTAGCAATGATGAGATCTGCAGGTATATAAACAGGAGTTTTGCTTTCTGGAAAGAAAAAGAAGCAGAGATCTTTAGCTTAGAGGGGTGAGGATCTTTACATTAGCAGTCTTTATTTGTGAATAGGTGTCTATAAGATTCAGAATGCACAGAGCGGCCTGTCAGCACTATGACATGGAATAAGACATCGACTGTTCATTTTGCAAATGGCTACAAATGCCTGCAAGATTAATTTGCAAAGGGGTAAACGACAAGTGATACAGATGAAGGGTCAAGCCTTCACTTCCTCTCCGTTGCTTCTTCAGTTTTAAAAAAGGAGCAAGAAGTATCAGTTTTTCATTACATATGGATTCCCTTGACACAAGCACCCTGAAAAGGGCAAAAAGACTATGCCCACTCTGATGTCAATGCAAGTTTAAAAATAATAATAAACATAACGGAGAACAGAAAGAAAAAAGTGAAAAACTTCCCTCCCATCTTCCATCCTGAGTAAAGCTGACAGGGCTTAGGAAGCGGTGGGTTCTCTGCCATGAAATATTCACCTTGGGATTGCTTAGTTTGTATTCAGTGTGTCTTTGTAAGAGTTCAAAAAGAGATAATGAGTTTTCCAGATATTTCCATTATATCTATATTTATAAGTTACAGTGTATTAGCAAAATGATCCAACCTGGGAAGGCCCCCAAGCCTGTTTCTTTCGCTGTTTCTCTTTTCATATCTTCAGAGGACTCACCAGAGATATCAACTGTTGTTATCCACTTTGGGCATGTATTTGAGTCTCTTTGGCATCTGCTGCAATTAGTCATTTACTGCTGAACCAGAAATGCACAGGCCTCATGTTCTGCTACTTGCTCACTAGGCTTCATGGACTTAAAACACCTGAATGGTTGTCCAAGTATAAATAATTTCATTTTGTAACTGTACATACATTTTCTATTTTAAATTAGGTTGCGTGTTTAATAAAAACATTTCTCTCAGTAGAAACAAAAGGTATTTCCATCAAATTATTACTTAGAGAAATCACTAGGTTGTGTGTGTTCTTAAAAAAAGATCAGAAATAATGCAGGGGTTTTTTTACTTGGGAATCTCCATCTAGAAACACAAAACTAGTGTCCGCTTCTTACAGAAGGAAATACAATGGGCTTGTTTAGGGACTGCATGAAACCACTCTTAGTATACTGTCAATAATGATGGCAATGGGGTATTGCCTGCCCTTCACTCTTAAGGCCCCAGGGCAGGTTAGAACAATTTAAAATACAACACTAGAAATGGTTTAAAATGTACAATTTAAAATTTAAAATTATGAAATGTAGGGAACAAAATTTCTGTGCTTATCACTGCAGTAACAATTGCTAAGATATACAAGGAAGAGACTGATCCAGTGTGCTGGGAATGGGCAAATAGAAGAGCTCTTGGGTGCACGAAGCATCAGTCAGGCTGAGTCACCACAGAACCTCCATACATTTCCTTTTGCCTGCCCATTGCCACAGTCAGACCCTTAATTTATGACGTGATGTGGGACAGTAAAAGTAGCTCACTCTTTACTGTAGGTGGAAATGCTACCCTCTCTGACTGTTGCCCTGGTTTATTTGTGGACATTCTTGGGAAAGCAGCAAGGCACAACATAGGCAATCCACTGCAAGCTCTAGTATAAGCTCACTGGACTATATTTAGCAGCCAACAGTGTGATTGGCAGAAAGGTTTACAGAATGAGAGTGAGTGCTTGAATCATCGTCACTGAATAAATGCGGGGATGAGGGACCTTTCTTTACATTGCTATCCTTTTGTACAGTTTCTAATTAAATAACAGGACATGTGTTGAATCATATTTCTGGCAGTCCATGGCTCACAAGCTACCCCCCCTCCTGAATTTTGCACTTTAGACTATTAGTTCAAAAAGGCACACATCTATAGTGCATTGGTCAGAACCATCACACATTCTCATGTTCTTTTGCATTTCTCCCAGCCTGCCAAACAGGTGTGTGTGTGTGTGTGTGTGTGTGTGTGTGTCTGTGTCTGTGTCTGTGTCTGAATGTGTGAATGGCTTCACCCCACACTGGCTCTGGCCTCTCTTACTGGAATGCAGGCCCTTTCAGGGGTCCAGAGATGCCCAAATCACTTCCAGATTTTGATGCCTCTAGCAGCAGCAACTGCGGCGATGAAGACAGCAACACATGACAACGAACGAAAACAATATAAGGCACGAAAAAGAGTGAGTGGTTTATATAATCATACATTTTGAAAGGGCATGTTTGTAACCCAACATTGTGCCATCTAAACCAATATATTTTTTCTTTTCTTTTCTTTTGACATTCTTAACTCTTAACTGTGATTATGTATCCGCTAACAAAAGAATTATATCTTTTGCAAAACTGAATCTCCTATTTGCTTTAATTTGCAGCTTTAAGTGAGGCAGCGTGTCACATTTTGGTCCAATTCACACAAAAACATGTTGTGAAACTTACCAGATGCCAAAAGAACCCCAGTAAGTGTCTAAATGTAAGGTCCCTTTGAAAATGAGGCCCAGGCCCAGTGCCACCCCCCGCCCCGATTGGCCCTGGGGGCATGCAGCTCCCACCCACTACTGCTGCTGCTGGCCTCAGATAAAAAGATTGCCCCCAGCCCCACTAACTACGGTTGTCTGAGGCCATGGTTTTAAGTTGGTTTAGCTCCTTTTAACGGTGGTTTGCTGTTACACCTAAATCCAGTATCCTGGCTTAATCCTAATTTGCTGAGTCATTCCATCCCTGCTGCCCACCTGGCTACAGGGGCACAAGTAATGAAAATGCCCCTGCTGGTCCTTTCTGGTCCCTCCAGAACAAACTCCTTTTTTCCACCCACTTCCTCTTCACTGACAATGGCTGCGTCCACATGACGTTTTATGTTAGAATCAATGGAGACTGAGTACTTGGTTTTTTTATTAACACACAATGTAGATCTGTTGCATACTTTTTGCCCCTGAAATGCACTTATTGAGAAACTGATTTCATTCCAAAAATAAAAACTCGTTGCAGATTGATTCTGCATTATCCCCACAGTTTGCCTATTTGAAAACAGATGTAAGTGCACAATCTCTTGAGCAGCTTCATATCTGCTTCCCAGGGGCACATGACATGCTTTCCTTCCAATGCCCCCTTCTTCTTATCTCTTCGTTGGTGTGTTGCTTTAAGAGCAGGTGGCCTGGAGAGAATAACTGTCAACACACTTCCCAGCCCTCTCTGGCTGTAAGCCTCAGTCTAAATATATATATACATACAGAGAAACAAGCATTGGTTGCCTTAAAAAAACACACCACCCAAACCAAGTCAGGGTAACTGCCTCCTCCCAGGGTCAAAGCAAGCCATTCCCCAAGCATTATTCGAGCTCCGACTGTCTGACTGGATGTAAGAGAAGTTAACAAGGTAAGAACCGGAGGCCAGACGGTTTTGATTTCTGGCAGGGCTGAATGGGACAACATGAGATGAGAGGGAACAAGCATACTGGATTTGGGAAGGTGGAGCTCTCAAGTCAAAAATAGTGTACAGGCCATTAACATGAGGCACAAGGAGCTGCCAGAGTTATAAGCCATTATCTGCTAGGAAGCTAAGTATCAAACTTTTCCAGAGATCAAATACCAAGAACTTCTTATCAATGCAGCACCGCTGAACAACAAACTACTGAGAGGCAAGTTTCCTGGTTATCGGGAAGAAAAGGGGGGTCAATATAAGCACTAACTAAAATGAGACTATAACCACTAATATTGTTACTGGGGATTTTATTATTGGTAGTGTTTTGCTACTTAATATGGCATAAGTCCGATATTCAATTACTTTCCAGGTCAGCACTGAGGACCTGGTAGAGTAGATTGGGAAGGCAGGAACAAAAAGATACTGACCCGCCTCCCCAACCAAATTTCATTGCTTATGAACTACAAACTGTTCCTTTATTAAGAATGACAACTGGAGTAAGACTGCTTACAATACTGTTTTGTCTCCACACATCATATAGGGGACTGTGTGTGTGTCTTGTTTCAGTGGAAGCTCATAAAAGCACCGAATTTGTTATTAGGGTCATAGGGGAAGGAAGCTCGATAACAGAGCAATTGCTTTGTGTACAAAATGCCCCCGGTTCAATGCCTGGCATGTCCAGGTAGGGCTGGGAAATCAGGAACCCTGGAGAATTGCTGCCAGCCAGTGTACACAATACTGAGCTAGATAGGCCCCATGGTATAAGGCAGTTTCCTAGAAACAATTCAGCAGCCTTCTGGTAACTTTAGTTTTCATTAACACAACAGCCCACCATCACAATGAAGATGGGATTGAAAGTCTTTGGGCAAGAAGGCTGGTAAAGCCTTAGATGCCATAGTGGGCTCCTGGAGGGACTTTTGGTGGCCTTCCTTCCTCATAACTAGAAAAAGCAGGATAAATTATGCAAACTAATTTACAGAGAGCAAAGGTAGCTGTATTGGTCGATAAGTACCTTTATTGGGAAGAACAAAAAAGTCACAAAAATGTGGCAAGCTTTCAATTACCCAGAATGCTTCCTGAAGCAAGATGCAGCTTTCTCTGTTTTAAGAAAGTGGAGTTTCTGAACAGAGAGATTTGAATACGGTCTGTAGCTCATTCCTCGTTCTATGCAAGGAAAATGGACAGAAGTACTTTTGAGAGTCTGAAAGCTTTCAGGGGTGGGGGACATCAGTATAGATTTTCCCTTTGTTATCCCTGCAAGTTCCTTGTAGATACTTCGATCAGAACACACACATATGGCACTGTTATATTCAGTTGTTTTAGGGTACGAGGTTATATGCCTAGTGTTATTATTTGGACATACCAGGTCACAACAGTTTGCACTTCCTTTCAGGGAGTTCCATTGATCCAAAAATGTCACTAAGGAGATTTCACTTCAAGTCATAAGTTGAGGAAAAATATTTCCCATTTGAAGCACAAAACTTATTTACTTCTTTGCTTTCTGATTAGGACTAGGAAAAGTTTGTTTTCCACTGAAGTCATCTAAGGCCATTTCCCACGACAGGAGTGGAGCACCAGCATGGTGAGAAACATCGATGACTTCGATTTTTGCCTTCCATCCCACCCCCAGTCTATTCTGGAAGGACTTCAGACCCTTCGCTCCAATCCAAAACTCTCAGATGTCACCTTGATAGTCGAGGGACATGAATTCCCCTGCCACCGCAGTATCCTGGCCCTCTGCAGCCACTATTTCAATGCCATGTTTGCCTGGCGACTTCTTGGAAAGCATTTCAGCTCGTGTAGAGATCAAAGAGGTGGATCCAGCCATTATGGAGACCTTGATTGACTTTGCTTACACAGGGAAGGTGACCATCAACCAAGGGAATGTGGAAGCCTTAATTCGGACATCCAACCAACTCCACTTCCCCGTCCTCCGGAAAGTCTGCAGTCGGTACCTGAGGCAGCAGATGGATGCGACCAACTGTTTGGGCATTTGTGAATTTGGGGAGCTGCATGGCTGCCCAGAAGTGTCATCTAAGGCCTGGTCATTTCTGCAGGAGAATTTTGAACTTGTGTCTCAACAAGAGGAGTTCCTGCAGCTATCCAAAGAGAGGCTGGTTATCTACCTGTCCAACAACTTGCTCCAAGTACAAGAAGAGCAGAGTCTAGTTGAGGCTGTGCTGAGGTGGGTGAAGTATGAAAAGTCTGCTAGAGCCATGCACCTTCCAGAACTCCTTGATCTAGTGCATCTGGTTTCATTGCCAGATCAGTACCTGCAGAACCTCTTGTCATCAGAACCACTGATTCAAGAATCGGAGGCTTGCAAGACCATCATCACTAGACATCGTAGCACGGTCAGTTCTTGGAGGCACCACAGTACCCTGATTAAGCTCCAGTTTCAGCCCCAAAGCTAGAAAAGGGGTGCTGTGATCCAATAGCTATAGGTGTCCTTAACTGCAATGCCTAGAATCTGTTCATCTTGGTATGCCAACTTCTGGTTTGAGATAAGTTTTCATTTCTTAATTAGCTATGAACTGTCACCTTTGGCAGTGGAAGAGTTCCTGACCTTTCCCCACTAGTTCCCCTCTTTCTTCTCTTCTCCCCACCCGCCCATCCATCACTAAGTCCATTGACTCAGGAGGAGCAAGGGTGTGTGTGCATGTAGTTTTCCTAGAGATGCCACTGTGAGGAGCAATGACTGACTTCTTGGTGTACATGGATTATGGTTATGTCTTTCCCAAAGACAGTTATAATTGGATCATTACCAAAAAGGATAGTTTATTTAGATGGGCCTATCTGAATTAATGAGGGGATATGTGCCCCAAAGCCCAAATTTAAAGTGATCACAAATCCAGAGAAACACATGTTAAATACTTTGTTCTAGCCCTTATATTTTAAGAAGAACGTTTAAAGTATGGTCCAAGTGTGCCTAAATCAGTGCATCCAAATTAGTCTAAAAGACAGTGGGAAGTGGCAACAACCATCTGTGAGGAAAGCAGCTAGAAGTCCCTGCCACGGTCTAGCATTTGCAGTGAAGTATGGACGCGGGTGGCACTGTGGGTTAAACCACAGAGCCTAGGACTTGCCGATCAGAAGGTCGGCAGTTCGAATCCCCGCGATGGGGTGAGCTCCCGTTGCTTGGTCCCTGCTCCTGCCAACCTAGCAGTTCGAAAGCACGTCAAAGTGCAAGTAGATAAATAGGTACTGCTCCGGCGGGAAGGTAAACGGCGTTTCTGTGTGCTGCTCTGGTTTGCCAGAAGCGGCTTAGTCATGCTGGCCACATGACCCGGAAGCTGTACGCTGGCTCCCTCGGCCAATAAAGCGAGATGAGCGCCGCAACCCCAGAGTCGGCCACGACTGGACCTAATGGTCAGGGGTCCCTTTACCTTTACCTTTATCCCAGAGTTTTATTTGAGAATTTTGCTGTACTGAATTACATCATACAAGGTCATTGTATAAAGTGATGGAAAAAGGGGAGAGGTGTTGGGCTTCCAGAATCACTGTTTTTTCCCCTTGTCTAAGTTGGAGAACAGGCCATTTGTCCAGCAGAGACTGAAGGCCCTGCCACAAAAGCTTGAGGAGGTGTTAGTGGTGGTGGGAGGCAGAGCTCTGGAAGAGAATGAAGAAGATGAACAGCAACCACTAATCTCCAGGAATTTTGCCTTTTATAACACTAAGACTAGTAAGTACCTGTCTCCAAACAATGCCAGAACTGCACTCTCCAGCTCGGAGCATCTTTACGTCAGGGAGCAACTAGGCTCACGGTGCTAGGCACTGCAAGGGGATGGCAGCAACTGAACTGGTGTAGCGTTTAGAGGTAGGGGAAATAAAATCTTCACTTTGGTACCTGTTGCTATCATCTTTATGAGTTGGCCTTTACAGGGTAGGTCATGCTTGATGGTGCCACTCTGTAGTGTTTTGGGGAAATGCATGTTTCCAGAGCCTTGGTGGTGGGTGGGTGGAAAAGATGAGACCTGAATCCCTCAGAAACAAGACAGAGAACCAATTATTGCAGAATAACCAGAATATGAATACAGAGGGCCTAGTATACTACAGCTCCCATCAACCCCAGCAAGCACAACCAATGGTCAGGGGTGATGGAACTGGTATTGCAACAAAATACAGAGGTCCTGCCAGTTATCTCATTGATTTTGTGTACACCAGTCAGGTTGTTTTTCTCTTCCTTCACAGAATTCCTCTGGAATCAACAATACAACCTCTCACCCTTCCTTCACAGAGTGGTTCCACTCTTTTATTGTTATTTATTTATTTGGCGATTATCCAGTTCTTAGATTTGCCTTTATCTGTTTGCTGTTAAGTGAAAAAGTTTGAAAAATATAGGTACCGGTACATAAACATTTAACATTTAGACTTGCCATCTCAAAACACCTAACGTTATCCAAACCCACTTTCTGTAGCAGAAACACTGGTGAGGGCAGAAGCAGCCATGCCTTGGACTTCGACCTAGAATAATGCAGGCACCGACAAACAAGGCTTTCAGTATGATGTAATGCTCTGTGCTCTTTTGGCGTTGGTGCCTGCTGAGCAGCTGCATTCATCTCAGGCCAATGTTGACGTTGGAAGCTGTCGGGCAGGCCTGCAAATGCAGTGCATTGGGTAGAAAAACTAATTTGGAGAAGAGTACCTTTCTCATCGTTGGCATTATCTACGCAATATGATGCAATCGGAATGTATTCTGATAACACTGTGAACAATGAAGCAGATAATGACCATAGATAATTACCTTCAAACACACGTAGGTTTGAATAGGACTGTTTCAATATGGAAAAGTTCCATGGAAAAGAAGTGCATTTGGTCTAATCATATCACTGTCATGGGTCATGGTCTTGATTTAGGGTAGTACTATGGAGTGATGGAACCCATAGGGGGCAAAATCTCTTCACCTGAGAGTAGTAAAGAGTCTCAGAAAAACTAGAGCGTTTACTGGTTGTACTAGTTACCTGATTATAACACTTTGAGGGCCACTTACATGTTTGGTTCTATTATTTCAGAAAGTTGGAATGCTCTGCCTGATTTTCCAGACTACAATAAATGGGGTTTTTCTGTGATTGCTCTAAATAATGATGTTTATGTCACAGGTAAGGATAGTGCTCTTTCCAAGTCTATGTTGTTTACTAAGCCTTTGAACCTTTTTGGCGTGCTCCCATACTAAAGCCTCAGCGCCTAGGGCTTGCCGATCGAAAGGTCGGCGGTTCGAATCCCCGTGGCGGGGTGCGCTCCCGTTGCTCGGTCCCAGCGCCTGCCAACCTAGCAGTTCGAAAGCACCCCCGGGTGCAAGTAGATAAATAGGGACCGCTTACTGGCGGGAAGGTAAACGGCGTTTCCGTGTGCTGCGCTGGCTCGCCAGATGCAGCTTTGTCACGCTGGCCACGTGACCCGGAAGTGTCTCCGGACAGCGCTGGCCCTCGGCCTCTTGAGTGAGATGGGCGCACAACCCTAGAGTCTGTCAAGACTGGCCCGTACGGCCAGGGGTACCTTTACCTTTTACATACTAAGACATTCTGCTGAGATCTTGGGAGGATGGATTTAGTTGTTTGGGGTGTGTTCTGGTCTAAAACAGATAATTTAAATCAGGGCAGCCAGATTGCATAGTTATCTAATAAAATGTAAACTGAACCACAACCCACCATTTTGAGTCATATTTTGCTCACAGATTCCACAAGATTTTCAAGAGAACCAGAACTCCTAACAAAAATATCATGAGGGTGTTAAAACTGGCAGAGGAAGAGGAGTGCGGTGGGAGCGGTGGGGTGCCATCGTAGCTGCCACTCCTCCCACGCTGGGCACCATGCCCCATGACGTGTGCCAGCCCCGCCCCTACCTGCTCTCTGCCCCCCGGTGCTGGAGCATGAAGCTCCACCACTGGGTGTTAAGCCATAATAATGTATTAAGCCGTAATATTGAAGTGCTTGTACAAAAGTGGCTACTAGGACTCTGTGTGAGTATGATGGCTATTTCCGTTTTCAGGTGGCTCCAGAGGATCACGGAATGACACATGGTCAACAACTCAGTCCTGGTGCTTCTGCCTCAAGGATGGTGCCTGGAAGCCCATTGCACCAATGCTGAAGCCACGAACCAACCACGCCAGCGCTGTCCTCAATGGAGAGATCTATGCCATTGGTGGTAGGCAGTGAGATCTGTAATGTGGGGGCCTCTTCCTTTACGTGCATGGGAACAACAGGCACTAACAAGGATGAGGCTGGTTTAGTTTGGCCAATATCATAATGTGCCCTCTGGCCATTCCATGTCCCTATACTACAGCTTGAGCAGAAGAGCCTGCCTTTGTAGGACTGAATTTCATACAGAAGGTTGTGTCTAATTCACTTATATTCAGAGGACTTGGATGCTTAAGAGCCAGTGTGGTGTGGTGGTTTAGAGCAGTACACTCGTAATCTGGTGAACCAGGTTCGCTTCCCCGCTCCTCCACATGTAGCTAGTCCTTAGGCTAGTCACACTTCTCTGAAGTCTCTCAGCCTCACTCACCTCACAGAGTGTTTGTTGTGGGGGAGGAAGGGAAAGGAGAATGTTAGCCGCTTTGAGACTCCTTCGGGTAGTGATAAAGTGGGATATCAAATCCAAACTCCTCTTCTTCTTCTTCTTAAGTCCATTGATTTCATTGGTGTACTGTGACTATGATTTAGTTGGAGACACAACCCAGACCCTACATATTAGACTTGTGGGTTCTTTTGGCACTAGTGTTGCTCAGTGCAAATATCTGTAGGCCTCGACTGTGCTCAAACCTCCTTTCCTCCCACTACTCACATTGTCTGTAGGCACCGCGGTGGACGTTGTGGAGGTGGAGTGTTATGATCCTTATAATGACAGCTGGTGCTTTGTGAGCCCTGCCTTGAAGTACGTCAGCAACTTCACCATCGCCGGGTGTCTTGGGAAGTTGTACCTCATTGGCTCTTGTGCTGTCAAATACAATGCATTAACCCTGCAGTGTTACAACCCTGCAATAGGTAAGAAGGCACAGAGGGGAACATGTATGAATGGCTTTTCCAAAGCAGGCCATGGGCTCACAGAGCAGGCCAAGGGGGGTGGGGCAGGTGCAAAACCAGAATCCTTTCTATTCTGCAAACTTGGAGATGGGCCCTGTGGCAGGGGCTTTGCTAAGTACTTAAAAGACCTGGGGCATAGACCCCAAGGCACAGAGTTGCCTCTGCAAAAATCAAAATGGCAGATGTCGGGTCTCACTGGCACTGTGCTTTGTAACATGTCCAGACACCCTGTTTGCAGGGTGTGTGTGGTTGAAAAGGTGGGGGGGGGCAGGAGATCCAGGGCCCAGGGCAAAAGGCCCAGAGCTTGGGCAGCTAGGAATAGGGGAAATAGGGGAGAAATTTGGTTCAGTTCATACTTAAAAGCGAACTTACTTTATTTGTACTTCCTGAAACAATTTGCAAACTGAAACGTGACTATCTTTTGAAATTCGCACCTCTCCTAATTTGACAATGCAGTTCCCCAGCCAATAAATGTGCATGAAAATGCATTTACTAGGATAAAATGAGCATATAGTTACATATATTGGAGAAAATAAATACAAAAACACCTTGCATTAGGCAAAATTGCTTGTAAAAATGTGTATTAGACAAAATTGCATGAAGATGTATATTTAAGGAGAATTTCATACAAAAATGCTGATTTTTTAATGGGGACTTTTTATATTTTAAAAACTGCATACTGATGAGGAAATATGCTGAATCAACTTAAGACTGGAAAAATGAGAGGAAATGAAAGAAAGTGAAATTGATGTGAAACTGAATTTGCCCATTCCTACTTTTGCCCATTGCCTCCCTTCCCATGCCCAGCAATGCCCCCTGCTCTGGTTTAGTTCTAAATTCCTTGTGAAAATGTTTTTGTCATCATTAGTATTGAAACTGAAGCCATTACTTCCTACCACATGTCCTTAGAAGAATATACAAGACTTGCAAAATGCTTTTCATGGTAGAGGGTGGGATGTGTGTTGAGGGACACATTACTTTTCCTCTCCCTCCCATTGGATTAAATACTATAAATATAAACCTGGCCGGTTGTTGATTTGCAGGAGAGGCCCTTTTGAGAATGCCATCACTTACAAAGTTTCACTGAATGGGCATGAGGGATGTCTTTTATGTTGCTTGCAGATTGTGAAATGCAGCCCCTTCAGAGCTACGATAGTCCCCACTCTCTCTGTTTCTAGAAACAGTGTCAAGGAGACACATACTTTTAATTTGACCTTTTAGATTGCTTTTAGTACCGCTGTTGCTTGTGATGTTTTAAACGAAGCTTTATTGTTTTAAGGTTTTTATGATTATGATGTTGTTCTCATTGGTTTGGTTTGCTTAGTTTGTTTTATTGTTTTGAGTTTTGTTCTCCTTGCAGCTGAGCCACCCCTACCTAAGTGCAGTCCTTTATTTTTCCATTTCTGAGCGAATGCCAACTGTGTTTTCTCCCACTTAAGAATAAAGGTGTTCATTCACGCATGCCTGTGAAGTGGGGCCTACATCTGCTGCCAGCCTCTGGTGATGACAGCCCTTGCGAATCATTCTTCCCCCATCCACAGAATAGCCCCATCTTTCGTTCTGTTTCTTGGCCATGCCAAAGTGTTGTGGAATGTGGGCAGCTCAGTTTTATGTATGCAAATATGAACAGTGGGCTTGCTGTTAATTGCCTGCGGCCCATTTGACCTGTTTGAACCCTGATGCTGCTTTGGCATGGCTTTTTATTTCAATTTGTCTTATGTCCCAAAAGCTAATTTATATGGGGCAGAGGGAGAAGTTGTTAATGGGGTGTGACTTCCTGCAGTGGCTCGCAGCCCAGAGTATCTTCCCTAATGCTAGACTTCATTTGTGTCTTTTTGCTGGAGACACAGCCTACTCCACTTCCTACTTTAGTTTCTGGAGTTGCTCCTAGTGGTCCTTGATCCAGCTGCCTATACAGTGGTACCCCGGGTTAAGAACTTAATTCGTTCTGGAGGTCGGTTCTTAACCTGAAACTGTTCTTAACCTGAGACACCACTTTAGTTAATGGGGCCTCCAGCCGCTGCACCCCCGCACAATTTCTGTTCTCATCCTGAAGCAAAGTTCTTAACCTGAGGTACTATTTCTGGGTTAGTGGAGTCTGTAACCTGAAGCGTCTGTAACCCGAGGTACCACTGTACTTAGATGTGCAAGTGATCTATTTGCCACGTCTTTTAGAAAAACTCTCAGCTAGCATCAATTTGCTTCACGTAATCAGGAAAGGTATTTGGTACGATGTGACTCAGGTTTAGTTGCCTGTGGGGGCCATGTGACAAACTGTAGCACCTTCCATTTTTGTCTCATGATGTTATGCTATATAGGAAGGACGTCGTTCATCCGTTTGCCATGTCAGCTCCCACCCACAAGCCCATCTCAGGATGTTACATAGCAAACACTAATAGTACCTTGGTATTCTTGATACCTTTGACACTTTTAAATGTGGCTTTTACTCATGTTCTCTTACACTGTCACCTGCCAGAAGACCTCGTATACTCCTTTGGCTATTAACACAGAAGGGCTGTGGCTCAGTGATAGGGCTTCTGCTATGCCTGCAGAAGACTCCAGGTTCAATCCCTGCCATCTTCAGGTAGGGGAATGTCCCCCTGCCAGAAACTCTTGAGGGCCACTGCCAGTCAGTGCAGGCAATACTGAGCTAGTCGGACCAATGGTAGAAGCCTGGTTCCTGTGAACCTATGCAGACATTGTTTTCCTGTGATTCTGTTGTTTCCTAGCCCTGTAAAGGCAGCGGTGATGACGGGAATGATGTGATCAAAAGTAGGACAAAGTGTGTTGAAAACTCACATAGACACACATGTCTATTGCAGCCAGGCTGAAATCAGGACAGGCTGCTTTCACTGACGCTGGTTTTACACATAAACAATCCTGACCTTTGCAGGACTGATCTAGGGCAGTCTCTTGTGACAATCTGCCCCTGCTCCATTTCTTGTCCATCTTCCTTTTTAGGTCCCCCATCCCCTGAGATTCATATGTCATTCTAATATAGAATGTTTTTAATATATAAAATTATTATTATTATTATTATTATTATTATTATTATTATTATTATTGCTACTACTATTACTATTATTGTTATCTTCTAGATGTGTGGAGTGTAATTGCATCCCCTTTCATCCCCAAATACCTCTCTGCTCCTCGATGTGCCTCTCTGCATGGAGCCATCTACCTTATTGGCGACAACACAAAGAAAGTCTATGTGTATGATCCAGATGCTAATATATGGCAGAAGGTGGGTAAGGGAGTAATGTTCTTTCACCACTATGTTTCCAGGGAAGGTCTGTGGCTGTAGCACCCATAGAAGTAAATACAGATTTCTGTGGCCTATAGGTTTGTTGTGGGGAGCGGGCGTTTTAAAATGCCGTATTTCTTCCCCCTGCTTTCCCCCCCTTGACACTTTTCCAGAATGCGTAACCCAAAGTAATATGTGAACAATGCCTGAAGGATGAGTGTCCATGTTCCAGCATGGCAGGAAGCCTATTCCTTGAGTGAGGATACCCCTGGTAGCAAGCACAGCATGGCCTGTTCCTCCAGCCTGTTTGGCTTCAGTGAAGATGTGTGTAATGTTGTTGGAGGGTTGGTTTACGCAGCGTCATCCTCAAACCCTGCGGCAGCTGTTCGCATGGCGTCAGTGCTCAGCTGACTGTGTAGCGCCCACTCCAGTCCTCAGGACAGGTGCAAAGAATGCCCTGCCAGTCTCTCCATCTCCGTAGATCTATGAATAATGGTTAGTGCCATCAGTTTCCGGCCATCCATTGGTTATGCTCTTGACGGCGGCCTCTTTAACACTTTCATGGCAACATCTTGTCATCAAGCAGTTTCTCAGCAAGTGTTTTGCCTGTTTGGACCCAAGAACTATTCCTCTGCAACCTCGCCCTGTGATCTTTTCATGGTGTTCTGCCGGAGAGGTTAACAGACGTTATGACAAACAAGAATATAGCCCAGCCTTGTTAATGGTGTAACTACATACAGACGTGGGTGGCGCTGTGGGTTAAACCACAGAGCCTAGAACTTGCCGATCAGAAGGTCGGCGGTTCGAATCCCCGTGATGGGGTGAGCTCCCGTTGCTCAGTCCCTGTTCCTGCCAACCTGGCAGTTCAAAAGCACATCAAAGTGTAAGTAGATAAATAGGTACTGCTCCGGCGGGAAGGTAAACGGCATTTCCGTGCATTGCTCTGGTTCACCAGAAGCGGCTTAGTCATGCTGGACACATAACCCAGAAGCTGTACGCCGGCTCCCTCGGCCAATAAAGCGAGATGAGCGCCGCAACCCCAGAATCGGGCACGACTGGATCTAATGGTCAGGGGTCCCTTTACCTTTACTTTACTTACATACAGTTGAGGGGGGGAGGGAGGGAGGGAGACAGAGGATAAAGGAGAAGGGTGACTTTTACAATTCAAAGGACTACACCACTGGTGGCCAGTCTTTTCGGCAGGTGTAAGTTCGCAGTATAGCAGGGGCATTATAGTACACACACAGCCTCCTTCTGTGCTTCATGACAGTTTAGCATCTTCTCTACTGAGCTGGGAAGCAGACAGCAACGTAGTATTAAAGAAATCAGCTGGCATGCAGCCCTGACCTTATGCCACAGGCTCAGGGGGCAGCCTGCCACAAACTCCTGCTGCATCCACCACTTCTGGCATATGCACCCTACTAGATTGGACACCCATTGCTATGCCATATCAGGGATGGCATGTCTATACATGCTCATACATAGGCAACGAGACAAGGTGAACTCAAGTATATGTAGCATTTCAGATTTGCTTGGCTTAGTAGACAGAAATAAGTAAATGTGTCAAAAATGTATAGTTAAAGTGTGCTTAAATATGCATACCGTATTTTTCCCTCTATAACACGCAGATTTTTTCTCCTAAAAAGGAAGGGGAAATGTCTGTGCGTGTTATAGAGCGAATGTGTGGTCCCTGGAGCCAAAAAATCAAGCAAAAGTCAAATCGCGAGTCACGGAGAAGGGAAACCTGAAAAGAGGAAGTGGCAGCTTTCCTGCATTCTGCCTCAGGGTCTTACTGCCCACCCTCCTCTGTTTCGTTGCTGTGATTGCTGAAACGGAACAAAGAGCAGGGAAAACCCCTCCCCTCCAGGCAAGCAGAGTGTCGTTCTTTCTAATTCCTCTCTGTGCTCCGGTGCTGCTGGGGGAGAGGGAGAGAGAGTGGGGGAGGGAGAGGGAGAGGGGGGGAGGGAGAGGGAGAGAGAGGGGGGGGAGGGAGGGAGGGAGGGAGAGAGAGAGAGAGAGAGAGAGAGAGAGAGATGGCTGGCTTGGGGGGGAACTTTTGCCTTTCTTTCCTCCCACCCGTTAAATCCCTCTCCAGCATTCTTAGCCAGCTGCTTCTCTGCACACCCCTCTCATGTCCCTTCTTTGTTTTTCCTTCGCTCCCCACTTAAAATGTGGTTACAAAGCATAGATCAACATGGATCCTCAGGATCTTTGCATTGGGTCACCCCAAATTCACCATCAGATCACATAGCATGTCCATGGCTACAGCCTGCACCAAAAAAATCACGCACCCACTGTTGCCTGGGGCTGCAATGGTGCAAAAACGTGGTTAAAAAGCATGGATCCACATGGATCCTCAGGATCTTTGCATTGGGTCACCCCAAATTCACCATCAGATCACATAGCATGTCCATGGCTACAGCCTGCACCAAAAAAATCACACACCCACTGTTGCCTGGGGCTGCAATGGTGCAAAAACGTGGTTAAAAAGCATGGATCCACATGGATCCTCAGGATCTTTGCATTGGGTCACCCCAAATTCACCATCAGATCACATAGCATGTCCATGGCTACAGCCTGCACCAAAAAAAGCACGCACCCACTGTTGCCTGGGGCTGCAATGGTGCAAAAATGTGGTTACAAAGCATGGATCCACAGGGATTCTCAGGATCTTTGCATTGGGTCACCCCAAATTCACCATCAGATCACATAGCATGTCCATGGCTACAGCCTGCACCCAAAAAATCACGCACCCACTGTTGCCTGGGGCTGCAATGGTGCAAAAACGTGGTTACAAAGCATGGATCCACAGGGATTCTCAGGATTTTTGCATTGGGTCACCCCAAATTCACCATCAGATCACATGTCTGTGGCCACAGCATGAAGCACAAAAATGATACATCCACTGTTTCATTCAGAATGTTTTTTCCCTTGTTTTCCTCCTCTAAAAACGATGTGCGTGTTATGGTCAGGTGCGTGTTATAGAGCGAAAAATACGGTATATTCAAGAAAATAGGCATTCTATTAGGGGAAATTGCTTTGTAAAAATGTGTATATTAGGCAAATTTGCTTACAAAAATGTGAACATTACAAGAAAATTACACTAAAGTGCTGAAGAATTCCCGCAATGTCTTAAAAATAATAATCTGCAAACTGAATTTCAGAGTGGAAAAACAGAGAAACTATAATCAATCAGTTCATCCATCTCTAATCCTGCAATACTGTACACACTTACCTAGGAGTCAGTCCCACTGAATTTAATGGGACTTGCTTCTGGATAGACATGCATCGAATTGCACTGCTAATGTCTTTGGAATTAGAGCTCTTAACTGAATAATGTTGTTAATATACAAATAAAGATATCTGCATTCATGTAATTGTAGATATGCTACTTGCTGCCATTGCAAAAAGCCTCATCCTCCAATCTGAGGATGGTTCACATGCTCCTCCATCACAGACGTGTGTCTTGGCCTGTTCTCTGAAGTACGGGCTACTATTATCAAACTTTTTGCATCCCACATTTCAAGAGATGCAAAAAGAACCCCATTTGGACTTTTCTGATGAACAAGGTATCTAAGGCTGGTGTGTACCAAATCAAGTTTTTTTTACCTCTTATAGAAATACCCAGACAACACCTTAATAACTCTGCTAAGGAAAGGGTGAGAGACCCCCCCGCCAAGGGGTTTGATGATATTAACTTGCACTATATATTTCAGCCACTGGATGGCAGCACAAAACCCCCATCATATGATTCCATCAAGGAACTAGGTGCAAACTGTATGTTGCCAATCTACTGTCTTATTTACAGCGGTTTCCGCTGTGGTTGTTGTATATGATTTGCCACACAAACACAGATCCAAATCATGTCCACTCTGTTTGCAGGTGCAACAGCTTCACACCCTCCATGAAAACGGAGGGATGGTACCTCTTGGAGGAAAACTCTTTGTCACCGGAGGATACTGGAAGGGCATGGACGGTGACTATCAGGTGGAGATGGAAATTTATGACTGCGCTAAGGATGTCTGGAGAAGGGAAGGAGCCCTCCCCTGCTTATGGCTCTACCACAGCTCCTCCTCTATCTTCATGGATACTTCAAGGTGGAGGGAACCTTTCCTAGGTGACCATTTGTGAACAGAGGATGGAACAAGGCCTCACAGCACAGCAGCTCCTGCCACAAGTTCGGAAAAGGAACAGAGTTTTCAATATCACACTTGTATACTTCCTTTTGCCTTTTTTTGTTCAGACCGTTTGAATGGTTCTATCCCCCCCCCCCACTACAGCTCTTGTTGGGCTGAATCACCTTGCCCACATAATTAGGATGGATAACTTTGGTCACAGCACTAGCACGAAAACACCAGTGGAGAACATGAAATGATAACCTGCCTTTATAAATTGCAAGAAGCGAGGGGTTAAAACAGAAAACCCTGCAGTGGACATATCATCAGAAACAAAAGACTGCGTTAACCTCTATGGTTAAACATAGTGCCAGGCTGCCTTGACAGTGTCTACCAACATAATGTGTGAATTAGGAGCTTACAGAACTTGGCCAAGAAAACTTGGCAATTTTTAAAACATTGTTCAGTGTCCATTCTGGAACAATGCCGCAGCTGAGACCTGTGAGATTCCAGTGCACAGCACATGATGAGTATTATGCTCATTTTGCTAGAGAACCTGAGTTCCCTGAGCAATGCTGCCCGCAGTTAAGTGTGCATAAGTCCATTGATGTCATTGATTGCTTCACTCTTTTGGACTGTGGCCAGAGTCCGAAAGGGGCCAGAAGTAACGTGAGCCAGCTCTAAATTAAAACTAGAAGTCTCTCAGTGCTAATTTGAGATCGTGGTGACTAAGATCGATGAGTGACATTAGTGACCCATTTATCAGAAGTTTCTCCGGAATTCTTATTTTTATATCTGTTTTTATTGCCCTGGGATTCTTTCTGCACTTCACGAGGCACATTTTCTGTTCAGTTTAAATATCTTGCATGTGGACTGTTAGAATTTTACCTGTAAAATGGAGACTCGCCTCTTCCTGTTGATTTCAACAATTCATCAGTATGGTCAAGAAATCTGATAATAACTTCATCATGAATTATGTAGTCTTTTCTTTCTACTGTTGGTGCTTGATTAAGTAACTATATTTTCTTTTAGGTAGGTTTTAAATGCTGGACAGTCACAGAAGCCCCCTTCCATCATCATTATAGGAGTGTTTTATATGAATCATACGTATGTAGCTGTTTAATGGCCCATAGAAATCAGCTGAGGGCCTTCTGGTGGTTTCCTCAGTGCAAAAAGTGAGGTTACAGGGAACCAGGCAGAGGGCCTTCTCGATAGTGGTGCCCACTCTGTAGAACGCCCTCCTGTCATATGTCAAGGAAGTAAACAACTATCTGACTTTTAGAAGACACCTGAAGGCAGCCCTGTATAGGGAAGTTTTTAATGTTTGATGTTTTACTGTGTTTGACGTTTTGATTTGTTGGAAGCCACACAGTGGTTGGGCAACTCACCCAGTCAGATGGGCGGCATATAAAAATTTTGTTGTTGTTATTGTTGGTATGTAACTGGATCCCACCAGAAAATAGCAGCAGTCTAGAAGTGCCCTTAATTGTACCTAGTTTAGTTGTGCATTGAGTCTTCCTGGAGATGTTATAAATTTTCTTTATTCTTTATGTCTGCCTTCACAGGCAATTTTCAAGGAAAATGGACAGGACTGACAGCCTGCTGATTATTATTGTTAATAAAAGCAGAAGAGCTTTACACTGGGCTTCTTCAAGGGTTTTCTCAGTCTAAACCCAGAGCTAGTTGTATTTTAGCCAATGGCAGGTTAGAATGTTAAATATACCTATTAGCAGGGCTTTTTTCAGTTGGAACTCACCGGAATTGCCATTATAAGAGAACAAGACAGGTGTTCATGGTGAGTTCTGGCACCTCATTTATAGAAAAATAGCACTGCCTATTAGATTTACCGATGACACAAAATGCAAAGGAGGGGAATTAGAATTCAGTATAATGTTGACAAACTTGAGATTGTGGGGTTGAACACCGCAAGATGAAATTCAATAAACACAAGAGTTCATTCTGACTTGGCCAGGTGACAACTTAGGAAAATAAAGGGATATTTCTATTTGTCCAGGTTAGCCTGGGACAAAGCTTGCTTCTATGAAAGCTTGTAAGGGAGCTCTCTAAATTCATTACCTTGACTTATGAGATGTTTATGAAATTCTTACTTTATTTATGCATAGAGCCCCTCCGAATGCTATGTCTCATCAAATCCTAATAATAATAACAATAATAATAATAATAATAAATCCCACATCAATATGACTGGTTTTACTATTTATGTAGGGTTGCCATACGTATGGGAATTCCTGAACATGTCCTCTTTTGGGTGTCCTACATGCCCACCCAGGAGAAATTTTACGTTTTAAAGCAAATGGATTTGGGTCGGTGGCTCTGGCGGAGGGGCTATTGGCCGATTGCCTTAAAAAAGCTCAACAACTTTTTGTGTCTGCATTTTTACCTCTTGAAATATGGCAACCCTAATTTCCGTATTAAGTCTGACTTTTTCAGGGTGGGTAACTACATTCTTTTAGGTGGTTTATCTTTCAAACAAACCCATGAGGCAGGCCTCTATCTTTGCTAGTTACAGGTGGAGCAATGTCTTATTCATACCCCATACCCCATATCCTCACTCCTTCGTCAACCAAGCCAGACGGGGTACAAATGATATAATAATTGTTGTTATTATTGTTATTATTATTAGCTGCAGGGTGTAAGTTTCCCCCAGTCTCCGACTGGCTTCCAAACAGCTGGAGCCTTTTGATAAGATTTATTGGCAGCCACCTGCTAACAGCTGCCTTGCAACACCTGGCTGTGTTCTAACTGAAAGGGAGGAACAGCTGCAGAAGAATCTAGCAGGTGGAAAGGCTGGCTTGTCTTTCTCTTTCCTCCTGGCATCAAAAGACACCCAGTGGATGGGTAAGAAGACCTCTTGCTTTGCTCCACCCCACCCTGCTCCCTTACTTTGAAACTCAAAATGCCAGAAAGATTGAAATTATGTCCCTAGTTGTGGTTGTTGTTGGCATCTGTCTCAAGAGATAATGGAGTTTGCCTCCCTTCCCTCTAGAAACCACCTTTTTGACCATTGGGCCCTCTGTTGGTCTCGTCCACTCAATCCTCGGGAGCCTGTCTTTGCATGCAGGGGAAGTCCCTAACTCTGTGAGGGTTTGAGACCCATCAGCTACCCTTTCTTGGTTTAGCTGGCCAGCCAGAAACTGTTTGCAGGGTGTGGCTGCTGTTGCATGCTGACAGCTTCTAGGAGCCACAGGTAAGAGCTGAGTGCAGGGTGGAGGCCAAAGGTGGCCAAACTTGCACATGTTGGCACATCACTTGCTTTTATTAACTTGCTGAGATAGAAAAACAGGAGCATGAAAGGCTAGGGTAGTGGAGGAATACATATAAGCTTCCTTGCTGATTTGGTTGCACATAATGTTCCTATAAAATCCTGTCCGGTGTTGTTGTTGTTATCATTTATCATTGCAGAATTATTTAATACTGTACAGTAATCTGTAAACTTGCATCCAGTTTATAAAAAAAAGAATCATTTTAAGAAGAAAAGGCCTGAGAAGTGCTCATTTTACACTGTAGTTATAATACCGAGTCATATATGTGTTTGTGTATGTACAGTATATGTATACTTTACTCACACGTTTGTTATACTGTATATTATTTTTGCTTGCAGTCAGCTGCCTTGGTGGCCTGAGATCAGGCAGGAAAGGCGGAATAGAAACATTTTAGATAATATGTACAAAAGCAAATTATTTGTAATCAATGCACAGGCTGCAGGGTGTGGCCTTCCAGATGTTGGACTCTACTCCCATTGGCCCTGGCCTGCATAGACAATAGTCAGGGATGATGGGAAGTGTAGTACAACAACATTCGGAGGACAACAGCTTTCCCACCCTTGTCTAACTGGGACAGGCACTTTCTGCCACACAATGGGGCACCAGTGTAAAAATGATTAGATGTGGCTGATGTAACAGAGTTTGCAGTTTTCCGGCAATAGAATACAAGTTATCAGGGAATCTGTATACATTGACAACCCTTCTACACTACGTTTGTTTTCAGGAACAGATGGAGTTTTCATTCCCATGACTTCATCCGTGTGGTCCTGCCCTGCAAGGAAAAGGAGAGCGAGAGCGAGAGAAACAGCTTGGTTGCATCACTCTGCTGGGAACAGGGGCCAGGGCAATGACTTGAGAGCTCAAGAATGAAGCACAGATTTCACACAAGCGTGGAGAGGAGAGTTGATTTCGTTTCTCCTCTCCCCCCTTCCCTTCTTCATGGTAGTTCTACATCTATATCCCATCAGTAAATTCCCAGCATTTCACTAAAACCTGACCCTAAAAGAATGAGGAGCTGACGTCCCAGGCAAAACAGTCCTGTACATCCACCTAAGAGTGGTAGGTAAATGTGGTGAAGTAGACGGAGCGTTGGACTTGGAAGTCCTGGCTGCAAATCCCCACTCAGCCAGAAATCTCACTGGTGACTGAGGTTTCTGAGTGTATGGTCCCGTTCAAACGTCACAGTAGCTGGGTTCGTACACAGCACAAAGTGGTGGAGGAATGACAAGGGTGCTGGGAGTTGTTTGGAGACCCTTAACAAATTACAGCTCCCAGAATCCTTTGGGGGGAAGTCATGCAGCGGCAGTGCATACCATTTCGCTGCTTGAGGCAAAACAGGAAGTGCTGTCTCTTCTGCAACTCTGCTGCACCACCTCAGCCACTCACCTGCCACTGCCAGCATTATCTCCCTGGAAATCTCACAAGACTTCTCACACTCTGTGTGATCTCATGAGATTTGGGCAAGATATCACAGGAAATTGGTGCCAATGCCAGCTCCATTTCTCCGCCAGTGGCAGGTGGGGGCACTGTCTCAGGGGTTTCTGCTGCCTGAGGGGGCTGCCTCACCCCACTTCATGACTGTTTAAAGTGGTATTGTCATGCTTTGGTGCAAGTATGGCCTAAGCTATACTTAGAGCAGGACCATTGAAATCAATGGTCCGTAAGTCCAGTGGGTATTCCTCTGAGTATGGCTCTACAGAGGAGATCACTTCATGTTTCCATGAGCATTTGAACCAAAGCAGAAGATTCCTCTGTAGACTTTCATCATTCCATTCTCTAGCTTGTGTTTTAGAAATATCACTATATGTGCATTTATTGAAGGTCTAAACCAATTTGATCTGCTGGCAACTCTTTTGTTATGATTAATGTTTCTAATATATATATGTACCAGACATGGACAAAGAATTGTGATATAACCTTCCTTCTCCACCCCTTTGGGCCCCCTCAGCATAATGAATTAGGGCTTTGTGTCATTCCACGCACATAAACAAAATTGCTTTGGTGATACCTGCAGAGAATTGTTCTTTTTTTACTAGCCATTTTGCATTTGTGTTTAACTGAGACACAACTATACAACGTTCTTCTTGTTTAACATTCAGCAGAAATATATTTCCACAACAGCCTTGAAACTCAAAGCTCCTCCAGTTGACCTGTTTATTGAGCATTCAACCAGGTTTGCTTGGCCAAACCTTATGTGGAGGTTAATCTGACTTCTGCTTGTCATTGAGCATTCATCCAGATTTTTTTACAGGGAGGTCATTTGGCAATGGAAATTCACCCTTGTTTTGGCATGCAATCGAGTCCTTCCTGCAAAATAGCAACAGTCTGGGGGCGACCCTAAGAATCCTTCCTTCTAAATGCTGTGGGTATCAGAGCATTTTGATTTTTGTGTGGTATGAAACTCCTCCATTCACTAGGCAACAAAAAGTTGTTTTTTTTTAAGTGCTGCGAAAATGTGGTACCTTGCAAAGAGAGAGTGAAAGAACATGAAGCGTCAGCTGTTGCTTTTGCTGTTTTTATCGTATTTTGCTGTTGCTGTTTTTATTGCTTTTATTTGCTGTTTTGTTTTTGTTGTCGTCTAGCTGTATTGGCTATATTCCCTCTATGGATTTTAAATGTTGGCATATGATGTCTTGGGAATGGAGGCAAGATATGGGATATAAATATGATGATGATATGTACACCATAAAATAATTTCACATGTACTGCCCCCTCCCAATAGAATTTGAATAAAAGGCGATTGTCAACATTAGGGAACATAAAAATAAATGTGGTGCCGATGGGTACAAGTGTGTAGAGGAGGTATAGACCCATCCTCCAGAGTCCTTCAGGTAATGGGCTCCAATAATGAGAACCAGCATGGTGTAGTGGTTAGAGTGTTGGACTAGGACCTGGGAGAGCAGGGTTCAAATCCCTGATCTCTTTAGTCAAAGTCTAACCTACCTCGCAAGGTTGTTGTGATAAAAAAATGGGGGGGGGGGTAGAGCCATGTATGCCACCTTGAGCTCCTTCGAGAAAGGTGGGATATAAATGCACCAGCTAAATAAATGGAAGGACGATCAAAATAATTAATATTAGAGAACATAAAAATGGAGGTGGTGCAGGATGGGAACACGTGTAGAACAGGTGGGGAACCTCTGGCTCCCCAGGTGTTGCCGAACTCCAAGAATTAATCTGTATCTCCCCCAGCCTCTCCCTGAGCAGACGCTTCCTATGGAAGAAATGGAAGAATTCCTGCTTCCTCCTCCCGCCCCCCCCCCGCCCCCGGCATTCGAATTACAGCGCGAGCTCAGCGAGCCTCCGGTTGTTGTAGTTGGCGATTGCTGCCCGTAGGTGGCCCTCTAAACCCTCGCCTAAAGTGGACAGAGGCGGCAACTTCTGTGAGGCGGGGAATTCAAGCTCTTTAAAGGAAGGGAAAGCAGCGGGGACCTTTAGAGGGGCGAGGGGGACGGAGGGGCAGCAGCCCGAGGCGTCTCGGGGAGGGCACTGGAGGGGGTGTTGCGAAGAGGGCGAGCCAGCTGCCCCCCAGGCAGCCAGAGCCGCCAGCCGAAAGAACCGCAGGACTTCGGCAGCCTTGAGAGGAGAGTTTTGTCCAACAGAAGACCCAGGAAATTGCCCTGTGTCATTTGGCTGGAGCTTTTCAGTCGAAGGATAAATAGTTCCCCGAGTCCCTTGGCTTAAAGCTTTCTAAATTGTAGGGGACCATCCCATGATATTTTTTCTGCCCCTCCAAAAAGAGGCAATTGATAAATCCATGGGAAACTCCAGGGCCTTGACTTGGTGAGGTGTGTGGGTACCATAGTGTTTACTTTTCTTTTTATCTTTTTCTGTTGTTATTATTTATTATTTAATTGAAGAAGCCTGACAGTCTTGATTGGGTCTGCCCTGAAAAAGTAAACAAGCCAGGCATTGCTGGGAAGAGAGTGGATAATTTCTTCCTGCACTCCCTTCTTCCTTTCTGGAAACCCCCCCCCAGGAATATCGACTGCTGCCCATCTGAAGGTCTGCAGCTTCATCTTTGCCTTGTTCTTGAGGAGCTTTTGCCAAGGCCTAAATCCAGGAGTCTTGTCTCTATAGAAACTACCAGTGTGCTTGTGTGCCGGAAGATGGCTGGACCCCTCCTTTCCAGCTGTCCACTTCGATTACTAGCCATGGGGCTGCTAGCAATGACTTTTTGTGCCAGCTCTATGGAAACCGAAAAACATGGAAACAGGAGGAGTCAGGAGAAGAAATCCGGATGGAATGACTCTCTCGCGGGACAAAAAACAAGCAGCCCTCCCTTGTCATCATCCAATGACCCGGTAAGGACAAATGCTACTCTCAGCTCACTATTTGGGGTGTCTTTAACCCATGCCTTAATTGAAGTAAACCTTCCCCTTTGAATTTAGTCCACAAGGGCTAAAAATGGGGGTAGAGAATGGAGAAAAGGAAGTTGTGCCCAAGCCCAAGTAGGAAAGAGTAGGTTTTGCTTTGGAACGTCATGTAGGGGAATATTTGCACAGGCAAGTGTGAATGTATGTCTCCTTCTTTTGCAAATAGTCTACTCCTATGTGATCCTATGTGCAGGTAGTTACTTGGGAATAGTTCCCACCAAGCTCAGTGGAACTAGGTATGTATAGCCACAATCCATTTTAGATAGATAGATAGATAGATACATTTATTGTCATTGTCCGTATATACACAGTATACACAACAACGAAAATCAAACACCCACCCAAAGACCGGGTACACATACTTCTGTTTTATGTGTGTTGCCATTTCAATGTGGGTTAAAATACTTCTGTTTTAAAAAGTGGTGGCCCTAGTATGCCCACATGCTTATCTTTCACTGAGTAAAGGAAGAACACTTTGCCCATTTCCCAGCTAGCAGTAACACTTTGAAATACCTCTCCTTTCTCTAGATTGTTCAGATGTACAAATCAAGGGATAGCAACCTATATACTTGAGCAGAAAGGAGAGAGGGTGCTAACACTTTCCTAACTGCCCCCTCGTCCTGCAACATAGAGATGCTCCACTTTGACTGGTCTTAGTCTACAGCAGAGATGGGGAACCTGTGGCCTTTCATCTGTTGCTAGACTACAAGTCCCATCATCCTCTGACCATTGGCCATGCTTGCTGAGGAGTTAGAAGTCCAACAATATGGAGAACTGCAAGTTATCTAGCCATCCTCACAGGGGTGCCAACTTGAATAATATACTGGGGGGCAGGTAAGCTCCACCCTGCATAATCAGTCACAAGGCGCAGCGTACGCACACCATTTGAATGGCAATGCCCATCAACTTTGGTGGCCCTGGCCCCTCAAATATTTTATTAGGGGGCCGAAGAGACCTCAGCCCCTAGAAGTTGGGTCCTATGCATCCTTGCTTCACAGCAATCGCAGTTGACCAACTATAGAAGATAGGTGAATTCTTGGAATTACACTGAATTCTAGCAAAGAATGCAGCTGGCCAATTTACTGGCATTACAGGGGGTCAGACTAGATGAGCCTTGGAGTCCCTTCCAACTCTACAATTCTATGATTCAAAGATGTTTTGAAATGGAGCTATTTCCTCTGGTATGAGAGAAACGCCCAAGAAATCTGCACTTGTTAATATGGAAATCATATAGTCAAGCATGACAGCTTCTTAACATGTTACCCAGACCCTCCCTGGCCAGCTCCCAACCATTCCCTTTCCTAGGGAACTGATTAAATCAATTAAGCAGGGGCATTTGCAAAGACCGAGGGCATCTGCCAGCACAAAAACATCTGGCAAAGTATTCTTGCTGCAAAAGAATGTAACATTCAGCTTTCTATAGGCACCTTCAGCAGTAAACCGAATCATGGCAAGTAAGGCAGATGATGGAGTGTGTGTATGGGTTCATGTTGTAGGAGGGAGGGGGAGATGCTGTAGGATGCCCCTACCCTGCCTACTTTCAGTGCTGGTGTTCGGCCCCCATGAAGAAATGCGGCTGTAAAAGGTTCCCCATCTCTGATGTAGACTGAAGGAAGCATGAATGAACATGGATACAGCAACCTTATGAAGATGCTGAGCAAAGATAATCCTCAACTTATGTTTTTGGGACAATGTGGTGTGTGTGTGTGTGTGTGTGTGTTCGTTCCTGGTTGTCTCTGCCTTTCACATGCCTTTTCTTTTACTTCTCATTGCATAAAGGAAACTGCTGCAGGAAAGATTCGCAGGGATGAATCCCGGGCTGCTTGGATGCTTCTTATGAACAACGGGGTGAACAATAAAAAAAGAAGCAAAAATAAAGCCAAAAAGTTCAAGGTGAGCAATATTAACAGTGTCCTCATCTTGACTCACTTGTCTTCAAAGTCTGTTCACATAAGGGATTCTGAGACTGTTTTCATACTCTGTTTTAATGGCTGCTGTGCATTCACTGCGTTTCCAGAGCAGCTCTTTAATCAGTGTTCACATGACGTTATCCAAAATGGATATGCATAAAATACCACTGTCTGATGAGTTGTTTCTCAAACCAGGCTCATGCTGATTGAAATCTTAAGCTGTTCCTAATTCATCTCCAGTCAGGGTGTAAACACCTTTGCATGGAGGGAAACTACAGAAATGAATCTGACACTAATGAAACTGTGCTGATGTGTACAGTTGGGGGGGTGACTGTGGATAACCCCCCCCCCAAAAAAAGAACCCTTCACTGCACTGTAAGGTGGTAATGTGAACATGTCCTCAGATTGACATTCTGAGCCTTCCTAACTGTTGGAGCCTCCCTAAATTTAACCAAGCAGTGGTTCATGGCTGCATGCACTTTAAGAGACACAGAGAAATTGCTGCACAGAAATGAAAACCTTGTGAAAGAAAGAATGCTCCCTCTAGTAATAGTGTTTCACCAAATCCCACTCATAGGATCTTCAGCATACAAGTTCCTAGAGTATGGTTTGACAGGGATATGAGGAGTGTGTGGGAACAATATATACACCATCTTTGGTTCCATGGGAGAAGAAAGGCCGAATATAAATGTACAAGGTCTGTTGTGTTGTGGCGTGGTGTGTTGTGTTGTGTTGTGGTGTGCTGGTTAGAGTGTTGGACCAGGACCTGAGAAATGAGGGTTCAAATCCCCAGTCAGTCATTAGGTGACATTGGGTCAGAAACTGTTTTTCTACCTAGCATACCCCACAGGGTTGTTTTGTGGATAAAATGGCGGGCGGGGAAAACCATATGTGCCACCTTGAACACTTTGGAGGAAAGGTGGGGTTAAAATGCAATAACAGTAAAATAAATAGAAGGTGAATATTTATTTCATGAATGGTTTGGGGAGAGGGAGTCATGTTGATGTTGATATGAGACGTATCTTCCCATGTGAACCTTTGCAAGTGAAAAGGACCTTTCTCTTCCCTCCTAGTACTGGAGCCCCTTTCAGGCAATTAAGTAAAGCATCTTGAAGCAAGAGCACATCAGACAAACAGAAGCAGCCTTTAGGAGCCCAGGGACTGAGAGTTGATGATAGCTAGGCAGACAATAGCTTTGGTGGTTGATGTGAATAAATATGGATCTAAAATACTGTCCTCTATTTCTTTCGGTTCTAGTTTGGCATTCCAGGACCCCCTGGTCCACCAGGACCCCCTGGAGCCTTAATCACCCAGGAGGAGCTGCTGAGAGAATTCAGATTGCTGCTTAAAGGTATGGAGGTTGTTGCTCTCCAAACAAACATACTTGCTTGCCTTAGGCACAGAATAATGAATTAGGCCCTTAACAATAGGTGACATTATTTTATTTGGCATTATTGTTGTCTTAATGTACCTGCTGGGTTTTGATGGAGACTTTTGGAGTTCTACTCTTGAGGACTAAGATACGCTTAAAATATGATATTAGATTCCTGCATTGCAGGGGGTTGGACTAGATGACCCTTGTGGTCCCTGCCAACTCTACAATTCTATGATTCTCTGTTGTTGGGGTTATTTGCCCCAGCTTTGAATTTCTTTAAACCACAAACATGATTAAACTTGCAATTAAAAGTGTGGCTGTTGGCAAGGTCAAGAATATTACTGCAATAATAATAATTTATTATTTATACCCCGCCCATCTGGCTGAGTTTCCCCAGCCACTCTGGGTGGCTTCCAGTTGAGTGTTAAAAACAATACAGCATTAAATATTATCCAAGAGTGCAATATCCAAATTAAAAAGGTATATTCTGAGAGGAGTGCAATCCATGCCACTTTACTGCTGTTAGAATTCAGATTCAGTCAGTGTTTTGTGTGTGTGATGGTACGTATCACCAGTATAGATTACCAGCTCCCCTTCTTTTGCCGCCCATGGCAGCCATTATGTGCTGGCACATAATGTCACACTAGAATGCAAATTCCAAGTGGACCTTCTGTTCTAGGATACTGGTTTTTATATACAGGAATTCCTCCAAGGCTTCTGCTATTACACAGGCCTCTAAGACACCCCCTTCAGTAACTTCAACCTTGCATCTTCTCCAGCCAAAGCTGGTAGGGAAACTCAGAGATGAAGCATAGGGGTGGGTGGGCAGGGGGCCATGGCCCTGGGCATACATGTCTGATAGGGCACAACTACAGGTTCCTGTGGGGAGGCAAGGTAAGCCAAGCCATGTCCACGCTGGGCCTTCAGGGCTGGAGCAGTGGTACTAGTAGTAGAAGAAGAGTTTGGATTTGATATCCCGCTTTATCACTACCCGAAGGAGTCTCAAAGCAGCTAACATTCTCCTTTCCCTTCCTCCCCCACAACAAACACTCTGTGAGGTGAGTGGGGCTGAGAGACTTCAAAGAAGTGTGACTGGCCCAAGCAGTCTGCATGTGGAGTGGGGATGCGAACCCGGTTCCCCAGATTGCAAGACTACCGCTTTTAACCACTACACCACACTGGCTCTCATCCTCCTGAGTGCCTCCTCCTCCTCATAGCCGGTATCCTGGTGATCCCCCAGCCCCTGGGGAGGGAGGAGGGTGTAGCATCTTGTGCTCCCCTTTGCTGTCCAACAACTCATCCCCTGGCCCCGATGCTGCCTCAGCTCTTCCAGGGCTCCCTGGGGGCTGTGCCCTGGCCCACTGGTCATGCTGCTTGTAAGTTGCAGTCCAACATCAAGATTGCTCCCTCTCCCCCCGGTTTCTCCACCCTTGCAATCCAAATTGGATTCTCCCATAACATCATCATGCTCAGACTCACCACTAAGCAGAAGTCAATGCAGGGGAGCCATCTGAGGATGTCATGCACAAGACACTAAGGAGCAAATGTGGCCTAGTCATGTTTTCCCTTCCCCACCCATGGGTCTGAGCTACAGTCACCAGGATCCTAGCAAAGATTTCCACTCTTAAACTGTGGGATTTGTTACCACAAAGATGTAGTGATAGCCACCCATGGAGGTTGCTTTAAAAGGGCCTTAACTTCCATGAATTTGCCTAACAGTTATCACTAGCCATGATAGCTATGTACTACATCTGATGCTGGTGCCAAATGTGTCTGTGAGAACCACTTGTTGGAAATCACATGGGAAGATAGCTGATCCTGTCTGAGTTTCCCTTGGGCATCTAGCTGGCCACTGTGAGAACAGAATGTTGGACTTGTTGGAGCTCTGGTCTGATCCTGCAGACTCTTAAGTCCAGTATTTTTACTGCTCGAGAAACAGGTGAACATACATTCCAACGAGCCAGCTGTCTAAAATAATACGGATTCACAAAGTCTTGGGGTTGGCTTGGGACTTCCTGTGTTAAGATGGCTATAGGCATATTGACTAGTGTGGCCTTGTTGTGTTTGAAAGCAAGTAGGTGCAGGTTTGGACTTACAGAGAACATGAGTGGGCCCACCTCAGTAACAGGGCTTTGTGTTTTGGCTCCTCAGGTGTGATCAGGGAACGGGAAAGGATCAGTCAGAAAGCCTGTGACAACTGCCAAGAAGACGACGACGACAGGTCCAGAGAAGATAACTTTCTGGCCCAGATTAGTGGACCACTTCTAGAAAGCAGGGAGCATGGGCGAGTGCAGGCAGCTTTCCATTGTCGGACCCGGAGAAACATTTCAATTGAACGGCGGTCGTTGCAAGAACTTCAGTTCTATTACATAGTGAGTAGCTTGGTGTCATTTCTTCTTGCAAATGTCAGCAAAAGGGAAGGTAGTTTTTGCTTCAGTATCCCTAACAAGACAACCAACCCTATAAATCCTGACTTAAAACCACCCCCAATCTCCTGATTTCTAAGGGTATTAGAGTGTGTTCTGCAACTGATGATCTAAATAATTGAAACCTGGTTTTCCAGAATTTAAATTGTCCCTGGAAAAAATGTTTACATAGATACACAATAAAAACTCTGGAAGCTGCCACCATAGATGGAGAAATATCTGGGCACCAGGCTCTGAGTTTGTTTGGCCAAGCTAGTCATATGTCCCCCGTTATAAAATATTGCCGTATTTTGTTGTTCATCTCATAACTATGCATCCCTCTTAAGCATGTTCACAAGTGATCCACTTTCGGTCCCTTTTATGAATGTCTGAACCTTGGTTCTTGAAGGACCTTCTTCAGCGCTCTACTTCCATGCACCACAGGGAAAGCTGGAACAATTTTCTCCCCCGCTTCATAATCCTTTTGTTGTTGTTGTGCGTAGCCTAAAAAAGAAGAGATGTTCCACCGTGGCCTAGGGCTAAACCTTAACAATGGACAATACATAGCACCTTTCAGTGGATACTACATCTTCACTGCCACGTTGCATATTGGTAAGTGTTTAATTTAAAGCGATACTGTGTTGGGTTCTTCAAGATAGAAATGCTAAGCAATTTGGAGCTGGCAGTTAATTATCCCCACCCCACTCTCTTACCAATGTTTTTAAAGAAAAGTAAAGTGCACATTCTAGAAATAAGAATCTGGAAGCACTATGGAGTTTGACATTATCAACTCCAGTTCTGTAAACATCTTGGGTAATAACGTAGCCCTGAATTCAAGGAGAAACGTAGCAGGGGAGGATTCTGTAAGCATCTTTAGTCATGACATAAAAAGTTGACTTAACAGTGTAATGTTAGTGTTGGAATTTGCTTATCAGTTTCAAGTGGATGTCTGATTTCAGCTGAGCATTCTCTGAGGCAAGCTGAATAGCAACATAAAGGTTGCATATTGAACAGAGCAAAGTTCAGTGAAGCTCTGAACCTTGGGTAGGCCTTTTTAGACACTGTCAGATAGCCTCCAGCTGCTGGGGTCAAGGATTCCAGCACCGCAGCAAGCCTCCTCTGTCCTCCGGCCTGACTAGTTGCTGCCTTTTGCAGTTCCAGAGGTTCAGCTAAAGAAGAACCAGCCCCGCACCCGCGAACGCCTGCGCTTGCTGATCTGCGTCGAGTCCCTCTGCCGACAGAACATGTGAGTGTGTGGAGTAGAAATAGTATTGTTTAGGAAAGCAGCCAGCTAGAATTTATTTCAGTTCCAATTCATTTCCACTCTGCTACATGCTCCTGCTTTCTCTGTTTTACCATATGAAATTCACATTTAATTTCAACTCTGTTGTAAGCTACCCCGAGAACCCTGGGGTATAGGGCAGCCTATAAATGAGGAAATAGCAACTTCCTTCTTGACCTACCTTCAAGGCTGAATATGCAAATTTTCATATATATTCTTACTCTCCAAGCAAACTTATTGGGCTGGTTATGTGCTAAGCAACTAGTAACTGCCTGCAGAGGAGGTCTGAATCCAAACTATACCTGCAAGCTGACTTCAGAGGGGCTCACTGGATTACAATGAGCCTCTTTGAACTTTGACAGGTGTTAAAGTTGGTCCAGGGTAGGATGAAGGATCTGGCCGCACTCCTGAACTAGTCCAAATGATACACAGTGAACACTGATGAATGAGGATTCAGACCCACTCACCCACATCCAAACCTAACTCTTTCCAGTGCACCCACCATTCTCAAAGTGGTGGACAGCCTATGCTGTTATTTTCTAGGATTGTTCATGTTAATGAAGTGTCTCTTGCTTTCAGTTCTCTGGAAACAGTGAGCAGGTTGGACAGAAACAACGAACATTTCACAATTTCAATCCATGGAATTCTATTCCTGCAGGTGAGTAAAAAGCCATGAAGGAAAGTTGTAACATGTTGTCATAACCAGCAGTGCTTAGAGACACAAATCTGGCAAAACACCTGCATTTTGTTCTCTCCTGAATAAAAAATGCAGGCAACAGCTATTAAACGCAGGCTTTCCTATAGCTGTTGAGTAACTGGAGGCCTTTAGCATGAAATTATAAAACAATTTGCTACAAGCCAAGTATGCAGCCTCTTTAAAAGGTAGCATATCTGAACAATCCTAGGGACGGCACCAATTTTGGCATAGAAACCTGTCTTGCTTTGCTTACCCACCTTTATCTTCTCTGTTCCAGGCTGGCCAGTATGCTTCAGTTTTTGTAGACAATGCAACAGGATCCACCCTCACTGTTCGAAGTGGGTCTGACTTTGGTGCTGTCCTCTTGGGCATTTGATCGGCCCACATTCAACTATTCTGAAGGTGAACCCTTGCTTTTCATATGCTACATTTCTCTCATTCAATCAAGTGCCTGGAGCTGGTAAGCACCAGAACAAAGCACAATAGCTGTTGATGCAAAGCTAGCAAACCTCCACTGCTGTTTACTGGTTAAGCATACCAAGGTGAAGAATTGGATTTGAGAAAAATGGCCCAGCATCTAGTAAAACTGATTAAAAGGATGCTGAACCAACTTATAAAAGGAAGCATCAAGTGTTAACGGGGTTGATGCAACTCACCTAGGAGTTCCTCCTATTCCTGAATGTCTGTTGTTTGATGCTTAAAATTATGCAATCTGTTTGCAGTGGTTCTCAAAAACTAGGTTCTTCATGGAAGCATACATGCTGTTTTGTGCTCAACAGAAAAGCCTTAGCAAAGGATTATATATTTTTTGGAATATCTTTTACTATCTCATTGGTTCATAGGTCTTCTAAGTTAAAAGTGCTAACTTTTGTTGATTTTCTGCCTGTCTGGTGACTTCCTCAACCACAAACAGAATTTGCCTATTGCTTTGTGCTGCATGGTGCCCAATATCCATTGCTAACTTTCAATTAACGGTGGGTAGATTGGCTACCATATTTAGAGCAGGGTTTTAAAAAGAAAGAGAAGAGATGGTAGGCTATTTATTGAGCCCACTGTTAGCCAGAGGCTTTCTATTGCCTTAGGTCAATTAGATTGCACTGCCCGTTTAGCATGAAGCCCAATGGACAGAGTGCCCAGCTTTAGTGCCACTTATTTTGAACCTAACTACGTGACGAGGGAAGAGATGGTTATTTCCATTTCTTAGTAACTGTCCTTATTTTCTCTGAGGCTGTGTACACCCTAAAGTACGATATCCAAGAATTGCGAATGCAGCACCACCCTCTTCTACTATTACTGTAACCTTGGGCACGTAGGCAGGCATTAGAATCGCTCCTGTGTGTGTTTTTTAAGTGTGTGGGATGAACACATACCCTTATCTATTTTAGCCTGAGAAGTTACTTGTGTAACAGGTTGCCCCAGCTGCTCTATTTTATATAATCAGTCCCTGCAAGTCATCGTGGAAATTTTCATAAGGGAGTACCACCTCTGCTTCAACAAGATTTGTTTCTTCGATAATTTCTTACAAGATCAGTTTAAATAGATCAGTTTAAAATAGGACAGTTCAGAAGGCAGAAAGCCATGTTTCAGTCAGTACATAGTGCTGTGGAAAAACTCACTGCATCAAGAAATCTAGCAAGGCAAGGAGGAGTTCTTGATACCTGGATCTTTCTACATGCAAGGATTAGTTTTAATATAGAGTAACACTGACAAATAAGCTGTTCTCCCCTTGCCCTTCATTCCTTTTTCCTCTCGAAGAATAAGGAACAGGGAAAGTTTATTTCCCTCAAAGCCAATAAAATTCTTAAGAGGCAGAGCATACTGAAAAGGATTCTGGGCAGCCAAATATTAAGTTGTTAGATTTCAGAAAAGGCAAATTCTCAGTAAACTGTATACACCCACCCGTTTCCACTTTGGAAATGCCACACGGCCTGATAAGGCCAAGGTGGTGCCCTGCCCTGCAGCACAATCAGCATTAGCCTTCCCACTGAAGCTTCTATTATAAGCAGGTCTATTTATTGCACTATATTAAGAAATATATTTATGCACTTGCTGTTAAATGCATTTTATTTACTTAGAGAAGGAATATACAAAATAACCAAGGCTGTAAGAGAAAAATGTTTTTTATAGACTTGCGATACAGAATAGTGCAGGAGGTTACACGTACCACACACCCTTAATTTTAGAGCTGTTCTTGCATTCTCAGACGTCTGTTTATCTTTCGTTCTGATTGGCTGAGTGTATGTGCATGCACTGACACAAACTGTTGCACCATGGTGTACTTTCTGTAAATTATAATGGATTGTTTTCAAGACAGTTTCTAATTAAAGAATATATGCTTTCCCTTGTATTAATTGGCTTCTTTTGCTAAAGCAACTGCTATGAACTGTTTAAGACAACAGATCTACGATCACAGAGGACATCTGGTGACTGAACTCAAACATGCTCACCACTTGACTGAAAACATCAAGTGGCAACTTGCATAGGAGTGTGTGCCATCGCTTGCCCAGAGTCAGCTCATTCAAGGGCCAGTGACTCAGTGTAGAAGCCTCGTCATGTAGATGCAGTTATAAAGCAGCCTTAAAAACCTCCCAGAGTTAGCCCTTATTTGCTATGAAAATTATTATACTCCCTCCTCCCAAAAACGTCACATACAAGTCTCTGCATCACAAAAGTGTGGCTTACTTTTCTATCCCCATCTGATCACATAGCAGATGTAGATTCTACTACGAAGAGCCTGGTGTATTCCCATTTACTCAGGAGTGTGCCCAACCTTTACTTTCTATTGACAGATGACAACCAAGGTACATACCAGCTTTTCACCAGCTTTTTAAGTTTAGCTTTTGATACCTACCTTTTGCCAACAGCAAGAGTATTCCCTTTAAAGAGGTGCAGAGAGCAATCCAGTGGGTTTTGGTGTGAGAACACACCCCAAAAACTTTCCTGCGTTATTCTCTTTTAGCAATTTCCATGCAAAATTTACAGCCGCTTTTTAAAACTCCAGATGGATTATTACAACTGCCTGAAAGGGAAATTCCTGAAAGGCAACTACAAATGCATAGTTAGTTCTCTCAAGCTGTATTGAACTGTTTTGAACTCTGGAGCATCTTTTAACTCATGAAGTTCAAAACATCATTTCCTTCCTCTACGTAACCAACACAAAATACATGTATTTTGTGCTTAAGGTGCTGGAATACAAAAAAACAGGGTGCCTTGTGCAAGTCAAGCACTATGAGCATCAACTGTACACTATTTTATCTAAGAAGTTCACTCGGTGGATTAGACGGCCCCATTCCATCCCATTGTGATTCTATGAAACAATGAACCAACTTGAACAGTTAGAAAAAAAACCCTTTTATTTACAAATAAGAGCATTCGGGGGCGGAAACACAACCGAAACCCTACATACACACATACACACTCACAGGCACACTAACTTGTTCCATTAAATCCACGGCATGCTGCTAAGGACCTCACTTGCACCTATTCTCGGCATCACTGCTCAATCCGGACCACCACAACTGTGACGTTATCTGCAGAGCCTCGCTGCACAGCCTTGTTGGCCAGCCTGTTACAGGCTGCTTCATACCGGGCATCAGCAGCTGATTTGGCATCTCTCGTGGGAATCGTTTTGTCCTGTTGGGAAGCAGAATACACAAATGCGGGGTAGTTTCTTTTCACTTAATTTGCCGAGAGCACTTCAATGCCTCTCATTCCCAGAGTAACTTCTAATTATTTACAATGTTTGTATATCATTCGTTCACAAAAAATTATTTGGGAGGTATAGGGACTTTTCAACACCCACAAACCCTGGTACACTATAAAGTACAAACATGGACATAAAGTTAGAAACACTTTTTTTTAAAAAAAGTATTGTAATACAGTCATACCTCGGGTTGAATGTGCTTGAGGTTGTGCGCTTTCGGGTTGCGCTCTGCGGCAACCCGGAAGTAATGGAGTGTGTTACTTCCGGGTTTCACCGCTCGCACATACACAGACGCTCAAAATGATGTCATGTGTATGCGCGGAAGGGGCAAAACACGACCCGTGCATGCACCATCGCATCTTACATTCCATTCAGGATGCGAACGGGGCTCTGGAACAGATCTCGTTCGCATCCCGAGATACCACTGTAAAAGTAAAACGACAGCAGAGGATACAGTAGTGCCAAGTTATCTATTAAGCACTAAAAATGTGGCTTTAGAACTAGAAAGCTGGGGGAGGGGGTGTATAAATGTCTTCAAGCTGGCTCTGAAAAGGCCACAACACAGACGTCAATAGAGTTTTTCTGGGGGAAGGCATTCCATGGCTGGGAAGTCACCAGTGAAGGGGCTCTTTCCTTCACAGCAAACAACCTCATCTCATTTAAACAAAAACACTCAGAAAAGGGCCTCTACTCAGTCTTGCAATTAGCTACCTGCACTGTCATGTGAAAGGAATGTTTGGTGTTTTTTTAAACTCACCACAAGCCCCCCTGCCACCTGCTGACATGGGGACAGAGGGACCATCTCTCTTCTGCCCCCTGCCACCTGCTTGGTTGAATCAGGGCACGCAACCCATCAAGTGGATGTCTTATATGCCAGCCAAGGAACAAGAGTGAGTGTAGCTCCTCTTCCACATTCCTTTCCTAACAAGCAGCCCTGTCTCTTCTCACTCAAGCCTATCTTCCCCTTACCTCCAAACAAGACATAATGAAGTTCACAGCTTCATCTGGTGAGAAGACTTTGAAGAGACCATCACAAGCCAATAGGATAAACCTGGAAGAGCAATTAGTGATAAGTTTTATTGGGGGGGGGGGATTAGGACCTAGAAACAAAACAGAACACAAGGAGTGATTTAATGGTTTATTCTAAAGACACCCCACTTGTATTCTCTGCATTTGTGTACTTGTGTCAGGTTTTACCTGTCGTTGTGTGTAAGCTGGCAGCGCTTGACATCTGGCACAGAGATGACCCCAAAGCGCTTGTACTGCCCATCCCCAATGGAGCGAGAGACTTCCAGGACACCCAAGACACGTCCTTCCCTACAAAAGTGGGGAGAGAGAGCCTATTTCAGCATGCCACTGGGTTTAATCCCCAAAGTTGTCAGGCTAGAAGAGGGATGGGGAACCTGTGGCCCTGCAGGTGTTGTTGCGAGCTCAACTCCCAGCAGCCCCATGCAGCATTGCCAACGTTCAGAGAAGATGGGAGAGATATTCTAGCAGCACCTGGAGGGCCAAGGGTTCCCCACTTCTGAGCTAGAAGTATTTGGGACCAAGGTGAGTCCAGTTTACTACAGACTCTAGCTAGATGCTTCACAAGTAGTCTACACAATTCCTTTTGCAACTTTACCATATAATTATAGAAAGCAATACATTTTGATCACAAATTGGCACTTGAATGTTAATTTGTTAATATGATCTGAACACCTGCCCTAGTTATGCATTCACTTAAAAGTTGGCTGAACTTGTTCAGTATGGCACACTCCCATATGCCCTTGCAGGACTTTTTCTGAGAAATTCAAGAAAAAAATCTTCATTAGGAGACCAAGTAGCAACATGTGCATGCTTTTCAAGTATAAGGAGCTACATTCAACCCTGTCATCTCCCTGTTCCCAGCCACTCTTTCAAGGGATCTCAGGAAGCAAGAGCTGAGAAATATTTCTGCTTGAGAACCTGGAAAGCTATTGCCTTTCAGATTAACAACAGCACTTGGCTCTATGTACCACTGGCTGAACTAGTTAGAAGGAAGCTCCTTACACCACATGGCAACAATATTTTCAAAGTCACAGCAGCACCTTTGTTTTTTATCAATAGCACCTTTGGTAAGAATCAAGAACACTTGGTCTCATTAAGAAGAGAGTTTGGCATCTGAGCAGCTGGATTAAAGCTAGTTAAAGGGCCTTGTTTGCTCCCAAGCTCAGATGCATTGTCATTTTTACAGTGTCACATTCTTTATACACCCCACCAATAAATACAGTACCAATTCATATTCATACTCTAGATAGCTAGGAAAATACTAACTTATTTCAATTATTAACATTTATCCACATAGGTAGTTAAATGATGGCTTCTAACAAAATAAAAAGCCAACTCACATAGTCTACAGCTAACAGTTAATAAGAATTTTCCACAGTTCAAATGAGCATTTACATTGGGCGGCCGGAGGGGGCGGTTGCAGCTAAAAACCCCAATTGTTGCTGAAGGGCTATTGGAGGAAGAGAAGAGAAACCTGTTACCTGACATTCCCTCCAGCCTTTTGGATCCTCATCCGCTCGTCGTATTGAGTTGGGTTATGTTCTTTACTGAGACTTAAGGCTGTATGTTTCTGACTTTCTTCATTGTAGCGACACAGAAGCGCCTGCACTGACAGAAGAACCCTCATGAGCAAGTAGCAAGGACTGCAAGTCTCTGCTTGAGGCATTATAGGATATAACTTTCCATTAAGCAAACCCTTAAACGATTTCTAAGCAGTGTCACTCTATTGCATGCCTCCAGCCTCACATATAATAATAATGATGATAATGATAATAACAACAACTTTTTATTTATACCCCGCCCTTCCCGGTTCAGAAAACTGGGCTCAGGGTGGCTAACAACAAATTTAAAACACAAACTGGCCAGGGCCTGAAATTGGCTTGAGCTGAGAACATCTCAAAAATTGATGGAAGACACCACCACTGAGTCTGTAACGCCATCTAGAGTTCACAAAGAAAATCCAACGGATCACAGAGCTGCTCCAAACCACATTTCCTCCCAACAATAAATTTGGTGGACATATTGCAAGGCAATGACAGTGCTAAGGTACAGCTGCTATAGCATCTTTTGGTGGAACTGAAAAGATTAGCCTCACTCAGTAACAAGAAAAATGTATTGAAACTGGACCCACAACTTCTAGTGCTGCTTACCCTGCTGTCTCCAAGGTTGGCAATATACAAAGTATTATCAATCACCAGCACACAGGTTGCTGTGGAGCCATCCTTCCAGGCAGGTTTCCTGTAAGTACAAGAAAGTGGAAACAAAAAAGTGAGTTCAAGCAAGTTCCAAATTGTTCCAAGAGTCATACTGCACAATTATGGAGACTGATAGCCCAATGCAAAAAAGAGGGGGGGATTAATGGACCACTCACAAGTTTAAGAACACACCTGTGCTACAGCCCCCCTTGTATTTTGAAATGGTTGAGTTCATATAGAGGAGTGTACAATTGAGTATGTATACACTCACCCACAAAGACTCCTGCAATGGAAAAATAGTTATCAAATTATTATTTATTTATTGCATTTATAGCACACTTTTTTTTGCCAAGGTGCTCAAGGTGGCATAAATGGTTCTCACTGCCTCAATTAATTCCCACAACAACCCGGTAAGGTAGG